TATATTTAAAAATTGTGTAAAAACCACTTATTTCAGCCAGTAAGCGATGGCGTTATGCAATAAAATGATAAATCTCACCATCAGTTGACGTGACCAGAGATGCATTAGCGGGACAAGGCAGGCAATCCATCAAGCTCGGTTCATAAAAGTGTCCAACACCACAATTACCAGGCACTTTGAAACCGTGTACGCCATTTAATATGATCAAAACAAAAAACATTTTATTTTGCCAGCAACAGATTACGGATGATAACGTTTACTTAAGATACATACATTTCCTTTTTACTTCAAAAGATAATGAGGAAGTATTACCCTTCTCCACAATAAAACAGTTGTATTATGCGAAATTTACTAGATAGACCCGGGGACAAAAGTAATAGGTGTTTATAACATGCTCTGCGGTAGGCCCTCGTTTGTTTACGTAATCCTACCCACCGTTGCCTAGATACGAATGGGGGAAATCGCTTAAGTATAAACATTTTATTTTATATAAATAATAATAATAAAAAACAACAATTTTCTTTAAAAAAAAGAAAAATTACGAAAATTTATGATTCTTTAAATATTTCCGAATTTAAATTTACTTATAAGTTTTGTTAACTTCATTATTGAATTGTATGCGTAAACTTTAGTTACTAGGAAATATTCCTAGAGAAAATTATGGTAAATCATGTTTGTTTCCAAATTACATATATATTTATATTAATTTCATAAAGGCATGGTCCCGCTGCATAAAATAAATGTAATTTTTAATAGATTTTAATCCATAACAACAGACGACCTTTTTTATACTATGTAGGATCTTTATTCATAAGTTACATCTTGTTATATTAATGATTATAAATCCTTTAACAACACGTGTTGCTGCGTAGTGTGTTTTACCTTTGGTTCATAATTTGGTCTCTTTTGTAATATAGTTATTCCTCTTTATTATATACTCTTTATTTCCTCTTTATTATATATATTAGCTTTATAAACATCGTATCGTCGTATATAGTCAACCTATCAGCGCCCACAGCTGAGCAAAGGCATCTTTCTCACATGGAGAAGGTTTGAGCATTAATCACCACGCTTGCTCAAGACGGGTTGGTGATTTCAAACTTATAATTGTGAAACTATAAGTCCAGGTTTCCTCACGATGTTTTCCTTCACCGTATGTCAGTGGTGTCTAAATACTCTCAGAAGGTGACTCCGAAAAATCACATATGACTCCGAAAAATCACATTGGTACTTGCCAAGGTTTGAACCCGCGCCCTCGGCAACGAGAGGCGAGCCCCTTAAAGACTAGACCACCACTGACTAGCTTAAACAAGTAATTAAAATTATTTATTCTTAATAGCTGTTAATGCCACCATTATCTCAAAATTATTAGAAATATAAAATCAACAAATCACTTCTTTAGACATTGGCAACCTGATTTGCCGTGTGAATATGTACATTAACCCCATTTTTTAAAGTTGATTAAAATACTGACATACCAAACCAAAACACCCTCGTTTATTTTGCATTCGCATCCATCAAAAATAAAAGCTTTTCAATAAATCTATCGTAACTTACATTTAAAATGCATGATTTATAGCTCACACAAATAGACAAGTCTTTTATTTCGAAATGTTTTCACCACAAACATTTATTTTGTTCTCATGATACAGACCTCCATAAAAGATGTATTGGATTAAGTTTATTTTAACAGTTCCATACCTTATTCAAATAAACACAAAATTAACAGTGCATAATTACGACAAGGAAAAATATGAAGATTACATGAAGATTGCTAGTGAAATAGCGAATCACAATTTCAACTATAGAATACAAACAGTGATATTATGGAACGACGTGGATGAATTTATAGTAAATACATTCATTAAGTCTTATAAAGGCACAGTCATGATGGAAAAAAGAGATAATCTCCGTCCACAACAAGTTGTGTTGATCATCAGAACATATTATTCTTTAATAAAAATACTTTACCATCTAAAACCTGATCTAAAAGGGAAAACTCTTCTTGAAAGTGAAGCTCAATTTCTGATAATTCTTCTGTCCTATCCGCATAGACTTGAAAAAATCAATAAACTACTCTGGAGCTATTATGCAACAGATGTTGTTATTTTAATCAGAGATAAGAGACAAAGCGTAGCTTTATACACATATTTTCCTTACAAAAATCCTATGAGTTGTCAGAACGTCGAACCCACCCTCATAGGTTTCTGGGACAATGGAACAATACTGTCGAAAGATTTATATCCTAACAAAATGAGCAACATGCACGAATGTCCGCTATATATTTCTACAAACAAAGTATTTCATCCGACAACAGAACAAAAAATAACTGGAGAAATTATCAAAAGAGAAATCATCCGATTGCTCAGGGATGCTATGAATTTCACACCAATTATTTCGACAAGAGATTACCTCTCTATCGATTCCGATGACGCAAAGATTTGGTCGGAGACTATCAACGATATAATAACAGGTTCTTCAAACATATCAACCTGCAGTATTTTGCCATTCATGGATAGATTAGGCTTCCTTGACTATTCAGTACCTTATTTTAGAGTAACATTAGCGTGGCTTGCTCCTCCTCTCGTGCCCAGGGATACTTGGTGGCGCCTTTTAACTCCATTAAATGGATATCTATGGCTGGTTCTCTTACTTGTCGTGTTCATAGTCAAATCGGTGCCATTTATTATGGAATTTTCTTACGTGAAAAAGTTTGTAAAAAAACATTTTAAGGATGCTGATAAATTACATGGCGTTACTATAAGGATTTGGGCTGTCATGATGGGACAACCAATTAGAGTACTGCCGAGACGTTTTAGAGATTTTTATGTTCTTGGTCTGTGGATATGGTTTACATTTGTCGTGCGGAATGCATATCAAAGTGTTTTGATTGGAGCCTTGAAATCTGACGTCACTGTTGGAAAGTTCACAAATCTTAAGGAAGCTCAAGATTATGGGTACAAATTCGGCGGTAGAGCTGGAGTTTTGGCTCATTTTGAACATGATCCATTGATACGTGAGGGGTTTCAAATTATACCAGAGTCTGAATTCGAAAAAGTTTTACAAGAGATACTGGGTGAAAGAAGAAAGTTTTTACTCGCCGTATCATTAGATTACGTATCTGCTTATTGTATATCCCAGGGGATTGATGACAATGATTGCGGCTACGTTCTGCCAGACTCCATCATGACGATTCCTTCAATGGTATGGATGCCTAAGAACTCTCCGTTCAAAAGATCAATATCTCTGTGGCTTCCCCGTCTTCTTGAGAGCGGTTTACTAAACAAATATGATGTTAATATACCCATTATTACTGCTTTAAAAATATCTGAACCAAGTCCTCTAACGAGTACTCAAATCAGCAGTTGTTTGCTTTGTCTTGTAGTTGGTTACTTTGTATCGCTTTTAGTGCTTCTTCTAGAGATAATAAAATACAAAATACTAAAACCCAAAGCATTTAAGAAATTTAAGCAACGAACGATAATTCGTAACATCTAAGTTTAATTGTCGTGAAATTGAATTTTCACAGAACTTTAAAATAATGTTATAATTTCAAAGAGACACAAAATTCATGGGATCTTTAAAAGTTTAGTATTTCGTGATTTTATGTTGTTTTAATACAATTAAATACATTGATTTGTATAGTTAAATTGATAATAAATTTAGAAGTTTTTAAATAGTACAGAATAATTATTGCATCTTTTTGAATGACGCAGATTAAAAACTAAATATATTCAATCTAAATTGCATAATATTTCACCGCTTTTATTGTTGTTTGAGCTATGACGTGATGTTTGTGTGAATATATTAATATTTTGAAGAAAATAAAACTCACAGTTTAATAATTTACGTGGTTTATTAATTTAATTACATTGATTTTTTTATAATCGTCATATCTAATTGACTTAAACTTACATTACTTAATGATAAAAACATTGTGCATTTTTTGAAGCGTTAAAATTCTTTTATACCAAATTAAAATTTATTCATATCTTAAATATGAATTTAAAGAAGTCAATTAAAGATATCAATACTAAAAGCATATTTGAAATTTTTGATAAATATTAATAAAAATTATATATAAACTTATCAATATGACTAGAGATATATTTTGTACAATGATATATTTATTTATTTCTACATAGTATATATGTAAATAAACATGTTATAAAAATATGATTTACAATTTTTAATACTAGCAAAAAAATTTAACATCGGGCAATAACATATTAAATAAAAATTATTATTGGCTACTTATTTTTTTTTTTTTGGATAGTTTTGAATATATTCTACATATTTCAAAATTCCTGCTGAAGAATAAAATAAATTAAATAAGCAAGATTTATTAGTCTTTATGGATATAATGAGATCTCTCTAGATATTTTCATCATTACTTATCTAGTAATGATGAAAATATCTAAACTAAATCTAATTTATCGAAAAAATAGAATAACATATTAAAAAAATATATTGTTACAATAAAAACAATTGTATGTTGATAACAGAGAAGAAAAAACAAATATATATTTACAATATTTTTTAAGCAATAAAGTTTAGTTAATATTTAACCATACTAGCCCGTATTCTAGAGGGAGTCGCAAATAAAAAACATCCCTGAAGATCAAGAATATTAAAAAGTCTATATTTACCAAAAAAAGAGCATCAAAAGAGTATATAAGTTTTAACCACTGTCAAGTTGAAGCCTTTCGGAATACATGACAATTAATATAATAAAATATATACTACTTTTAAGATTGTTCAAGTCACATAATAATCGCTTGAGTTTTCAAAATTTCCCACCTCCAAATGTAACTTCATGAAGGAGATATAAAACTTGTTGTATTATTAATTTTCCGCCCATCTTTCTACGTTAGTATTTTAAACAATGGTTAAAATAATAAAAAAATACGTCACAATAAATGCTAAGCAGTTATAGAAAGGTACACCTTTTTAATATGATGACTAGATAAACTTGATATTGTGATACTAGATCACTATATTTAAGCAGCCAGGGTTGGTGGATCTACAACCAAGTATGGAGCATGCATCAGAGGCGGCAGTGCTGGGAACAGTATGGGGTATTGAGGTGGTTGAGGATCAGGAGTCACCACGCGCGCTTCTTGCTCAGAACAATGCAACAGCCAATGAGTCAGCATCCGACCTCGACCCTTCAACTCGACCTCCCCGCGACGCTCCACTATAAATGTACCCCACTGTTCCAACAGCAACCTAGTGTTCTCACTCAGATGGATACGCAGAGCTGAAGAAGTTATGGTTCGGTTATAACTAACCAGCTTTGTGATATAATAATTTTATATGAAAAGTATACACTGAAGCAGACTCTTATTATAAGATAAAGAATATAATTATTTATTTATTTCCCTCAGGCATAATTAAAAATCATTATAAATAGTTAAAGACTCACGCTGTCCCGTGGACTCCATACGACTGGCTGTGTTAACTGTGTCTCCAAACAGACAGTAGTGTGGCATCTTGACGCCAACCACACCAGCGCAGACTGGACCAGAGTGTACGCCAACACGCACCTGAAGAAAGGTCAATAATTATCATCAAAATCACAACATTAAGTTTACTAGATTATGAAGGGATGTACCTCCAATCTATGAGGTGGTCGGTGACGAACTACAAAAGTCCTCACAGCCTGCACGATAGCGAGGGCCATGAGGCAGATCTCTCTCGCGTGAAGATCTCCGTTACGTTCAGGTAAACCTGACACTACCATGTAGGCGTCGCCTATTGTTTCCACCTTACGCATACAGAAGAAAAGAATAATCAATCCAGTGTAAAAGAAACAGACATTAGAGATCCGGTTATTATGGATAATATGATAATCTAATACCCAGAAAGCAAAATCCCAACAATTAGCAGTACATAGAATAAGGTATTCATTATAAAAATGTTGATTGTCTTCTTGATGTCACGATCAATTATTGCACGTGTCCACGTGGCACTGACTATTCATCATTAAAAAAGTAGTGACTGTTGGTATTAATTATTATGCAAATGGATTACCAAAGTATTATGGGTCAGAAAGGTTAGATAGAAGAGTTGCTACAATTAATATATTAATTAGATATTCATGAACCTTATAGACATCATAGAAGCCGATGATTCTATCGAAGGTGCTGTACAGGTCATTGAGTAGGTCCACCACCTGCATGGGAGTAGAGGCTGCACAGAGTTCAGTGAACCCAACTATATCACTGAAGTACACGGTCACACTCTCAAAGCTCTCTGGTTGAACCACCTCACCAGCCATTAATTGCTGAGCCACAGGCCTATGAAGTATGAAATATGGTAAACTAATGAATTTCATTTGTGGATCGCTAATTTTTTTTTTATTTTTGTTTTTTTGTGGACGTATTTGTTATTTGTTGGAAGATGAAATAAAATTGACCCTAGGACCCTTTTGGACCAGAGTAGCAACAGACAGGCTGCAATGGAAAGAGTTGGAGGAGGCCTTTGCCGTAAGGCACACCGAATTACGAGATATCATTTAATAAAATTTTTATCTACTTTAAATGTAATTTTTGTAAATTGTAAAAATTCGGAAATAAAGGGCTTTATTATTATTATTATTATTATTATTATTTGTTATTTGTTGCTGTAACTTTTCATTTGACTATAAACGGTATTGTCCTTTGGTGTTACCTTGAAAAAGATTGCCGCAGAGTAATTTAAATTTCCTATTGGATGATTATTTGTCATAAATATAGAAGATTTTAAGTATTATTTTTCTACTCACGAATGGTTACAAATCATAATATATTTTTTAACCTTCCCTACCTTGGCAAGACTTGATAGAGCAACTCCTCTGAACGTTTCTTCTCCAATGACAACTGTTCTGTTTTTTCTTCCACTAGAGATTCGAGATTGTTCGCGTATTGTTCCATACGTCTTAAGAGATCGTCCATTAAATTGTCGCAGTAACCTCTAGATAACAAAAGAAAAATATTAAAATAGTATGGTACAACGATTTTTGTCACTGGAATTCTTAATTGAAATATAAATCAACGAAAAAAAAACTATTGATCTCCATTACTGAAATAACATATAGAGATGAAATCCATATTACATACATTTATGACAAAAAAACACAAATTCTATATACATAGAGATGAGAAATGGTACTTTCACAACTTTGCATATCTCATTTAAATGAAACTAATATTTTCGCATTGACTAAGCGTTTTTATTTTTGACTAGACACGAGATGTGAGTGTGACAGACAAAATATTAGTTTCATTTAAACGAGTACTCGCGAAAATCTTAGATCTCATTTTGTATATCTCACTTGATATAATTAGCGTTGATAGTATCAAAACTCGGTCTGTCGTCTGGAGAGTCAGCCCAGCAGCGCTCAGCCAGCTCCAACAGCTCGGGGCCAGCTCCGGCACCTCCCGGCATCACCACCGGACGAAAGGGAGGCGACTCACGACCACACACACGAGACACTATCTCTGTTACCACATACATAATATTGATACACATATACAAGCACAAATATAGAAAAAACTTGATAAATAAAGACAATGTTATTACGGAATAATTTAAACAAACAGAAATTTTGGTTCCAAGACTATATGTAACTATAAACCATGTAACAGTTCATAGCAATGAGATGGATAACGTAAATTTATCTATAGTCATGGTACCTTGATAAATATTTCGTAACAAATAGTATTATTTTCATAAAAATATTGGTAAGACGTCACTGAAATGTGTACCCTTATTAGACATAGTTGCGGTGTAGTGATGGAAAGGCCCAGATCGTAGAACAATCTCTTCTAGAATAATGCCGAAACTATACACGTCCCCTTTGAGGGACGCAACTACTCCAGGATACACACTACCAGCCACCAGCTCCGGAGCTGTCCATAGAAGTTCTAAAAAGAATTAAAAAATATAAACTCTACTATAAAACAAACATATTGAGAAGAAAACTGCTGTAGTGTTAGAATCTAAGCAATTATAAGCAATGCAGTAGACTTAAATCCGGAGATACCAAAATATTTTCACAAGGCTTAGAAATTTACTGTAGTATTTATTTTGAAATATATTGAAAGAATAAACAGAAATCAACAGCGACAAATTTATTCAGAAAATTGTTCGAGTTTTCCGAAGGTTACTCGTTAACGTAGAATCGTAACGACAACAATTCCACTTTATAAAGTTATAACTTGCAAACATTTTTTATGTCCAAGTTAAACTCTTTTAATCCCTTCAGAGAAATAATAAAATATTGTAAAGGAAGAGAACTACAAGTAAAAAGGTAAAGCGATAAATCTTAAAGTCAGTTTTATAGCTTTAACAAATTTCATAAACTTATCTCTAAAATATTTTTTTAGATAATTACTGTAATAGTAGGCGTCGTCTTTAATCAAGTCCATCGGCGTGCAAAGAGTGTTGAGGCCGTAGTCTGATATTTTGAGAACGAAACGTCCATCGATGAGGCAGTTTGAAGATCTCAATTTTCCGTGTGCACCCAGCCCGCTATGTAAGTAGCACATTCCCTAAATAAGAAAAAAACTCACAATTTCGTCCCAATTTAAATAATTAAATTAAAAATCAACGTCTGTTTTCTCAGTGTTTTTTGTCAAAAACATTAATTCAAAGTGATTATTTTGCCTTCGAACAATGAAACAATAATAACTGTCAGCTGTCGTTAAAATCAAAAATTCAGTTCCATCCTTCTCTTCACAGTTGAAACTGTTCAAGAACTCGGACGTTAAACTTTCTTGATTTATGTGAGAAACATCACTAAACAATTCAGTTGTATTAATTTCATCACAATATATATTATGTAGTAGATATTTATTCTCTCTAAAAGCTAATCTGAGAACAGCAAATATATGTGTCTAATACCACGTGATGGTTTAATTCAAGATATTGTAAATTTAATTACAGATCTACGATTCAATATAGGTACGTATATACAATATATGTAATCGTAATATTGGATTCAATTAGTATTTACGTGTGACACAGCTTTGTGATATATAGGGCTTAAGATGGAAATCTTAATGAGATCTTAATATTACTTAATTAAAATTTAAGTTAAGAATCAAACAGTTCACTTCAAATGAGTACGTTAAAACTTTGTAGACGGAGTAATTGAGTTAGTAAATGACATAATGATTATGGGGCTATCGATATCCTTTTCAAAAAAGCCTCTAGGCTCTGACCTATTTGGAATAACGCAAGAACAAAGGTAAAAAGTTATTTTTCACTCTTCAATTAAATTGTTCTTAAAATCAAATGCTTATAATAGTTTACAAATAACAAATGATAATTTAGTTTCAATCTATTTGTTAGGACAAAGTTTATATGCTCTCTATCTTTGCACAATTCAAACTACGTTTAACATTTTAATTGGCAATCGCGTTCAGTTATGACGAATAGGAAAGCTATTTCCGAATGGAATATTTATTCACGATTATCCAGGTATACGATTGTTGATCTTCTTTTATAAAAGACAAAGCTTAAATAAATAACAACTTAAATAGATTTAGGTAAGTATTAAAATATAGTTTTCAAAGTATAATGATGTTAAAAAAACAGTAATCTTATTTTACGCTGTCAATAGGATGATATGAAATAAAATATAATCTAAGTGAGCTAGTGAACTTAGGACTTAAAATGATTCAAGAAGCTTAACTAAATGCTCGTTTAGTGTGATAAGGCACAACAGTTTACTTCAATTTTGTGGCGTTTAGCGACAGAGTTAGTATACAATAAACACTAATACACACACAGCTTAACACTACTTGCTTGGCTAGAATTTAGTATCTATAATAAAATTTGAAATTATCTCAGATTTAGTAAATTACATTATAGTTGTGGTTTTTTAAGTTGGTGTTTATTATCTTCTAAATTTTTAATGAATGGTTACTAAAAGGGAATGACGTTTTAATGACGTCATGATTACTTGATTATTTAGAGCCAATGTAAAGAAAAATGATACAAAACATAGTACATAGTTTCATCATTTAAACTCATATCTAGAATTTTTGGAATATAATCAAGTTCAATTTAAGTTCAATGACCTTTCAACTACCTGAACAATATCATGCACCAGCGATGTTCTAAAGTTCCAGTCGAGCTGCAACTCCTCATTGGCGAGGACGTCCTTCAAGGATCCTTTAGGACAATACTCCGTAAGTATGAACACTAATGGACAGTCCACGCACGCTCCTATGAAACGCGCTGTGTTCTCATGAGATACATTACGAGCCTAAAATAAATGTATAAATACTTAATAAGCCGTTTCATTATTATCAATTCATTGATGAATAACGGAAATTATAAGGAGAGAATTTAGGTTATGTTTGATAAACAGGAAATTCTTGACATATTACTGAGAAACGCGTTAACATTATTATTTAATTACATACAATCGAAACCAAAGATGACATGTAGCTATAGATAAAAAAATACATTCACAAATTGCATTATATTTAATATCAAGGATTTAAAACTCATCACTGTATATAAATTTCTGCAACACTTCGTATTTTATAACAGATACGAACCTGTTTCTCAACAATACATCTTAGTCTATCGTCAGTACTACTAATTAATTTCGTTACAAAAATGAGATCTAAGACTTTCGTGAGTATTCATTTCAATAAAACTATTGTAATATTTTCGGATTTACTATGCGTTTTTTATTACGAGATGAAAATCTTTTCATCTCGTCTACCCGTAATCATGATTGCTGCAAATGAACCTAAACGTTGGGATGTAGTAGTTTAAAATTATAAGACTCTCGTATCACATTTAAAAACATTAGTTTTTTTTTCTCTTAACAACAAACTTACTTGTTTTATCTCCCACAACAGTTTCTTGTTGAGATCAAGTTTTTTTCTATGTATTTTCTTTACAGCGACTCTATTCCCTTTATAAAGTCCGACTGTAAACGACGACAGTGTAAGTTGTGGAGCAACGTTCGAAGAGCTTGAGTTACTGCGACCGCTCCACGCCAATGACAGCTATGAAAAATTTTAAAGCTATCAGGATTGAAAAGAGACTGAATGATACAAACTTTATACAATTCCTTCATATAATTAAGCAGTCATTTTACTACAGAAAACTCTCGCTTGCATGCATAAGAATGTTTAAAAAAAGGACTTATATGTTCCATAGTAAATATTGTCAGATTTAATAAAGTTAATATGACATTGCAGATTATAACATATTGTTTGCTTCCCATAACTTTAGCGAGGAAGCTTATGAGAAAACTAAATCAAATAATATCTTTATATATATATATAATTCTTCTGTGAGTGTGTATGTCACTGAACTTCTCTCAAACAACTGGACAGATTTTGATGAAATTTTTTGTGTGTGTTCAAGGGGATCTGGGATTGGTTTAGATTCACAATTTTGTCTGCTGGACAAAGTTTTTTAATTAATTTATTAGTAGTTGTTGATACAAACGTTTTTTTGACATTAGATTTGAGAACTAACTAATATGTCAATCATTCTATCGCACTTCAAAACACGGAGATTTAAGGCTTTAATAGGTAAACTCCAAAAATATAAATAAAAAAACGTATCAGATATTTCTTGATTATAAGGCTATACGAAGTTCGCTGGGTCTTCTAGTATTTATATAACTTTCAGTCTATTTCTTATTTCAATAAATGTTCTTATAAATATCTGATCAATTATTTTGTAACTATAAAAATAATTATATCTGTTCTTATAAGAATTGAAATATTTATTATATAACAATAATGCGAGGAAGATGTTTCAAATAAACCGATGGTTTATGGTAACAAGGCTATTGAAATGGTTACCTTTATATTGTTCTGATGAAGCCACTTGATTGTAATTAAATTGAATGCAAATGGAACAAACAATAAAAATGTCGTGCTCACGGCGTATTGAGATCAATTACGGTAATTGGTATAAAAAATATAAAGAAATGAAATAAAATAGTATTACAGGAATATCCTTAGCTTAGTTTCGATAAAATTGAATATCTGTATTGAAATGTTTGTAATTTTAATGTCATTTTTCTTAATAGGTTAAATTAAATAAATTCATACCGATCTGATTGCAATAAAAATTGAGAAAAATATCACAATATCAATATGAAAGTGTGGATAATTTTTGCAACATTGCTCTAATTTTTGTGTCCGTCAAATTCATGATTCTGTTATAAGCGGATTAGATCCTGTTTCTATTTACAATTTAGCTTATATCAACCAACGTTACATCATCATCATCAGCCTATCAGAAGCCCACTGCTGAGCAAAGACCTCTTTCTAACATGGAGAAGGTTTGAGCAATAATCACCACGATTGCTCAAGACGGGTTGGTAATTTCAAACTTATAATTGTGAAACTATAAGTCTAGGTTTCCTCATGATGTTTTCCTTCACCGTATGTCAGTGGTGTCTAAATACTCTCAGAAAGTACATATGACTCCGAAAGATCACATTGGTATTTGCCAGGTTTGAACCCGCGCCCTCAGCAATGAGAGGCAGGCCCTTTAACCACTAGGCCACCACTGACTGTAACCAACATTACGAATATATAATTTAATTTATCAGTTATATGAAGTAGTTGACCTATAGTATATAGTATAGTATTGTATAACCTCCACATACTTTTAATACTTCATTGATGCTGTGTAACGCTGGACCAGCTCCAAGTCCTGCTCCCACCTCCACCAGAACCTCCTCGGGTCTGACTCGCCAGGCAGTGTTATTCAATTCAGCTTCAATACGCACTCGCCTAACAATAAAATATAAAATATAACAAAAAATGACAGAAGAAAGCTATAATTTTATATCACTAGCTTATAAATAAAAAAATTTAACGTACACAATATAAAAAACAGCAAAAATTCGTAGTAACTTGAATTAAAACAGAAAATTAAATTGAAATATTACATGTTTAACAGTGTATCAAGGCCAAAAATAAGAAAATCCCTAAGTCTCGAATCAAAATGTTGAATCTTAGTTCCTATAAGCATATAAAACATATTATTTTTCTTATCGTAATAAATGTGACCTAACTCCATTACTTACTTGTACGCCACACAACCGGCAGTTACTGCCAGCGTTAAGAAAACAGCCAACCCAATAAAGCAGTATATCAAAACAGCCTGGGCTTCTGAGCAGCGTGAAAATTGATAGTAAATTTCAATCGAGAACATCTCAAACAGTTCTCAACGCAATTTGTCAAAATGAACGTTGTAATCTTATATAACTTATTTAATGAAGTTATTGATAATGTGTTATTAATTCTATAAAGCACATCTTAAGTGGAGATACATTTTTGCTCTTATAAAAACCTATCTAGAACTATAATTTTTTGTAAACTACAATGAAGCCACACTTCCTATACTCCGCTATATTAAATTCAGACGTAGTATTGAAGAGTAGAACGCAATTTACTCTCTTTGGCAAGAGATATAAAAGAATTTAATAAATAGATAAATTTACCAAAAGGTCTTTCATGTAACCAAAGTTTTCTTATATGATAATTCTAATGGATGGTCCATTTACCGTTTGTATTAAAAAATATTTTTTCTTTGAGTACATCATTTAAAAAGACTAGACTTGTCTTCTCAGAGAATTTATTTAAAGAAAGATTTGTTTTAAGAGATGGTTATAATAAAGTACTAAAAGAACATCTTTATTTTAAACATATGCGAAACTCATTAATTTTTATATACATAGTTATGATTACTTTAAAACAATTAAATTTTTATTACTTTATTACTGAAATAAAAAAATGAAGTGTAGTTAATATTGTAAGAAATTGAATAATAAATAATTGATAAACAACCTAACAAATTGGCGGACTACTGGGGAGCTGATTGACCGCACAGTTTAGCAAAATACCTTGGGAGCTAATCAAATAGTTAATTTAGCCTGTTGACGCCAACATACATATGTCGTAGCAATATTGTACAACTTGGCCAAACGAAATTTGACAAGTTACATGATAATGGCATTTCTGTAAATGTCTTAAGTACTACTAGTCAATTGACGACATAAAAATAAAAACTCTGAATTATCAATCAGCAATATTTTACCTGAATCTAAAGAAAACACTCTTCAGAAGCTATGGTTTATATAATTTTATCTGACTAATCATATTCTACGAAATTACCCACCATGTTTTTAAATAGTTTTCAATTCAATGTAACTAAACCCAAATTATAATCAATCTAAATAAAATATTATATTACACATACATACATTTTATTTACGTTCATATTCTATTAATATTATAAAGGTGACAGTTTATGCGGGTGTTTGCATAATATGTACCTATACGGAAAGATGTATCTCTTTCTCGCAAAAACGACTGAATGTTTTTTTTATAAAAGTAAACAGTGTAGCTTACACATCAAAATATGACATACACTTTAGATTTACTAAATAACAACAAACTTGTAAGCAATTAAACTTTTAACTTGATTTATTCATTTTAATTATACTAGTCGCTTATACAAAAAAGTAAAGTAAACTAAGTTAAATACAAAAAGGAATATAATATATACAAAATCGATAGCTCTTCTTAACACAGTGCGCGGCCAAAATCATACACTAGTAATATAATTACATTAATTTAGAATTTTACGACATGTATGTGTATAATAATATAGTCCCTGCATAAATAGAATAGAAAATAAACAGCAATGAATACTACTGCAAACAAATTTTCTTTTCTTAGTAATATACACGGAAATTGTCCGTAACCAATTAGTGTAATGCTTTAATTGATCAATTAGTGTATTGTGGAAGCCGGGTAAATATTTTCCTGAACTCATATATGTTTTATATAATAACCAAATATAAAAGCGTATAAAAATAATGGCTACAAAAAGAAGATTATGTTAGTTCTGGAAACCAAATACTGAAACTTTCAGATTTCACTAAAAATACTCCCGAATTATCTTAGTTATAAAATAGCATATATATAATATATATGCATATGCATAAGCATTTGATGACATGTCTAGGCATATATCGAATAACTAAATTTAACGACTGGTCCACTACATACAAGTAATTTGTTACACTGAGTAGCTTAGATGCGGAAACACAAAATATTCACAAGGTTTTTGTAAAATATTAGAAAAGACTGTCTATAAAAGACATAGTATTATATTAAGAATGAATAAATTCATTAATATTAAATAAATAACTTCTTTTACTTATAATTACCCAGGGCAGATATTGTTAGGTAATAATAAAAATATTGGACAATATACACTAACCTCCTTGACACATCGGATCAGTCCCAAGGAAACCACATCGCGGTTTATCAGGTGGTGGAGCTCGTCTTCCTCCTGGCCAATGGATCGCTTTACCTGGCACAGCTTTGTAGCTCATGTTCAAACCGTGATAGAACGCTACCACCTACGAAAATCCGTTATATAACGTCATGTATTATTATGAAACATAAACTATACCTATAAATATACCTCAAATTTGCCAGTCACAGGATCCAAATCTAATATCGCATAATCAGCATCACGATCGCCAACCGCGTCTATCCGGACATGACCGGTGATACCTTGAAAATTAACCTCATAACATGATGATGGTATTTATCAATACTCAAAGTATTTACCAGTCTTTACCATGGAAGTCTCTGCCCCACATACGCCCTGTTATCTTTCTTCCATCCCTAATATCTCCTCCTTCAGTCAACGTCTCGTTTAAAGCCATCCCTAATAGGTATACACCGTCGTAAAAGGCACCGATGAAAAAATTCACCTGTCAATAAACAAAACTTAATATTTGTATAAGCAGTTGATAATTCAATAATATTTATATATAATCCTGTATATAGATATAAAGTTCTTTATTTATTACTCTCATTCTGTATATCGTTAGAATATTCATCAAAGAAAAACCGAAAGTGTACTCAATGACACAACAGTATGGGAGAAGTTCTAATTAGAGCTTCATTACGTGACCCCAAATACAAAAGATTTAATGATTATTTGGAAATAGGGATCGAATGTTCTGGATTTATTTTGATCAAGAACATTTCTAATATTCTTATCTAATTCATATTTAGTGATAATGTTTTTGACTTCTTAGTATTCTAAAAATTAAATACAATTGAAAAATCTATCTTTTATCAATTCTCAAACACCACACGGACCTCATGAATGGAAATTTTTAATGTACTTTATATAATAATACCTAATTTTAAACATGGAAATTTGTTAGCATAACAAAGCTTTAATATATGTTATATTTGAAATAACTAATAACCTATTAGCGTAGTTGGGACACGATCTTCATTAGGAACAAATCCAGGGCTTTGCGAATTAATTAATGATGAAAGATTGGGGTATTACAGAGCGGATATTTCATAAGCAATTCCTAAAAGGTAAAACCGTACATTAAAGATAGAAACTTAGTTTATTTGTATACAATACCTCCTCTCCATCCGAAAAAGTGTAATTATAGTGTAATCTAGCCCTTGCTCGGACTGTGTCCGCGAATTCGTCGAAACGGTCGCCTGTGGGTAGTTTAAGCGAAACTCGCAATAAGGCTTCGTAAGCGTCGCGAGCGGCCGCATCTCTTTCATCTCCCGCCGCCCAGCCCGTCTCCCCCCAATACCCACCCTGTTATATATACAACAATTTATATTTATGTTATGACTAATCGCTTTATTACGCATCTAATAAAATGTATTTGTCCAGCGAACTGTTACACAAAATAGAGATCACATAAAAGAGAATTATACAATATTTTGATAAATATATATTCTGAATATTGTAATAAAGTGCTCATTTCTGATATTATACGGATAAATGATGTATATAGTACATGAGTTAGTATTATTTTACCTGAAATATTTCAACGTCCAAGAAGGCCCAGTCACCTCGCGTCATCCCCAGCGAATGAGCAGCAAGAAGAAACTCACGGACCAACGAACCTCGGACGCTTAGTATAACAACTGTTGGAATTTAACATTTATTAATTCTTCTTCACTATAATACAAATAGATCTAGGACTTTCGTAAGATCACGGTTGCTGCAAAGTAACCGAAACGTGGGGAGTAGGTATGTAGTTTTAAAAAAATAATAAAATACGCACAGTAATATGCAAAGAAATTAGTTTCATTTAATACAAATAGAGACAAAACCTTTCAGCTTAACCTGGATTCACGGTGCTGGTGTCGGGTCTGACTTGCGACCCAGGTGTAGGCTTACCTACCGCTTATAAAATGCTCACAGCCACTGTCCAAGCTCCTCTCTCTACTTAACCAAATTACTATACTATAATTATACACTCATATTTTATAAAGGTTCAAAGAAGATATATTTATATATAAAACATTAACTTGATACCGTATTTGAGTATATTTCATTGTCATGAGCACAACAGTTGGTGTGATTACTTTCTTTTCGACTTCCATATTTGGTCTAAAAGTAAACAACGTTACTGTACATGTAGAAACTCTTTCATTAAGATGTAAGGCTGTTTTTTTGCGTGTGAGAGAAAGTTCTCCAATCTTAGAAATATGTAAATGTGAAGACTGAAGGCAAACAAATTGCGTATTTCATTAAAGTTTCAAACTATGAAGTAAACATGGTCGTTGAAAAAATAAATATTATAAACGAGTTATATTAATGAAATGAAAATAATGTATTTTTGTCCTTCTTACAAAGCATTTTGGTTCTTTGCAAGTCGCTTTTTATTTCCTTTATTTATTCTTAACTGTACAAAATTCGAGATATTTATCAATTGTGTAAGAAATAACTAAATTTTCATTAAGTCCAAATTAAAAAATGAACTTTTTGTATTTCACTACCCACAGTAAAACCAAGGCTAAAATAAATTTTCTAAATATTAAACCCGTCAATATGTAAGGTAAAAGGGTCAGTATTGTAAAATTATAAGCTGGGTCCATTTCTTCTAGTTTGTTACATATTTTAAATGTTTATTATTTAAAATATACGTTAACACATCTGTTAGTAATCTTCTGTTAGATGAAACGTAATGTTATTTGAATTAAATAACAAAACCTTATTGTTTACTTACCATTTGAATATTTAATTACAAAAAGAAAATATTTTATGAACAGCTTCATTTTAAAATATGTATTATGTCCGTGAAATAAAATTAAGAATAAGTAGTTCAGGTGAACCTGACGAAAAAGCCTTTTCCATTATCCAAAATAAGGCAAAGGCAGATTTGGAATATTGCAAGTTAATTTGTATGTAAGATACAAAGATTCCATAAAAAAAAACGTTGACATTGGCGAAATATTCCAGTGCGAATGAAGCCATAGAATATAAAAAAAGATACAAAGATATCAATAAATTAAACCCTTTATGAACTATGTACTAAAATAAGGTAACTTTTTCATATAATCGCATTATCTCAATCTATATTTTTAACCTTCTAACTCTAGTTAATTAAGGAAAGTTTATATTGAAATCAATAAATAAAAACAATTTTATAGAATTCTTATTAACTTCTAACAATAAACAAAGTTACGTAGTGCAAACACTTTTGCAATAAATGTACCTATCTATTATATTTAAAAAAACAACTCTACTTAAAGTATTACGTATAATCTGGAGATTATCTTCTTATTAATAATAATAGAAGATGTAATACATACATTATACATCCTTCCACAAATAAAAATTTATCACATATGTAAATATGAATATCAGGTTCATTGAAACGCACGAATTATATTTCTCTGTACGTGATACAATCAAATCAAACAGTTAATTATAATCCCATCACTCAGAGGGAAAAGAAAATAGAATGAAATAAAACAGCTGTTATCAACGTCAAAAACATCAGGACTGTCTTCAAATTAGTTTCGATTCACTGAACCACTGAACACAACGACTCTCTATTTGTTGTTATACATCATTCCTAAACCGTTAAGATATTTATACACATGCGATATTTAAGCACAAATACTTAGGTACTTTTTATTGTATAATTCTATGTATTTAGAATTTTCATATGTTTGAGCTATTGTGGATTGTATGCCATTACTTTATATTACTTGTGATAAGCTTGTTAGAAATGTAATGGCGAATAATGGGGACAGCTTTTCCACTTTATGTGGCACAGAAATATTTATATGACGACATATGAAATCTCTTACTGTTTGTATTACAATTTATTTGAATATAATTTTATTAAAATACAAATATACAGGGTGACTGGTGAATTACTATCAATATTTAAGGAGCATACTCGGTACATGATTCTCATTCGAATTATGTAAAAAAATAGGTACTTAATTTTTGACCAAATTTCCGTATAAATAAATAAAGTGTGTACACGTTCCAAGTGTTCCTAGTGTGGACGCGTGCGGCGGCGTGCTGATACAACAACACGCCGCCGCGCGCGTATGTGTGAGTGTGTAGTGTAGAGTAATCTGTAGGGTGTTCATACGATGCGTAATTAATTACACAACTTTTGGTTAACTTTACTTAGAAGTTTATTAATATTTATGTTATATTAATTTTTATTTCGTCATATATGATCGTCAAATATCACGTCCTCAAATATCGATAGTAATTCACCAGTCACCCTGTATAATTGTTTTGTTTCATGTAATAACTATAATTATTAATTATAGTTACAATAGTGTAGTTGAACCTTTTTCTGATTTAATATCGAGGCTATTTGGAGCTTAATATTATTCAGTTTTCTTCAAAGACAAGTTTACTTTGTTTATGTAAACAATTTTTATTTATGAATTGAATTTGTTTTACGTAAAATCGATAATTGTTCCCCTCAATTTGAATATCTATTAGCCACGGTAGTAAAAATTCTGATAAAAATAAAAAACATTATGTAATACTTTTGTCTTGTATTTTATCATTCCACATATTTGTAATCATATAATAAATTTTCTTCTTGAAAGTCAAAACAGATAGTAATCAGATTTATATATGTTTATATATCATCGACACTAAAAATAAAAACATGTAACACCGAAAAATGATTGTGTTGTGTTTGACGTGCAAATTATTGTTAAAAATATGTAGTAGGTGTATCTATTTAAACTTAGGTCCAAAACTACTTACATATTGTTTATCCTTTAGACGATAAAGAAATAGTAACTTTTCTACATTTCTCATATAATTAATCATTCTTATATTTTAATGCGGTTTCTATGAATTATGAATTATATTCAAATACCTCTTGCATACATGCTGACATCTTTAAGCAGCGCTTCGCAGGACTCGCTCTCGTTTCCATCTAACTCCCTAATGGCTTTCAGAACACCTTCTTTACGCAAACCCCATTCGAGACTTTTACCTAGATAATAATAAATACTATTAATTTTATTAAAACAACATGCAACTAATACAAAACTTTATTAGAAATCGAAGATCTTTTTATTGAAAGCACTTTAAGAAAACTATTAGGTAGAGCAAAGTGTCTATTATTATAAAAGTAAGGCTTAAATAAAACGAAATAATTTATCATGGTGATATATAAACAATGAAATATAATGTACATAATCGTCCTTTTGATCCTAAATGCATCACAAATGTTGATAGAATGACCGAAAATGATTGAATGATCGACATAGAAGTTGGCGTTCCCATTCCAGTGAACATGTGTTTCATTACAAAGGACACCAAATTACAGCAATGATTTTGGTTGATATCAAAGCAGTCTCGTTATGAAATGATAGTTGTTCATGTTTGTTTGTTATTAATTTTGTGAACGTAGTTACACGAGTCTCGTGAAATAATAGTCGGCGAGCGAATTGTATCAAAAATTGGATGATTTTCAAAGAGTTTTTAGATGTCCTATGTAAGCATCCTTTTAAAATATAGTCTTGTTATTTCTAATTCGGATACATGTGCCAATTTCGTCTGAAAAAATATTTTGCCTTACATATAATATGGATAGCGGTGAAAAGAAATTCAATGCAAAATTGTTTCCCATTCAATACACAACGATAATGTCCGATGATTTATAAAAGAAAAACTGTTATCGTATAGTAGCGTGAGAATGCCAAATAAGGCTAACTTATACTTATCATTCTCACATATACATATAATTCATTTGTAATTGTATTTGTCATTAAAAATTAATTATTTTCAGACAGATCCCTAAATATAAGAAAATATATGATTGAAATTATACCAATTATATTTAATACTCCCATACTAACCTACTGTGAGAGAAAATAAATCGGATTTGTCCAATAGTAGTGCGACATGTGACCATCCAAATCTCTCGAAAATGCTGGTAAAGACACGAGGAAGGCGGCATTGACAGTAGGACATACGGGTCAGGGTTGGATACTTCTGCTTATCATTAAACAGGGTTTGCGGCTGGTAACAAAAATCATCAAAGCATATTACATGTCATTTATAATCAAACAGAAGTTTTATCAAAATTCCGAGAGCAAATATCGGTGTTAGTATGATATTTAAAAGCCTTTAATTAAATAAACTTCTTTGTAGATTAAATTTGGTGACTTTAAAATGATTTAATTCAATTACATGTATATTCAATACTTACCCTAGTTCCCTTGCGTAAATTGACAAGCCTGTGCATGCGGCTGACCACACTCGCTGGTGCAGCTAATTCTCCCTCTGAAGGAGGCTGTTCGGAATGAAAACATTTACATTTTACATCACCTTCTCATAAAGATAAAACTTCGTAGGATTCAATGAATTCACAGTGTGAGTGCCGGGTCTATCGCGAACTCATGACATTTATTAGCAATTTTTATATAAAATTATTACCTTTGAAAGTAACAGTTTCTTTTTATCGTTTTAGACTGAAAATAATACTAATAATACTAGTAAAAAAGTAATATCTCTAAACTGTATATATTTTCTTATAAAATTACTAGGTATAATCGTGGGAAATGTTTCGGACGTAAACAAAAAGAATCTCTATAAATTTGTTTACTACCACAACGCTTAAAATAATAGATTTCCATTTTGTGTGTCAAAAACGCTTACTAAATGAGAATTTATAAAACATTTTGTTGTGACTAACTTGTAAATGTAAAGATACGTAATATATACAATTACGAGTCCCAACAAAGGTAACCAAATTGCACTGTTTCAATATATGACGATCCTACACGTGTAGGATAACTCGTGCCTTCAATTCACTCTGCTACATATCATTTTAATTTACATTCGCAACGAGCTCTACGTTCAACCAGTAAAGGGTGCTATTTTAAATAAATTTAATATCAAAGGATCAAAGAGAAATAAAAGCTAGTGCTTCATTCACAATAAGAAAAAAATAATCGCTTTAAAAATGGAAACATAATTACTGACGCGATTGCAAATCATAACAAATTTATTATTTTACTTTCAAAACGTCCTTTAATGTTTAATTTTTAATTAATCTCCCTATTATTTCAGTTTGTATTAGCACCTTCTACGAGATTGAATTCTTAGACCGATAATACCCAGATTAAGGTAAAAAGAAACATTTTATTACCTGTCAAAAACTTCTATTAGTCAATTTTATTTGAACATAAAAAATATAAAAGAACCTAAGAGTGGAGGTTCCTAACTGCTAAAATAATCGAATCACTTCAACGAATACCTCCTTGAAAAATATTTTTATGAGAAATAAAAAAATAAGAAGTGCTCTTTATATAATGTTCTAATTTAATATTTAATATTTTATGATTAATAATAATCTTCAATGAGCTTTAATTGCTTTCCTACTTTCATTAACGGAATTCGGTATTATAATATGTATGTATACAAAAGAAACTATTATTTATTATTATCCGAGAAAAATCATTGCTTATAAAAATTTTGATAAAAAAATTTCGTTACTGAGTTTTAGTAACTACGAAATGAGATCAAATTTTTGGCTTCAATATTCTAGATTGTTATGTTTTGAGGCTAAAAACTCATAATAAAAATAATGAAAACAAAAAGTTATTATGTTCAATCGAGTATAAAAAATAATCTAAGGTATTTTTCGTTGCTTCTTTGAAGATTCTGTCGTCATATTTTGTTAATATTGAAATATACTTATAAAACACATTTAACTTTTGTATTAGTTCTTGATAATAGAAAAAGTAAATGAATACCGGGACCACGAAGAGATATTCTGCTTTATTGTAATACAAAAATAGCTCAACATTTAGCAAGCAGATTTCCAAAGGTAACAAACACCCCTTAATCGGTATCACTCAGTGCAAGTGACACGATATTCTTGGGCCATTACATTTCAATTCAATCCCATTACGCTCAATGCCAAGTTCGAGAGTGGCTTTCACTCTGATTTGTTTGTGCCCTTGACCACGACTAGTAACGTAATGACGCGAGGATACCTGCCACCATAGATACTAGATGCACAATGTATTTAAAGAACGGAATCGATAGAACCCAAGAAACCATTTCGTCATATTTACGATGTTTTAAGCAGTAAAACTGTGAGAATGAAATATTAAAATACCCTACAGGCTAATCTAAATTTCATTAAAATATTCACAAATAAATAAAGCACAAACAGACAAATATTAAAAGATGTACTGTTTAGTTTAAACATGAAACCTTTAGCTAGCATGGCCAATGTGCTTGTTTAATAAAAGGGTAATTTAACTTTGAAACAAACGGAAGCAGAATTCACCTAGATATGACATACGATTGGCAAATAAGGTTTTTGGTGGAAATAAATACAAAAATTTTAATTTTCATAATCTGAAATGTTCATTATCATAAATTTAGTAAAATATTTTAAAAGGATACAAAGTCCACTTAGAATTCTAACAACTTTAATTTAACATTGACCTTCAGTGAACGTATCTAAGTAATTAAAAGGCTACGATAGAACCTTGTCATGCTCAGGTTTAAATCCCCTGGACCTATTTAGTGAGGCTTTACAATTAACTAAATCACCTAAGCGTCGCAACTAAGTAATAATTAAGAAAAAAATTACCCACTCTCCTTTGCCTTCAAAATCTATCTTTATAATTAAATACTCTTAAAAGAATTATACTTCATTTAATTTCGTACGTAATAAACAACATTTTAAATTTTTTCATAGTTTTAACGAAAATCGTTTATGATTTACGTTATTACACTGTAGGTACTCACTAAAATTGTTGCTATTCGATATTATGTTAGATAAAGATTCAATGATACATCAAAATATATATTTTAAATGCGAAACCTCTTAGATTACCTGGTCTCCCATCCCGGTTATGATGGGTGTGTTCCAATATGCAGCCAAACGTGCAACTGGTTCCAAAGCAAATGCACAAGCCGGACCAACGAAGGCTATGACGTCATCTTTGAAGTGCATATCCGCTGCTAATCCAGGGGCAATCGCGCCAGAACATGATGGATAGCTGTGCAGAATAATTTGTTAGAAAGTGGCCTTCAAGAAGCAGAAACAGAAAGACATTCTTCTTAATGAAAGTGACCAAAACATAAATAATACAAAATATAAATGTCCTAATCTAAGCTTCATTGAATAAGGCGACCTGTAAGGAATGCAGCTAAAGTCGACTACGAAGTGTGTATTTGTTGGCATAATAAAGAGCATTTCAACTGCCAAGATCACCGAAATTATAGTGAACACGAAAACTTTAAGCAAAAACTGTAAAAAAAATATTCAAAGAAACCTAATCACAACAAAAACAAAAACAAAAGAGTTCAATAATAGAATTTCTACATCAAAAATAATAATTAAAATTATTTACTAGAATAATATTTGGTACATAATTCGGTAGGCCACGGTCAGATAATATTATTTGAGAGTGATAAAAAGCGATCTTTTCAAAAAACAATAAACCACTTTAAACCGCGAAAAGTAATGTATCTTAATCTGTTAGTATTATCAGAACTAAAGCGATAACGTCCAAGAGAATTATAAGTTAAAACATTATTAACTTAGTTCCGTATAACATTTTATAGCAGTCGTGAAGTTTGAAGCTATCATGCAGTTGTCATTTCTAGGAGAATACGAATAAAAATAACAGTTTAACGATGTTTGTCAATTGAGTCTTTGCAAAGATGTTTTTTAGATATTTTTAGTTACAGAATTCATTACATTCAAAATAATAACCTTGTTTAGAACCCAAATAAAAGTTATAAGTACCTACAATATTGAGTTTATTTATAACTATCGAGAAAATAGATCTGCTCTGATTTATCTCAATGCAAACAATTCAAATTACTAAGTTAAAATGTCTTTAATCATAATCAAATTAAGATGGATAAAACGATAAAATTTGATTTAAAAATCTCGTTTAAAAACACTATGTCGCTAAAGGTTAATTTTAAAAGGTTTCTTTAGAAATATTCAGACCTTGGCAGCTTTAACTTAGCGATTCTATAAGAGTGTATCGGTCAACTTTGATTACTTTTCTTATATTTTAATACTCAGATATTATCGAGAAATTTTGTAAAAAGAAAGATTTTAATCGCCTTGTAGGAGGATTTCTCTATGTACTCAATAATAAAATACTTTACTGATACTGTAGATAGATTATTTAATATATATTCATCTCATTTTAATTGTTTCGTAACGATTCTTCATTTTGTGATCCAACTTAAGCTTGTGCATTGTAAGAGCTTCTTAGAACCACTCACAGTGGAGTGGTAACCTTACGTGTTACTGACAATACGCAATATTATGAGGAATATTTTAACAGAAAAAAATATAAAACTTAATAATGTAAATCAACTTTTCAGGCAACTCAACAAACAAAATTAAATCTGAAATGTATATATAGAAAACAATTTTTTTTAAACCAGTTACCAAACTATTTTTTATTCATCACGAAATTACATTTTGTATCAGTAGGAATGAGTACCAAGAAAAGAATATATAGGAATTTATTTTCTAAAGTATTTAAAAAATTTCTAGCGAAAAGCTGGGAAATGTAAATGCACATGAACAAATCTTTCAAGTAACAGCATTTTTCACTCTGAGTTTATGTAAAAGTAAGGTTTTCGCGTAGCCATTTGTGGCTTGATTAATCCTTCTTTTAACTTATTTACTTGCTTCTTTAATCTTACAATGATAGATTATATATTTAAAATGTACATAATATATTTTTTTATTACGTTGATTACAAAATTGTAAGTTTATAGTTAATTAAACTAACTTGATTTCGTAATCAGACTCACGTGAAAATTGAGCCAACAAGCAAAGAAAAGCAAATGAAACAATAAGTTTTATAAAATTATTGTACTTTCAAATCATCAATCTTTTAATCACCATATAATACATTCAATTTGTCTAACATTTACTTTGAATATTAAATAATTAAGAAATAATTAAATAAGGAATGCGTTTATTTTAACGTTTGAACTTCCGTGTGTTTATATGTTTATAATTTAATATCTATATAGATAAATAAGTCTCAATATTCTTAAAACACTTCATTTATGTTAGTTTGGTTTGCATTCATTTTTTTAATTCACATGTTTGTTTTCAAAAGAAGAAATTACTTTTATATACATACCTAAATATTATTAGATAAAAAAAAATATACATTTTGAAAATATAAGATTCATTACCAGCGAAAAAATAGCACATTAAATAAAATATGTATATTTTTTAAATAAGTAAGTTATTATATTTAAAATAATCACGCTAATAAACATATATTTGTTTAAGGTTCCTGATTATTTTACAAGAATTAAAACTATTCTAATCAGATTATTCCAATTTTAGTTACTCTTATTTATAAAAAAATAAACAAACAGACAATTTCATTCTGAATATATATAATTCACCAAATTCATCCAGATAATTTTCTATGTGTAAATATCTCAAACTATATTATGTATTTTATCATACCTGCCCTGCACTTTTTGCAGTTCCACGTTATGATGCGCTAGGAACTTCTTGTTGACTTTCTCCATGGCCAAGTCTACGGCTGGTCCGCAACGCTCCAAATCAAACGGGGAGTCCAGCCTCGATGCCATCAACACTCCTACTTTATATATCGTGCGATTCAACAAACCAACAGATAACATAATTGCTAGCATAAAAAGCCTTGATAATTTTACTAAATACATATTTAATAAAAAAAACTATAATAGAAACTGATCAATGTACGTATTTAACACTCGTTTTAACAAAACTTAACTTTTTTAGTCTCAAATTTATACCCGCTTCAACAATAAAAGTGATCCAAATATATTTTACGATTTATATATCGATAAGTAAAAATATAAATAAGATAATATTGATGTTTGTCTGTAAATAATTATTTTTAATTTAAAAAAACTTTTCAAGTGTTGCTTCGTAATATCGTAAGTTCTGAACACAGGAGACGTACACTCTCTCACAGGGTGCGAGATAAACTGACGCTGAGTTGATGTTATCACAACATTGAGGGGTGACGCAACAGGTTACAATATCCTCCATTCCCCCCCATTAACCCTTGATGAGATGTCATCAAATTAATTCTCACAAACCCATTACCATCGGAAAACATATTCTAAACTGACGCTTTATAAACAGGAAAATCTATGACTACGAATCAGTCGTTTATTTTGTTTTATTATTTGTTTATTTTAAATAAAAGTTTTCTAATTTTCTATGCCGCTGTTATTTCAAAGATAAGATTGTTAAAACAACCTAACTTTGTTTATTGTGAGTTTCTTTGAATAACTAATTATACAGCCGACACCGACTTGGTCATCGATTTTTATGGACTTGTTTGATGGTGTTATAAAAAGTATCCTTTTTTACATTTACATTACGAATAAAAATATTTGAATATATATGAAATAACACATAGATACCAACTGAAATCTAAATGTAAATCTGAGGTTATAAAATGTTCTCAAAAACCTATGATAACTTGTTAATAAATTTCCTTAAAATATAATCTTAAAGTTCTTATGTTTATCGTTACAAAAACCACCAGAGTTTACTAAGATTCGTGATGAATTTTCAAAACAACAAACTCAAAATGATGAATGACAAGTTTTATATTTTCCATTATCAATCTATTAAATATTATATAGATCAATATAAAATTATAAAGATTGAAACTAGACACTGTATACAATTAAATATATAAATAATATTTTCTACGTTAATATTTTTTTAAGGTGTGTTCAAATTTTATAAAAGGTTAAAATAAAAAAACCCGAAATACCTACAGAGGTCATCGCTACTGAAGAGATCCGTATGTGTACTACAAGACTGCATTGTCACACTTTATAAGAAACATTTCCTATTTGCCATACAACACCGACTACTGTATGGTAATAATTTAACGTGTAATAATTTATGATTGAAAGACTGAATATGTTCTTATGTAGTAAGGACACATACTTAAGTAAAGCTTAGAGTATCATTACTACAAGTCTTCATAGTCACACTACACAGTCATTCCAGTTCTTCTGAAAACCTACGTTCATACAATCATGTGTGTTAATTTATGAATGAGATATTGAAAACACTCCGTATGTAGTAACATTAAAACTTGTGATAAGAACGAAATAATCTTGGATGGGAGAATCCACGTTCGAATTTACTTTATTGTGTTAAGGCTACTTTGAAGGTCTGGCGAATACCTAATGTATTTACTATTAGCTTTCGATACAGGTCCTGGGATGTATAACACATTTTAAGTAAGACATACTAAGGGAAAGTAATTTATATGTAAGTTTGTTCGATAGATATAACAAGGTAGCGTGCGATCAAAGAGCTTCTGACCACCAGTTGACTTGGAAATATATTTTCTTTAATCTTACTTCATATAATTTTACGTGTCTAGTCTTAACTGGGACAAGCCATGGCCACCGGAAAACAAAAAGCAAATATTTGTTAAAAACCATAATAAAATACTCAATCATTTTATTTCAACTCCAAGGTCTGCTACAATTATTATCTTATATTTTTTTCATTTAAACTATTTCATATCTTATTTGGGAAATTTAAAGTTACATTTTTACGTAATAGACCCAATGTGCAAATTAATTTCATGTTACAAATTTAAATTTGTTTATAAATATAGAAAAACAATTTTTGCTTCTGTGAAAATATTTGGAAAACAATAAAATTTTTATAAAAAAAAACAATTATATTTAGTTTTATAACAATATTTCAATAAAAGATGGTTTTTCAACGTATCTTTGTTACAATTTCATGAAAATATTAAAAATTACTAAACATAAATGATATTTGTCTTACAATAACAATTGTATTGAAACCCGATAACCTATACATATGCTTATAAAATATAAAATAGCTTTATTAAATTTTAGAACAAATTAAAAACCAACAGTCCTAATTTTCAAACATCCAATCAAACAAACGATTTCGATATCTCGCCTGAAAAATTGCTTGTACTTACATTATGTAAATAAATATGTAGGTACCTATGTGATAACGTATCTAAATACATATTTTTAACAGTTTTTAGTATTAAGACATATTTTTAACCAGTTTTTTCAACCGAATTCGTTAGCGTAGTCTTCTCATGTGGGTTGAGAGAGAAATGAGTTTGTTAAAACGTGTTATAGTAACTAACCAACAGCGACATTTACAAAAGTGAATGTGTCACGTGACTTCAAACAAAATAAAACTTTCGTGCCAAAACAACACGTTAATTAGAATTTCTTAATAAATATAGCCTACGTATTATTCTGATGTCGAAGCTATACTTATTACTTTAAAGTTTCATTAAAATTCGTTGATTAGTTTTTGCATGAAAAAGCATTATGATTTAAACTTTCGAGTTTATGATATACATGGATAATGATATTTTACATTTTATATCGTCTCTAGCTTTTCTTTGGATGGATTATTCGGATACCAAAAAATGTTTTTTTGTACCAACAACTAAAAAAAAAATAAGGTTTACATGTGTGTTTGTCAAAATCTTTTATAACAGTGTCAAATGGACCCTTGATATTTAGTCGTAAAAACGGATAGTCGTTACAACATGTAATATTTTCGAAGTATGAAGTAGCATTCTTTGTATAAACTTTTATTTAATATGTATTGTTTGAGCATAGATAAAATAGGAAATCAGTGAAGAAAAAATCATTTAATCATAAGAATTATATGTAGATATAAAATCAACAAAACACTAAAATGATATTTCGTTATAATAATAAACTATTTTTAGCTACAATAGACGGATCAACGATTTAGTACGCTTTATGTGAAGGGTACGTTATGTCCGCCATTATAGTGTTATATACTCACTAACAATACAGTCCATAAAGTTGCATTTAACGATGTTTCCAGCCGCCGTCGTCACGACTCACAACATCTGATGTATCAAACATGTTCTCATCATTACTAATATGTTGCTTTCATTATATTTAAATGAAACTAATATTTTTTATTTTATTTTTGATTAGAATACTACATACTCCCGACGTTTCGGCTACTTTTCAGCAACCGTGATCACAGGTAGACGAGATGTTATTATTTTATTTATATTGTTTATATTCATTAAATAACTGTGACTTTTTATGTAATTATCAGTATATATGAATTCTTGGTTCAAACGTTATTCACACTAGATTCAATAGTATCAAAATTGCATTCAATTCAATTCGGTACTCGGTAGCTATACATTTTCAGGTTCCAAGGAAATAAAAATTCCGCTTCTTTTGTTAATTAGTTGATCATTTATATTTTATAATATAGGTTTAATTTCATCATGAACTCCGTTGAAAGTTTGAACTATTTAGTACATTTCTAATGTTATTGTAATGCACCTCTTCAGGTGCAAATGTACTGAACTTAAAAGTTATTCAGCAACGTAATTTAATGTAAATATTGTTATGTTTTAATAAAAATATTAATAGATTATATTATTTCTCTAAACTAAAACAATATGATAACAGAGATTTCGGACCAGGACACAGGTGTTTTAATGTACAATGACCATAAACAATACATATAAAATTTAAAAAAAAACATTGGAGATGTATTACTATGACCACGTTATGTTCACATTGGAACTAACTCAATACTCTTTCGATTAGAAAAAAAAATTACAGGCCCTTTTTCGAAAGCTATTATAGGTTGATAAAAACAAAAGGATCTGACAACGTCCTCTTTTTAATTTCTTTAAAAATTAGCCCTTTACATACTTGCGAGGTACATCTCCATCAAAATCAGTCCAACGGAACAAACAGACAAACGAAGACAAAAAAAAATAATCAAAATATATTAATTGCCTTTTTCATATACATATTTACTCAAGCTTATTTCATGGGAATGTAGTGAAAACGTGTCAAAATTAAAATTAGGAATTATAATAGACATTTTTATAAATTAACTTTGTTTTCGTCTATAGGAACAAGATTTTAAATCTACGCCTGTTTTGTATATCACGAAAATTTAAGAGGTAGTATGAAAATAAAAAATCACATATTAAACAAGACATTTATTCAACGAAACTGCTACACACTGTTTATATATTTGAATAAAATATATTAAATCTAAACATTAAAGGTACTATTTGGTGTTATAAATAATAAAATTAAAAACAATTCATATTATTATTTATAAATAAAGACAAATTCACAATAATATTAACATATTACAACATTATTTTAAAATATTTTATATAGTTTTAACACAAATATATTAATATAGGGATTATTTTATATCTATGTATATTTTATTATAACGTTTGCTGGCTGTATAAAATTACAAGTATGAACCAGATTCACATATTTAAACTCAGTAAAATAAATAGCACGAACTTTTCTGTCTGTTATATATCCAGATAATATGACACAAATAAAAAAGATATCTAGAATAAAATCCGTCTCGAAATGACGTTAAAAATACATAAATTAAAAAAGGTTTTATATTATAAAATGTTCAGAAAAAACATGCTGGCTATTGATAAAATCTCACGTTACTGAAAAATAAAAAAAACTAAGTGAAAGAAAAAATACTGAGCTGTCACTGTCACTGTCAAGTTTTAAGACATTTGTTGTCAATTTCAATTTATGAAGACTATAGCTATATTTAGATGTCAAACTTCAAAACGGAAAATTTTTATATAAAAAAAAAAAACTTACGGTCTCAGGTATCGTCTACAAGCCGTAACTCACACTATCAACTAATGACTAGATGACGAATGGACTCCATTACAATATGTAAGCCTATTGAATATTACATAATTTCTAATGCATACATAATATAGTTATAATTAAGTGTCCCTTTTAATAAGATTTCAACGTTACGAATTCAAACTACCATACATGACTTCACTCCTATTTTCTATGTTTAGAATTTCGGTAAATATATTTATAAGCATATACTCCAAAAGTAAAACAATATCAACTTTCCTTATAATACTTGGAATATAGATAAAAATCTATTATCAACCTGTTAAATCGCGTGTGCAATACATTTTTTTCTTAATACATTATCAAGCAATTTAAAATGAGAAAAAAAAGTTTAAATATGATTCTGTGATTATATATTTTCTCATATAGATAGAATAAGACATTGAAAGTATCACTTTATATACGGCGTGTTGTTTTTTTGTTATTGATAAAATAAATACAATAAACAAATATCAAGTGGAATGATGCTATTGGTCTTTTCAACAAATCCATCACCCTGTATCTCAACATGACAATAATAATTATTCTAAAAATTTGTGCGTATCGATCTAAATATTTTATAATATACGATTAATACAAAACTATCACACACACATAATAATTATCACTTACTTTATATTATATATATATTTTATTGCTGTATCTGTCACACAGACCGTCATACGTCTAGACGTGAATTGTACTCGGAGGTCGTATAGTTAAACATTTTAGTACATCTATTAAATTTAATAAATAAAAATGGACACTACTGGGCTCACTATCGAATATTCTACGTAATATTAACATCATTACGCTTACAAAATGTTTACAGCATCACACTACATACGATGCGTTCCCAGTATCTTCTTCAAAAATATACGTTATTGTGTGAAAATTTATGATTGAAATACTAGAAACATTTCGTATGTAAGTGACGATGTCAACTTTATGTAAGCCTAGTTAGTTATTGACTATAAGATACCTTTCACATTAATTGCTTTCTCGTAGCGTTTTTTTTTATTATTGCATTATAATAGCAGTTTTTCTTTAAAGAAATAATGTCAATGTTGGAATTCTTTAACATTTTTTAATTATAGAATCATTTCTTATCGAGCGTTAATATAGATGAAAACCTCTTTTAATCCACACACTTGTATGAGTTCTAATCTTCGTAAGTTTTGCTTTGGTAGGAATAGAACTCTTTAGCGTTATATATTTTGACTAGTTTTCATTTAAACTACATTTTCGTATATAACGTACGCATATTTTTTACTATTTTTTTTACTGCCAAGTTAATCGTAATATCCGAATAAAATTTAAGTCATCTCTCCGAGTTTTATTTGCAAATATAGTATCAATTAAATGTTGTCTATGATTCAGTCATTATTAAATTCTTTTTTCCTTCTAACTCCATTTAAAAAACACAAAAAGAAAAACGCTACCCAAAAAATCTTTAATGTGAAACGACATTTACAACGAACAAAAAATCATCGTACGTATTAATTGGTATTGGCATACCATAAATAACTAGGTCTGAAATTAAAAATTACTTTTCTAAACCCACCTAAATTATCTCTACGGCCAAATATATTGTAGAATACTTTATTTTTTTGTATTTACTGTTTTATATCTAGACGTAGAATTTGGCAAAAATTCATAAATTTTGGGGTTAATATTGTTACTATAACGAAGTTATGTGCCCTAATAATATTTACTAAGACAGGGGTTGGATATTTAAATCTAATACTCTAATAGTTCATTACAAAAGGTATATGTGTAAGTAACATTACGCACGAACACATTCTATTTGAATATGGAACAAACAAATAAAACCAAAAAGGTTTAATTACAATTTCCAACTTACATCGGCTGTATAATTCATGCATAATGCTTTACCCATATACCAATTACAACTAACACGCAAATAGTAATCTAAACATTGAAACTCGACGAATTAATATTACTGTATCTATATAAATAAATTATTGCTTTTTTTTTGTATTCCATTGCGGAAGACATTACTTGAGGCCAGTATCTAATAGGCAACTTTACTTGAGAAGATTTTTTTAAATATAGAACATTATATAAAGATAATGAAAATTATTGTATAAGTAAATGTTGGAATTTACGCCAAGAGTTTTTTTTATGGGGTAAGTACAGTTTTAAGGTAAAATTAGGCCCATAAAGTTTTTTACTTCCGAAATTTTTTATGCCGTAATAGACAAAGAAGTAACTTATTTAATAGTTTTGATAGTAAAATTACATCTATATATGGCTTTCAATCAGGAACATTGGATGATTCAATTATAAGAAAGAGGTAGAAATGGAATTACGAGTAGGATAAATTTAATAAATATATTTTTAATACTAGGTACAATCAGCTACAAAAATATGCATCTCTTTTTATTATTAACTTTAATAATTAAATTCATGAATTTATTTTCTACATCTTTCTGTGTTTGCAAACTTTATGATGCAAAGTACAGGTCAAATGTATAGGGAGTTTCATTTCAATCCAAGATTTTCAAGAAAAGTGTCACAATTATGACATTCTGTCTGAAATTCATCATTATTTTAATGTCAAGACGTGTTATAATAGCAAAAATAATATATCATTATGCTGCATATAATAAATAAATTACATAAATAAAAGATATAACATTAAATAAGAATTCATATATATACAACCTTTGTAGTTGACTGTACACAAAACAATTAACTTATAAAAAGCATCACAATGAGGTAGTGGATTGTTAACAATATAACAAAAAAAAACATTATATATATATGTTCCAAATTATTTAAAACTCACAGGAAATAGGAATTTAATACTGCTCCAATTATTTATTGGTGATTTGTATATAAATACTTTAAACAGAAACATTTATGAATTATTATTATAATGCTTTTTAAATTTTGTAACGCTATTCATAATCAGGAATAATGTTGAAATGCCTTAAAATCCTTTACTGCAGATCCTGTGAAAGGCGATTGAACTCTGTGGGGAAGATTGGTGTCATTTGTAACTGTTAACAAATTGTAACATTTCAATGATAAATAGAAGTCTTAAGGAACTGCTACATGTAAGATATGTTACACAAGGGGAAGTTGAAAAAAATTAAACGCTATATGAATAAAGGTACAATTGCCAAATATAATTACCAAATAAAGTAATGATAATAATTTTTTGGTGAAACAGGCCACTTTGAGAAAAAGTAAAACCTTTGTTGTGATTCTAATATATATTTTTTAAATATTGAATTGACACCTTATGCAAAAACCACCAAATTCATCTACTTTACTAATCTATCTTTAGACCAGAATTTGATTTTAGAAAATGAACTGTCAAGTATCAAATACTGCTAATTTGAGTATCACAGTGAATTTACAGAACACGAAAAAGCACTTCTTCCATAGCAACTTGTCCAAATAAACTTATAGGATAAAATTCAATCTTGAAAAAAAAAAACACCAATAAACCATCAAATACCATTAAGTCAAAAAATTCTTGCAGAGCCTCAAATAATTCTGGAGGGTTTTTGAACAATCAACTACCGTTTACGGAATATATTTTATGGGACAGTTAAAAATAACATGTTAATAATAATAAATAAAATAATTTTCGGATTTCACAGTTTTTGAAAAGTTGTAACCCAAACAGGTTTTTTGAAGACTGCACTGAAAAAGAAACGTTATAACACCTAGCTGGTCTCACGAGTTTTTATAATACGCCGTTCTATTTAACAGGAACAATATACGATCCACAATTCCCAATAAATCAAGAGAAATACACAAAAGAATCATTATCTTTAGCAACTTAAAGAGCACCAGTGACTAGTCAAATGAACATTTAGGATACTGTTTTATATTAATACAATGCTTTTAGAGTTATTAAATATACTATCTATATATTTAAAGACAAATAGTATATTTAATAAATTATATAAACATAGAACAGTATCCTAACAAGCGCTATTAAATATTTTGCCTTCTGTCTCCATATTTGATACAAAATGAATAAAAGCTGAATTAAATGTATAATACTAACAACCTATGGGCATATATAACTATGTTATGTACCTTTATTTATATAGACGAATAAATATACATAGTAAGCATCAAAAACATTCCGCTGTGATTAAAAATTAAAATAGATTCCGTGTCATTTTTGACACATGTACTATAAGTGAAAATTGTTTGCCAAAGAAGCCCTAATGTTATTATAGGCATTAAATGCTAGAATATTGCAATAACATAGAAAAATAAACGTTAACATCATTATTTTAAATATGTTTATAGCATGCACAATCTTTACTGGTACAAATTAAAGTATTATTCAAAGATCTTCGAAGAGATGGATGTAAATGTCCAATATAAAATCAAAGAATAACCAACCTTAAATCCATAGTAATAAAGGTGTTCATCGCTTCATGGAGAGGAGTGGTGCCGGCGCCGTCTACGGAACACGAAGGCGAAGATGCTGCGGAGGCGACGCCACCGACGACGACCACCCGATGACGTCACACAGGGAGGAGGCTGGGGGGAAATGGATGTAAATATTATTTGAATTATGATAAAATACCTTTGAAATGAAATCACCAACCCGTCTTGAGCAAGCATGGAGATTAATGCTCAAACCTTCTCCATGTGAGAAAGAGGCCTTTGCTCAGCTGTGGGCTTCTGATAGGCTGATGACAATACCTTTTATCATTTCTGTTTTGAATGTTTCCCATGGACGGAGGAAGAAATGAGGGGGATTAGTATTTTTATTTGTATTGCAACTTTTTTTCCATGCTATCTATTGGACGATACATTAGCAAAAAGGTATTATTTCTTCAATTAGAATAAATGTTTATGTTTGAAATATTTGCCTTATCAAATTTAAGTATTGTAACTGATTTCAACTCCTTGTTAGTTGATATAATTTAATGCAATATATTTTCAACGTCATTTCCCATAGCAGTCAAACAAGATCACGAAACAAAATGAGCTTATAAATAAGTGACATTGCGAATATCTGAAATCCTAATTTTTTTATACAAATGTAAACCGTATATTCCTTTCATGAAATAGATACTTGAATCATAGACAATGTTATATACCTGTCTCTGTCTTTCTATACGTCTTATCTCCCTCACGAGTCCGTGGAAGGCGTCGTCCACGAAGTGACGTAGAGCGGCTGACGTCTCGAAGAATGGACATCCCAACTGACTCGCTAGGGCTTTACCTTCATCAGTTGTTACCTATAACAATTAATGTTTTATCTTATTTAGTTTCTCACCGAAAATTTATTTTGCTAGCGTTACACTTCATTACATGATATCATATTATAGCAAAAATTACGTGAATGATTAGCAACGTCAGAATTTGAAGATATAGAAAGTATTCCAAAGTTTTTAAATTTAATATTAAAGTTACTTGTAATTCTTATCTATTTATTTTAACAAAAATGGTTTAATCATCCTTACAGTACAACTTTGTGTATTTATACGGAAGCTAACTCTCACGCTAATTACAAGAAAGGGGTCGGTAAAAACAGTGTGGCTACAATCACGGTCGAAAGGCTATTAGTTTAGTTAGTAAAGAAAAAGCATAGTTAGTAATTTTTGACAATGCAAAGACCTTTGATAAGCCCTTGTATAAAGCAAGAAAATTACATTCGCACAGACTAAGAAAACACTGGCATGAGGATAGTTAAATTGCTTTTGTGTTATTTGCAGAGTTCATTTGCATTTATCCTATTTTGTTATATAACAAGAATGTCTTATCAAATGCTAACAACATACTATATCAAATACTGCAAGTAAGAGAAATGATTTAAAAACCAGAACCTGTATAAGTAACCTTTGTAATTTTTTTAGGACCATGAGCCTTTGCTCTGTTGACATAAATTAGATACAATTCGACATAAAAACTATTACATCATGTATGAACATGAATAGTTTAAGATATTAGATGTTCAGAACAAACAGTGTGTGACTGGAACATGTGTAGTATAGAATAGGAATGTGATAACATAACCATACTTGTCTGAACCGCGGCGCTAAATCCAGCTTATTCCCAACCAGTACTATCGGCAGCGACTCGTTGGGTCTAGCGTGGGCCAAGAGCCGCTGGTACTCTCCGGCCGCACGAAAAGAACGTCTGTCTGTCACCGAGTAGCACAGCATAAATCCTTCACCACACCGCATGTACTGTTCCCGCATAGCCGTGAACTCTACCTGAAAAATGTAAATTAGCTAGTAATGTTCATATATTAAAGGAAAACCTAAATTACTTGTTATCATTATTGCTTTTGAGATAATTTGGATGGTAAGTAGTCACTATGGATTATGACAATACTGAAACTAAAACACTTATGCCACAGAAATGTAGCTCAACTAATAAGCACACTAGTTGTAGAAGTAATTTTTAGACTACTCAATTTAAGTAGTACAAGTTTTATTACCTGTCCTGCAGTGTCCAAAATGTCCAATAAAGCTGGCTCACCGTCAATAACTGCTTGTTGTTGGTATGAATCCTCTGCAAGAAAATTTCCAATTAATACAATATGCTTTAAATGGTTGGAAACATCCACTTATCAAACTAAACAATTCAATGTAGTTTCTTAGAATTACTTAAAGACAATGCTATAGATGTACCATCATGCAGTATGTGTATTAAAATCCAAATACATTTTATTAATCAAAGGTAAAGAACCTTTTCACTGAAGAAATATTTTAGAATGTTAAATTATAGTGTTATAAAATTGGATTCAGTGTCAACAAAAAGGTGACCCATAATGAAAACCTGAATGCAATTTATACCAGCCTGTTCAAATCATTTTTTAAAAATATATGATAACAAAAACAGTTCCATATGTGATCAACTAGAAAATATATCAATATTACTATTATTAATATAAATATAGTGATAAAAATTAAAACTAAAAGTATTGCGTGGATTAATAATACCAATTAAGGCATCATCATTCATCATATTCTTAATTAATCATCTATCATACATTGGTCTATAAGTTCATAAGTCCAACTTAGTGAACACATAATGTATTTTATTATTATCATATACATGTGTGATTACTTCTTAGAGATATATATTTTTAATTATAGGCATTATCAAATTGCAGTATTGATAAATATATTTAAGTTGATAAGAATTACTGCAGTATCAATATAAAAAATTACTATATAAATATTTTTTATTCTTACAATACATATTGTTAGTCAATTATTTTTGAAAGATAGATACAAGCTAATGTGGATCTTTAGTTAAGACATTTAACATTGGAAATTGTTTTCAGAAGACCTTTTAACAATTTACAATTCTTGCCATCTTTTTCATAAATAATCTATATTTTCAGATAAAAAAAAAAAATAATAAAATAAATAAACCGGACTAATTGTTGTCGATAGGCATTCAGATAATCGAAAATCGGATAATCGAATGTATGAAGAAAAGCCGGTTTTGTGCTTGTCATAATGTTTTATGTTTATTTAAAAAATAAATTAAAATATATATTTGGTAATTTACAGAATATTTGGTAATTGTCATTTGACATTCTTGTCCATAGTCCGGATAATTGCAAATCTGTATAACTGAGGGCCGGATAATAGAGTTTCTATTGTATATATCTTTTGTTATACATTTTATTTACTGTGTACATTTGATATAAACCTGTTAAATTCATTTATTATACATTTTTGAGACAAGAAATTTAAAGAGACATTGGGATTTCTGTCTAATAAAATGCATAAGCGTATTAAATTTGTATATCAAATGTGTATACGATCACTTTAACATTTAAATGAACTTTTCTGGAATAAGGAATCAACTAAAACAGAAAAAATATTTAAGAGAACTTATTCTGTATTTAAATTTTAGTGGAGACATTGAAAGTCTATAGTATATAATTATTAATTTAGTAAAATATTCTTTTTAAGTATAAATTGCAAGGTCAGGTTTCATTTCTTAGATTTCATGTACCATATGGCTATGGTTGTTACCAGATCATTTAAAAACATTAAATGTAATACAATTTTTTGTCAGGTATACTCTTAAAAATATATTTCTTAACATTACCGATAGTGGGATCGTGGTAGTCCAAGAAGCTGTGGCTAACGAACTGCAGGGTGACCGCGGACTTGCCAACTCCTCCGTCACCCAGCACCACGATCTTGTAGACGCGGAGGCCGCGCGATGTGCCCGCAGCCTCCGCCATGCCGCCGCATGCCTGCTCGCTCAGGGGCCCACGAGAGCCGCGCCCGCCGCGGTCACTCGCAACACCCGCTCCTCGTTCCAGCCATCCGCACAAACCACCCCCCAACACAACCACTATGCTGACTGTACCGATAAACTTGTATACCTCCTCATTTATCACACATCTTAATTAAGTTTGTAATGTAAAAGTAAAAAAAATGTCACCGATCATGAAAATCGACAGCTGATTAGAGAATAAAGACAATTGTGATTGACATTTTGATTTTTTAATTGTGATCAGATTTTTTTTACATATATCCAAACTCTTTTTCATACCAATAATAATAATATCTATAACAATAATATGGCTACAATAATTATATTGAAATAATTTTTTTATTATGTTTTTGTATGAATATAAACTAACTACTAATTTATTAGAACCATATTTCAAATAAAGTTAAAATAAAAATGTACACCTATAGAGGAACTGTATTGAACGCATGACAGTGTACTGTCGAGTTTTGACAATTTAGGAGTTAAGACAGGAAAATATAAACAAAGGCAGCTGTATAATATCATATAAGATAATTTTCTCTAGTTTTGGGAAGGAGATATATACTATATGGATTAAAAATGGCCCATATACAATTAGTCGATGAGTTAGTGCGGGAATATTTGATTTTCAGAGGGTTTACATCAACTGTAAAATCGTTCGACGCTGACCTTAAATCTGATAAAGATAAAGGTTTTAGAGTTGACAAAATAGTTGATCAAATTATGCATTATATAAACGTTTCTGATCTTATTGGTCTGAAGGAATACTGGTTACACCTCGATAGTTTAATTTTCTCAAAGTTAGAGGTTCATGTTCAGCCAGGTTAGTCTTTATAAAATTGTATTTTTTTTATATTATAATTTTACTTCAAAGAATCCTCTTCCAGCAATCCGCAAAATAGAGTACAGTCTCTACAAACTGTACTTGGTGACAGCATCTCAGAGCACTGGAGGTGTAAAAAACGAAAAAGTAGCAGAATTTCTATCTAAAATGTTACCAGAATTACAAGGGCAAAATGAATGGAGAGATTGGTTCAGTATGTTATAATTATATATCAATAATTCAAAGTATATTTACAATATGTACTGTATATAATAAATATATATTTGTAAATTTTCTAGTGTTACCGTACATACAAAAACCTGAGGAGAATCCTTCGTTTAGTCTCTATTTCACCAGAGCCTGGCAGGATAGTGTGCTTGTGTCGTTACATAACTTGCTAGCTACTGTATTTCAATGTATGCCTCAGCCAACATTAACTAGTTATGAGAGTGATGCAGCCTTGGTCAAGAGGTTACAGGACGAGATAATGACTCTTAAAGGAAAGGTATCTCTAATTCTTATCATTTTAAATTATTTTTTTTGATCTTTTAAATTTCATGAAGAAGCTTTTAGAATTAATTTCTTAACATGAACTTTCTTAAAAAATGGTTTTAACGAAATAGCTCTATTTAGAATACAGATTTACAAAACAGAAAAATTGAACAGGTCATATTTATCTAAAAGTTATGTTTACATATATTTAAACATAACATAGAGTTTTAAATATACTACACATTATCAGAAATAATGTTTTTATAGGAAAACATAGCTTTATTAATTAAAATGTGTACTTATTAAAATGTAAGGCATAATCTGTTATCTGCAATAAGTATTCGCTATATTTTGTCCGGCTTCGTACATATATTTCTTAAAAAATAACTTACCAACCCTGATCAAGAAGGACAATTACATTTTTAAATATTTCAGACACAGCAACCTTCTGAAAAAACATCGCCAATAGGACATCAATCACGTATAAGTCAATATTCTGAAAGACTCAGTGTTCCCTTACCATTAGTGGATGATTTTTCTGCTATACCATCAGAACAATTTGATACTGGCATAAGAGAAGCTCGTGGGCTCAGAGGCCTCTTACGACAAATGGGAGGGAGTCCAGTTATGGCAAGAAAAGCTGGAAGATCTCAAAGTCAGAATTGATATTTAAAGTTAATATATTAAACAATACTTATGCAACCCTACATTATAAAACCTATCTATATATAGATGTTAATGTCATTACTCTAAGAGAAAAATAAAGTTTGAATTAACTTAATATAACTCTTTGTTACAATTTTTCCTATTTCCCGCCAAAAATTGTCAAGCTGAAGACAGATAATAAAACAAAATACTGAAAAGCATAAAATACACGTTTCATCCATAACTGAATATATAGATTGATATATATTAGATATAATATATAAATATAATATTTACAAAATACATCTTCTAATTTCATAGATTAACAAACACGATTAGAGAACTTGAAACTTATAGCGTCCTCATTTTTAGTCTATGGTCATGTAGTGACTTCAATGTCACTGAAATATTGGAGAGCGCTTACAGCTTGTTGTTGAAGCCGGGTTTGCAAATAAGTTAAATTTCTCATCTTGTTGTATTTTCTGTACCTTAAATATTATTCGAAAGATAAATGTGGAAGCTGTAAAATTTTATTTAAACTAGTATAATCATAACTAACAATCATATAGCGAGGCATTATTGGAGTTTAACAATTGCCCTCCAAAATGTCGGGGTAAGTTTTTGCCCATGTTATTGTTTGAAAATTCAAAATACTATTTAAGTGTTGTCTGTGTACATTTATATATGAAACTGAAGTAAAAGATAATTCTAACACTTTTTCAAGTAAAAATATTGCTTTAATTTATTTTTAAACACGGCTAACTTTCTCTTTTTATTTTTTCTACCCACAATTCGCCTGTATATCTTTGCTAAAAGTATGTATTCTTCATATAAACAGATATGTAATAAATATCATTTTCAGAAAATCATACACAATGAAAGAGATGAAAGCAATAGTGGAGTATTTAGTTGAACACAAAGCTTATTCAGAAATAAAAGGGCGCAAAATGTGGATGGACATGGCTAGTTCCGATGTAAGGCCGACTTCATAATATTACGAACTAAGGAATACAAAGAAAAATTTTTTTACTTTGCATTAATTCATCACACATAACATTGGTATTCACAAAAACAAAAAAAAAACTTCTATAATTAAATTTTTACATTATTAATCAATTTTAAAGTTATATTTTGTCCAAAGTAAGCCTGCATTTTTTGGCTATATTTGAATTTGCCAAAATTTCAATTAGGTATTAACTATGATTTTGTAAATAACAAATCTTATAATAAAACTTGTTTTTTTTTTTGTTGAAATTAACTTCTTAGAATTTACTTGAATAATAAAAGAGAATATTACTATAATTATAAAAGGTACAGAAACTTATTGTTTCTAGAAGTGTTTGACAAATTTACAATTATAATGAAATTTTAAGAGATGATTTTGATAATTTGATTCTCAATGTCATTGTTTATATTTGTTTATTAAATTTTTACTATACGGAAGACTTATGTAATGTTCATTTTATTATATTGAATACACTAGTTTTTCTAAAATCTTAAATAAATATTGTTTCTCTACTAATATAACTATAATTTTAGGTTACAAGCAGAACATGGCAAAGTTTAAAAGAGACATTTCTCAAGAGAATATTACCTGACATTCACAATCCTTATTATAAGCTGTCTACACATCAGATAGCAAGTTTTAAAAATGGGTAAAACTATGTTAATTAATACTAAAAGGAGCAGTTTATGACCCTTAAATAATTTCTTTTTATTAATAATTAGAATAATTTCATAAAAAATAATGATCCAACAATTTGCTCAAATATTGTTGTTTAACCTTGTTTCTTGTAAGAGTAAATAGACTTCTAAGCAAAGCTACTGGAACACAATATGCTAAAGTATCTGGTTCAAATCCTAAAAGTTATAAGCATTTTTTCACTTTCCTATTCTATATACATAATTAGAATTTATTTAAACCATTATTTAAATAGTATTATTCTTTTTCTAGAAATGATATAGAAGCAAAATTAAATAATAAATTGGAAATACAGACAATCAATGTTGACTCAAGTAATGAAGGTAAATTTTATTCATACTAATAACTTGTTGAAATAAAACAAAATCATAACATAACATTTTTCAGACACTGAGAAAAATGGTAAGGACGAATTACAGAAAGACAATGAAAATATAGGAGATGTACCAACAGGTGAGGATCTCCAAAAATTAAATGCAATTACCAGGGACTCTACTGAAACACTGATATTGGAAAACTGCTATGAAACCGCTGAGGACATTAAAAGAGATTTGCAATCACCCAACGAGGATGAGGAAAAGGAAGAAGATGCTCGCCCGAAATCATTGCGTGATTTAATAACATATTCTGAACCAGTAACTAATTTGCTACAAAATACTCTCGATGATTATGGTACAGATGAAGAGGAATCAAACGGTGAGCCGCAGATGCAAATTGTTGAGAATGAAGAAACAACTAAGAAAGACTCTAGCAAAGATGATGACAATGAAATACAAGATTCAGACAGCGGAAAGGAAGCAAATGTTGCATCGAACAAACAAGTTTCTAACAAAGAGAAAGAAAACAATAAGACTACTACAAAGATATCGGAAAAACAACCTGGAAAAGATCAGTCCACTGATATATTAACTGACAACCATGTTGCCAATAAAACAGTTGAAGAAGATGCATCAGACGCTAAGGCCCTAAATGAGAATAACCAAAGGAAATCTGATATAACACAAAACAGCACAGCAATTACTGAATCTATACCTAATAATCAAGAAGCATTTCAAAAGAAGAAAGACGATTCTCCAGAGGAAAATGAAGTGTCATCAACAAAGCAGAATGATAATAAAAATAATAATAAAAATAACAGAAAGAGGGCAAGTTCACAGGAAATTCCACAGAGAAAGGGTGTTAAGAAGAGTCATTTGAGTTTACCCAAGCAATCAATATCGGACTCAGATGCTGTCACCAAAAGTAAAAACAAAAAGAAATTAAATCCTAAAACCATTGAGAAGAAACTTAACCAATTAGATGAAAAAAATGAACCTGTAAATAACGGGTTTGCTTTAATAGTTGAGGAGAAAGACAAAAACGCAGAACAAATAACTGTTAATGAAACAGAAAAAGCACAAGATGTTGAAATGTCCCCAGAGGTTGACAACCCCTGTCTTAAGAGCGTCACCGTCTATGAGGAAGAATTGTGCAACCAAACTAGAGACAGTCTGAATGAAAAAAATACGAAAAAAACTGAATCTAAGAATAATAAGGAGTCAAAACTACTAAATGATATTGTGATACTCCAGTCTCATTCAGATTCAGCAAGTGATAGTTCCAGAAATGAATTAACACCTCAAAAGAAGGATAAGAAAGTTGTTACGAAGACAAGGGAGAAAGTTATGGCTGATGTTTTTGGATATTCCCGTGGTAAGTCAACATATAATGAATGGTGCATGAAATAATTTGGGCTTGGATTTTATACACATGGGTTATGGAGGTGGTGGTTTTTAACTATTGTCTAATATTAAATAAAAACAATAATAGTACTTTTCTCATCTTGAAAACAATAATTGTTTATCTTTATAGGTGTGCATAAAAATTCTAAAAGAACTGTGAGCTACCGGAAGCATTCCACAAGCCACAAAGCACAGTGAGTTATTTATAAATGTACTATAATTTTTTTTTCTTTTGTTTTCAATAAGTATTATTAGTATTTAAGTTTACGAAAATTGATGTTTTATAAGTTTCCTGTTATTGAATATTAGTTACATTGTTCTTACAGATAAATAAGTTAACTATTTTTCTTAGATTTATTTACCTGTATCTGTAATTAAGTATGACTTTCAGAGTTATTCATGGTAACCTTGACTTCTTACCAAAATAAACATATTTATTCAACCTTACTAATACTTTATTTAACCTATTTTGGTATATATTCAAATTCATCAGTTCCATTACCTTAGTAAAAGGTTGTGATATTCTATATAGTGTTAATGTAAATTTTTAAAACAATTCAATTATTTTTTTTAAATATATTTATGTTATTGTATGTGTTACTTGCAGTCGCATTAGTTCTGGTTCTAGCGAGTGGACTTCAGAAACAAGCTCAGAATTTATTTCACCACCACGAGGTCGTAAGAACAGACACACGAGGAAATATTTGTAAGTAAACTCAACACTATTTATACGTATTATAACAATAAATATATTTAAAATATTATATTAATAATCTCATTTATTTATTACATTATACATTAAATAGTTATATTGCAAATTACTAAAAGTATTGCATTGTATACAGGAAACCCAAGTCGGCCCGTATTTTGTCCTTGGATGAAGAGGGAGGCCTGTTTGTAATGTATGGTAAGAAGATATACCCAGTTGTTAAGGACGGAAAAATTATAAAAAACTACGTCACATACACACCCGAAGGTAAGGAAATATTCAAAATTGTATATAAAATATCACATCACTATTGGAATATATTTCAAATAAATAATGTAAAATGAAATATTCATTGATCTATGAAGAAGATAAATTTTTATTGCAGTTGTATCTGAAAGTTTCATTAATATTGAAAACAGAATGTTTAATGTATATGACAATAATATTTTTTGGCAATAAATTTGGTATAAATCACATAATTAAATATTAACTCATCTAGAATTTTAAGAAACTATAATTAAGGATGGGTTTTATAATTATATGTATATTTATTTTTTCAGAAGAAGTAGAGCATGATGAATCATTTTGGAAGCTAAAATATGTGGAAGAGAAAAAAAAGGCTGATGAATTGACAAAGTATATAATTATAAGTTTACATATAAGTAGATAAAGTGGGTGGTTATATAATTTATTTGTAATAAAAAATATATTTTTCAGATTGTTGAAGCAAATAAAAGATAAAAAAGAAAATGTTGTCAATCAAGTGCCTGCATTGAACACAACTGAGTAAGTTAAAACTATTAACACTGAGTATATAACATAGAAATATATACTATAATCTTGTATTTCTATAATCCCCTACTTAAATTTTATTACCATCATTTCAGAAATACAATTAGCAATGCAAATCAACCAGAAGTACACAATGCGATACAAGGTAAATAATATCTTTACTAAACTATCTTCATCATTTTAGATATAAATAATAATTTGTATAAAATAATTTCAGATAAAAAGTCATTGGAATCTCCAGTAGTGCAGAGTAAGAATGACTCTGAAGATAAGACTGTTAAAATTAGATTTACTAAGAATAACGAGGTGAGACTTACTTTTGTAACAATAATTCTTACAAGTAAGCAAGAGTGGTAATTAATGCTCAAACCTTCTCCATGTGAGAAGAGGCCTTTGCTCAGCAGTGGGCTCTGATAGGCTGATGACGAATATTCTTTCTTCATTAAACTATTCACAGGGAATTTGAGTGCATTACTGTACTTGAAACTACAATAAGTGATAATATGAAGTATTAGTTACTATAGGATAAGTTCAAAATAGTATAGATATGGGCATCTTTAACATAGATATGTTATCAATTCCAATCTTTATTAATAATATAAAGTTAATATAAGTCTAGTATCAAAATGGTAAGGTCTATTTATTAGAATACAGAAATTTATTAAGTTCATCAAAGAAAATTTGCAAAGGTATGTGATAGCCTATAATATTGTTTTAAATTGAAATTAAGATAAAAAGTTATTTATGATACAAAAGTCTAATTTCAAATCCAACCACTTTACCCAAAACCACACTTATATAGTATAATGTATTTATAAAATTCCATGAACTTCTTTATACTTTAAGAAGAAAAAAATGAGCAAAAAAAATTTAAATGCACTTCACTAAAAAAATTAAAATCGGAAAACCTTTAAAGTTTTTCGGTTTTTAGTTTTTCGGTCTTATTATGTAAGCTGAACTTAAAAAAAATCATAAATTTTAGGAAGTCCAATTGGAAGGTCATTGGTCCCATGTAAATCCAATTCTGACACAAATTATGCAGTTACTACAAAAAGAGTCTAACGAACCGAAAGGCATTGTTGTGAAGGAGGACAAGACGGACTCGGTGACTGAGAGTAAAGAAAAAGTGGAGACTAAAACCGAAATAAATACACAACAAGTTGCAGTTAAAACTAACGCAACCGAGACTAACGTAACAAATAATCAAGACATCAGCAGACAATCGACGCCGATCATTCCGATGGATGTTGAAGATGGTAAAATAATATATTTTTAAGTTTCGATTCATACAAGAAATCTTGCTTAATGAATTATTGTATGTATTTCAGAAGTTAAGGAGAAGGTAAACAAAATAGAACAGGAAATTTTTAAAGAAATAGAGGAGAGAGATATTGAGGATTCGTCCATTAAAACGCAATCATCACAACCAGAGGAAAATATCACGAAACGGTTCGTCGAACTCTTACAGTATTTTTTGTGTTTTTTAATATATTATACTTAATAATTTCATATTTAGATTATTTGAATATATTATAATTATTTCAGTCGCGGAAGACCTAGGAAGTCCTCCGCTAACGCCAGAGCCCCCGTCAGTCCGAATAAAAAACTTAAACTGAACCCGGAAGTTATAAAAGAGGATCAACAAAAACCGGAAGCAAATGACAATTCTAAAGACAAGGAACCGGAAACGGACAAGAAGACATCGGAAGCAAGGAAAACAAGATCGCCCAAAAAAAGTTCAAATGGTATATTTAAATTACAATTAAGTAGACGTAAAAAAGCTATTTATGACTAATGTAGACTTATTTTCAGAACCTCCAATGGAGACTAGAACGAGACAGTCTCTATCAAGAAAGTCCAAGGAAATTAAAACTCCAAATTTAAACGAATCTGAAACACGATACAAATTCCCATCTCCGCCGCCGAGTAGAAAGACTAAAGTATCGAAAAATAATAAAACAAAAGTTAGATAGTGAGTAGAATTCTGTATAAGGTAGCGTTACCAGATGTGCTACTATCTCAAAATCCTGGCTTCCATTACAATTCTCGGTAGCGCAACTGGCTGGGCTGCCAGATAATAGAAGTACAATCTAATTAAATATAGTCTGTTTTTAATGAAAAAATCATTCCGTGACGAAAATTTAAATGAAATGTCTTTTTTAAATCAAAAATTTTTATGTACATAAGTAAGATTGTATTTTGACGATTTTGTTACACTGAATTTGATAATTAAAACTTTTAGAATAATAAAATGAAATAAAATCATAATATTTATTTTATTATTCAATATGTAGAATAAATTAAGGCGTGGTGATTTAAGTTAGTTCAGTGTAACATAAAAAATAATAATTTAAATCCATAGTTTTTAACTGAATCGCTTAAGTTTTGTACACACTAATTATTTTGATTATACTTGTGAAATAAAATGAGATTTATTATTTTTAAAAAGTAGTTAAAGGAGCTAAAGATCACAATTCCATTGTTTTAATGGGAGCAGGTGATACAAATATACATTTTAAAGTAATTTGTCTTTTATTTACATGAAGTTGTGTTTGTATGAGATTATTTTAAGCCACTTCACATATACCTGCTTCCATTGCATGTCGCTTGAATTGCTGCAACGCACTTTAGCTTCTGCACTACCCCATGCTACTGATCCCGCATAATATTATTTATTCCTAACAGCTTGATGCCAGAATATAAAGTACATTCTTCACCAGAAAGTCGATCAATGTGCTCAATAGACAGCACTCAAGGATACCAAGACTCCGACGAAAGTCCATTGAGAATGTTACTTAGAAGGAAGAAAAGAATTAGCCACACAATGTTCTCGAATAGGGGGAAAAATATACATAGGTACAGAACAAATTCACATCCGATTATAACAGATGATGTTACCAGCGAATCGAGCAGTTCCTATGAAAATCAACGTATAAAGACAACGACCTTCGAAAATTCAACTATAAGTTCCGAAGTATACAGATCGGAGTCCTACCGCCTTTTGATGAATACAAATTTGACGCAGAATCGTACGAAAATAAATTTGGAGAAAATTCCTGAAAGTCCAAATATAATCGAACAAAAAGATGTAAATGCACAGACTTATGGAGATGTTTCTAGTAATGTAGAAACTCAAAGCGGCAACAAGATAGAGGGTAATTTTAAATCGCAAACAGAGGAATATAGTACGAGTAATGTTTCCTTACCAACATCTCCAGTGTTGTCCATAGTAGAAAATATGTCCGTCAGCAAAGACTTACTAAGCAGCGTTGACGACTTTCCTATTAGTGATGACTTCCCCATCAATGATGAAATGCAATATAATGACCAAATAATTCTTAACAATTTCATAAAAACTGAACCAGATGTTTCCATGCCTCTTATGGAGCGAGAATGTGCTATAGAGACGAGTGGACAAAACGGAATGGAATATCACTATAACTTGAGTAACGTTAAACATACACCGATGTCCGAGACACTCATAAATAAAATAAATACAGTTCAAATACAAGACCCTACATTAACGGATTCCATTAACAATAAACTGAAAGACTTAATAATAGAAAGCACTAAGAAAAACATGAAAATAAATCATGAAGTTGACCGAAACAACAATATCGATGATGTTAATATGGATAGTAAAGGAAACAAAAGGAAAAGATCACAAAAACGGAGTTCAACACCACGCAAACGTAAGAGCTCTCGCAGGCTACATCTCGTAAATAACGAGCCCTGTATAGAAGAACATACAGAAAGTTGTTCATACAGCAGAAAGTCCTGTCCAGCAGTCGTGCAAAATGTTGAAAATGACTTAAACATTTCCCAAAATATAGATAGCGGAAAGACTAGAAGTAGAGTGAAAAAAGATATTATTAAAGTCAAAATAACAAAGCCAAGAACTTCTAAAGTAATGCATAAGAGCTCATCAGATAATGATCCTTCAATTGCAAATGAAGCAAATGATTCAGAATCAGGAGTGTTCCTTCAATGCTTTAATGAGACCATAGATTTAATTCACAATCACTCCGAGACTTGTCTCAATGCTCACGACTGTATGGGAGACAGTGTACAGTTGTTAGACAAAACTGAATCAGTTATATCTTCAGATTCCAAACAATCCGATAATAGCTCTACTAATTGTAAACACAGTGAAGATTTTAACGCTTTACAGTATGATTTGTATTCTCACGATGCTCAAGATGGATCTGAGCTTTTAAAAGGTAATTTATTATTGTATACTTGAAATATGTGAGACCATCGCATTATATTTATTATTTTTGTGTTTTCAGAGAAAACTGAATGTAGTACCGTATTTCATACACCGCTGAGCGGTGTCTCAGATCAAATCAGCCTCATGACAGAAGATTTATCTGGGTTGTCAGAAGATAAAGGTATAAAATCACCAAACAAGAAGGTACAAAGTTCTAAATGGTATCTTTTCTCAGAAGATGAAACAACTAGTTCAAATTTCTTTGATACTAACCAGAATTCAAAACAAGCTATAGGGTGTGCATCAAATCTGGAGCAAATATTTCCTATAACTTGTGCTGTACCCAACTTATCTACAATTACAGAAGTGTCCAATCAAAATGAAGAAAATGCTAAAAAATGTAGTAAAGCAGAAACCGATCCTAGAAATAATTCCTATTCTCAAGAAATGTTATTATAATTTTATTTTTCTATTTATGTTATTAATTTTGTTAAGTTTAAATATTTTTTGATGATTGTAATTAATAAATGATTTAATATGAAATACCAAATTAGGATTTTATTCATGTCGGTTAAATTAAATTAAATAACTTTTGTACAATAACAGAATGAACCCTCTTTTCAAGTTGGGTTAACTTTAAAAATTTAATAAATAGTACAACCAATAATGAAGATCTTAAAAACGAGACTCATGTTCAAAGGAGCTTTCTCATAATCGCGTCATCTATACTAATTATAAAGCTGAAGAGTTTGTTTGTTTGTTTGAAAGCGCTAATCTTCAAAACTACTGGTTCGAATTGAATAATTCTTTTTGTGTTAGATAGTCCAGTTACCGAGGAAGGCTGTGGGCTATATAACATCACGCTACGACCAATAGGAGCAAGGATATAGTGGTAAATGTGTAAAAGACGGGAGAAATTATTTCATCTTTGAAGCCTTCCGTTGCGTGCGCCGTGAAAACGGTTCAAGATACACAAAAAATATGTGTTAAAGAATAATAGCTCTTTTAATGATCTAAAAAACAGTCCGCGACAGTATATGTCTATCTTTTAATATTAACTCACAAAAACCGTTTTTATGGTACCTAATTTTGTCGAAATAATTTGTTTAAGTTGTATCAAAAAAATAATATTAATCTTTATTCATATAAACAAATAAATATGTCGTTGATTAAGAGTTCTTCATTATTAATAAAAAACCACAGGTTTCATCCTGAAAATTCTACGGGCACTCGACCATTCCGAAAACCCCGCTAGAACGGGAACTATGTGGGAAGAACCAAAAATCTGTCGGAAGTAACTATTCCACGCGGACGAAGCCGCGGCAAAAGCTAGTGAGCCATATAGGGAAGATTAAGGAAAAAACAATTTGTATTTCTTTTTTAATATATTCACCTCCAAGAACGATAATAATGAACCTCGTATTTATATTAATTATTCAACGAGACCATACTTTTCATTATATTATGCATATAATAAATTATCAATTAAGTTGCTATTGAACTGTATCCATGTTTGTATCTGCACACTACATACGACGCGTTTTAAATTTAATCAAACACTTAGAAAATGACTTGGATCGATGACCGTTTTTTACTTTTCTAGCCAGTTTAAAGTTTGTGCATAATAGTTAAGTACTTACTATGAAGTTTTGAACAACCTACTATGATTTAGCTGTGACTGATTTGACTTAAAACCTAAATTCGAACAAATAAAAAAAATCTAATGAAAATTCCCTCCACCAACTGCCCGCTAGCGATGACTCCTGACACAACTAACTAATAGTAGAGTGATGTTTGATTTGCTTTAATTTTCTTGGACCATTTCTCTGTGGGTTTGAAAGCAATTTTCCTTTTTGGTTTCCTTTTCGTCTTTTCATTCATAACCGGCTCAAAGAGAACGCTTATTACTTTTAGCTTTGAAAATACAATAATTTTATTGTGATATCTTTGCTGGATCCAAACTTTCAATTTGAGGTTTCTTCGGCTTCTGAATGATGATATTATAGAGAATTTAGACTAATTTAAAATATATTTCATAAGAATGAAAAAAACCATCTACTATTCTTTTTTAAGTAAGATTGAAATCTTAATTATAAGTACCTACGAGATTTTAATAAACGTTTTTTTTTTTCAATTAACAAACTGACCAAATCGAGACTCTATTTTATTATGATATTTTCCATATTTTTGTAACTCTGACTTTCCTATCTTTTCTGTAATTTTAAGGAATGCACCAATAAGTGAGTGTTAAAGAAACTTTTCTTTTTCTACAAAACACATTATTTATGAAACCTAAAAATTCTGATACATATTACATTACCTATATCCAAATATTTATTTATCGTTATTATGAAGTGACAGATGTCAACTAAACATCAATACTGAATACATTGATTGTGTTATGAGGTATGATCGTGAAAAAATCCTTTGAATTATTATCAATGAGTTTTTAAAGTTACGAATTAATTGAAATATACTTTCGGATGATCAATACACAATGTATTTTGGACCATTACGGATTACTCTTAGAGATACTTTAATTTTAATACTTTTAGTTATATTTAATACAATTCACGTTACGGATTTAGGTGAGTAATTTTTTTATAAAACACATAACATAAGTAAAACTAGATTCTTTATACAATAACATTATATTTTGCGTTATCCATTGTCGAAACCCTTATTTGTTTTAATCTCTTACATCAATTTGTTACAGCTAATAATGATATGGATCTCCAAAACAAACAGAGCAAGACTAAAGATGATGGGAAAAATAAAATTGTGAATTTTAATAGCAACGAAGATTATTTAAAGAACTGCCCAATAGATCAGGAGAACATGCCAGAGTGTTCATCATTAAACTATCCCTGCATCAATTGTGTGAGAGATATAGACTGCATTTATGGTGGTACATACAACTACACTTGTACTGTAAAAACCAAAGTTATATGTAATGTAAGTGAAATTAATCTATCAAAATAAATTATTAAATATAAAACAATAGATTAGAACATTATTATAAAAATAAACTTGTTACTTATTTTTAAGTGGCTGTGATAGAAGCAATATTTTTGTTCATTACTTTCTTATTTAAACTTTGTTATTATGGGCTTAAGGTAAATGTGTAAGGTTTAAATAATAAATGTAGGGTACAACAGACCAGTCATTAATTCTCATAAACTCTTAAATTTCTGATATAAGCACAAGGAAATTAATTTTTTTAGGTCAGAAAACAAATTCCAAACAAAAAAAAAAATAACACAACTCAGCAATAATTAATAAAATGTATTTACTTAACTATAAGCCACTAAACTAAAATAAAAGGGGTAGTAAAATTAAAACAGATAATTGATTTTAATGATCAAAAATTGTTGAAATCTATCAAAAAACTTTTTTTTGTTTTTAAAAATGTTCTAAATAGTAACAGCAGCCTTGACTAGAAAGTGGTGTCCATATTTATGTATTATTTTTACTATTTCTGTCTCAAATGCAAAGATTGAACGGAGGCAAAAGTTATTGAGTTTTATACAGATCTTAATATTTGTGTTTTAACTCATTTTCAGGGCTCCAAAACTTTTAACAGAACTGCAATGTGTCGCTTCTGCTATCAGACTGAAAAGTGGGAGCATCGCTGTGATCAGAAGGCCAACTGTAATTCACTGGCTTCTCCTACCAAATATTACTTGTAAGTTCATTTTTGACAGTAACTGTTTATAAAAAAAACTATTTATAAAAAAAAAATCTGTAGCAGTTTTCATACTTACCATAAAAAAAGTCACTAATCTTCTTGTAAAATACCTTTAAAAAAATTTTATTATTTACATACAGAGTGCTCAAACAATGTATTTAGTTGTTAATCATTATATAAACAATAAGTAGCTGATTACACAGTTTTATTGAAGGAATAAAATCAAGTTACTATAGAACAGATTTATAAATATGAAAATCTATATTTATCATAGGTAGTCTTGGTATTGTACCTCAAAACATGAGTTATTTGATAAAATGAAACATCAATCCAATAAATTATTATTTAAATGTTTAAAGCAGTTTGTTAGGAGGTTTTATGTAAAACATATTAACTTTTTTTTGTAGAACCAACTGCACAGTCTCCGATGATGTCTTGTGCTTGGGAAAACGAAAATTTCTTCGAAAAATAAAATGTTCATGGACATCAGGAACAAAATGGGGGACGGCGCTCGTTCTAGCATTAACATTAGGTGGTTTTGGTGCTGATAGATTCTATCTCGGACACTGGCAGGAAGGTTTAGGCAAGTTGTTCAGCTTCGGAGGACTTGGCGTTTGGACGTTGGTCGACGCTCTGCTCATTGGAATACACCATCTCGGCCCGGCTGACGGATCTGTCTTTATTTGAATAATAATTCTTTAATGTGTAATTATTTATTAGCAATTATATAAAAAATTAATTAATTTATTAATTTCTTTCATTTTCCCTATTTTGATTAAAAGTTATAAAATGGATTTTCTTAAACGTGAATGAAACCTCGCCTCTTTAAAGATCTCATGAAATATGTTTCATTTGTTATTATTTGACAGTATACGTAGTAGCTTTAATTACACATGATCGTCAAACTATAACGACGACTTTCAAAATTTCTCGTTACGAAAATGTAAGTTTCTAATTAGCAAAATGAATCACGCATTTCTTGCGGATGCTTGGCGGAGGTCGAGAAGGCGGGACCGTTTATGGTACCAAGAGAAGTTGATGCCAGCACTCCGGGCGGCTAAAGAGCGGCAAGCGAGAGACATTGATGTATCTATAGCGCTCACTGAAGAACTATTGAAAGTTTGTACATTATAATTATAGATTAATGTAATATGCTTAATAATTCAGATTCTACCTACCGATTTGAGTGTCAATCAACTTGATGATTATAATATTTTGTACCTAAAATAAATCTATAGCCTTTATATTACATTTCTGGTCATCAAAAGTTATAGTTTACATCGTCAAGCAGATATACCTACCAATTAAAAATTAAAAAGAGTACTTTTTAGGCGTATAATGAACCTGTCCCACAATCAACAACCATTCCTCCGCATGTTCTAATTCCTATGGAAGATGACAGTCTTATGAAACCAATAGAACCAGAAGTAACAAATTTGTTTTACGGATCTACTGAAAAAGGCGCTGCAGAAAAATATTTGAAAGCACGATATAAAAAATCGCCTGAAGATAGGTAAAGTACCTTGACAAAGAGAAAATAATAACAATATTAAAATAATTAGGGAGCGTTAAAGTATTACGTAACGCAATTTTGGGGGAGGGGGGTGTCTCGTAAAACGTTACGATGCGTTACAGGGGCGGGAGGGGTTGTCTCTTACAAAACGTTACGTAGCATTGTTTCTAAAAAAATATATTAATAAAAACCCCCAAACTTGCAACTCTTTTCATATACATTACATTATGTTGACCAGATTGTATTAGTCTGGTCGATATTTTTATTTGTTATTCCAAGTTTGCAAACCTCTTAATTGATATTTTACGGGGAATACCTAGATTGCATTGTAAGTCTTTTGATGAAATTGATCACTTGAGTGTTACGTAACGTTTTGAGAAGGGGGGGGGGCTACAGAAAAACGTTACTGTGCGTTACGAGGGGGGAAGAGGGGTCAAAAATCTTCGAAAATTGCGTTACGTAATACTTGAACGCTCCCTTATCTAGTATATCTAAACTGAACATACATATGAGCCTTAAACCAGAAATTTAACAATACCAGTAATTAATTTTGAAAGGAGGTCGCCGATTTTCTTTAACCAATTTTAACATTTTCATTTCCATATCTTGATTGCGTTTGTCTATATGTATGTTCTAAATAACTTTAACTTAAATTATTCACATATTACTAAAGGTCCTTTATTAATAGTAAATTTTTAATTTACATAAATCATATGTTAACATTTAGTTACATTGAATGCTTTGTAAGCAGCGACTTATTATTTCAGATTCTATTTCCGCCTGACGTCTAACTGGGACTACGGCTGGCAGCAGAAGCAATGCCGCCTGAAGCCACGTGATGTCAATCACGGCCGATGTGCTATCTTACGGGACACTTTCTATCGCAAGAATAATTTAGCACCAGATCCCAGACATTACTCGAGTCCCGCTGGTGGAGAGTTCTCTATATGTAGCGAGTACTCTTGCAGCGCTAATTAATATTAGACCAGTAGGTACATACTTCTAACACATTTTTTTTTAACCCGCGTTGATACTGTTATATGCGAAAAAATATGAATGGAAAACTGGAAATTAGTTTCGTGTTGATTAGCAAACCAAACTTTTGGTAAGAGTACTTTTCAACTTTTTTAATATACATTGTATGTTTAGCTAAGGGTAACCAAATAAAAAGACATCGAATATAGCAAAAAACATATATTTTATAATTTTTATTATTTACAATAATTCAACTTTTATTTACATATTTAACAACAGCAAATGTACCCATCGTGTAAGGCCACATTTCACTGTTTCCCAGGAATTATTAAAGTAAAAAATGTGTACAGATTACGATCGTTTAAATTACAACATAACTTCGCTCCGAGGAAAGACTTGAGGTCGATGCAGGGCGTGCCAATGGACGGATCCTTTTAATGTGGAAGCAATCATTCCCTACACTATATAAAAAATAATATTAGAATGGAAAGAAGTATTAACAGCTAATGTGACTAATATTTAGTGATAGATCCATCCATTGTAACGTCGATAACAATTACACAGTTACAACTAAAATTAATCAACCAGACTCTGTCAACAACATACTCACACTAACAAGTCACTAAGAAGAAATAATAAATATGAGACGTCTTTGTTCATTCTCAAGTTCATATTTGACACATTATGTACAATTATATGCTATATCAGTCCATTGAATTTAGCGAAATCCACTTTCATATAATTTATTTAAGAGTGATGTAAATTGTGCAATAACAATTATAAGAATGTCATCTGCTTTGTCATCATGTGAAGTTCTACACACAAAAAACGACAGTTAGAAGGCTGAGTTACTCGGCTTTAATCAAGTATTATTAAAAAAAATGATTGAAACAAAAAGATACTTTAAAGTAAACAAGCTTTCTTCAATTTAAGACAGTTTTAAATATTGATATGACTCTTGTCACAATTGAAGAATAATGGTAACATACAAACATAAGAATCACTTTACATTATAATTACCATAAGCAACTTTTGTAAGTGGAAGATATTTCTTAGTTGTTTAGTTTAATTAATGATTTTTTATGGTTTTTTGAGCTCAGAGAAATCAAAACGAGACAATTGAACACAGAAAATAATGTATGTACAAGAGAAAATATTGGAATATTCAATAAATCAACTCTCCAAATTTAATAAATAAACCTACATAAAGGACATTTAATACAATAGTTATATCTAATAATTCAACCAAACATGTACCTTGTATGAATCAAATGCCAGACAACATTAAAAATTTCTTGGCTTTAGAATTCAATAGTCCGTGATCCTAAATTAATTGTGTGCAGGCTTCTAGCACCGCAAGCTCTTGGACTACATTAAATTTGTACTGATTTAAACACATTGAAACTTCTCAAGTGTAATTATGAATGAGCTGTTAATATGATTGAAGTATTAGCAATTTTTTTATCAAAACATCAAGCTTAATAATGGCGTTATACCAGGTAACTAAAACCTATAGATCAGACCTTTAAATAATTGGTGTTTTAATTGTACAAATAATATAATGTTATCATTGATATCTTAGAAAAGTATACCATGTTAAAAATAATACAAGATAAACCGTACATTTCAAAGCTGGTGATAAGTAAAGTTCAGCAATACAATAAACTAATTCCAAATGAATCGATACATATTTTACAAAATACTTCGAAAATATAAGTCATACATTACCATATAAATATATACAGGATTCTTATGTAGGTAATAGAGTTTGTACATCACAAATATACATGAACGCGATCATAATCACTGGTATTAAGCCGTTATCAGTCATGATGCGTGCCACCGAGCGGCGGTATGATGGAGGTCACTATCAGTATGACATTTGAGTCACAAGTCACTTTCTATCAGTAGGGGGAGTGTGACGTCACTAGGAGTGTGGTGGGGGGAGGGCGGGGGGCGCGCCCGTCGTCCAGTGTACTAGCGCGTGTTGCGGCAGTTGGGTCGCTTGGAAGTGATCCTTTAGTAACGCCTGAGAGAAGTTACAGTGCATCTGGTACGCTTCGTTCTCTCGCTCCGTGTCGCCCGCGAGACGATACAGATCTGAGGACGTTTTATTTATGAGTAACTTGATTATGATGATCTTGTAGAAGCTGAGGCGAGTGACATAGACTGAAGTGAATACATGTCAGTGTAACTCATTGCTGTCGAGGACTGCGACGTTAACATAATTAAAATTTTCTTAAGATACAAAATATATCCTACGATTGATTCGACGATACAACTAACAGATTATGTTATTTACAATGTACACATTTGTTTTCAGAAGCATGGAATACGTGGACTTGAAAAATAATGTAACTAATAGTGAATATTTTTGGTTCTTTTAAATTTGTATTTATATTTTAACCATCTTATTAAATTAAGCTAATATATTTCGAATATACAACGCGTGCTTTTCTTTGTAAAAAACTGCATACTTGCGACGTATCGGTTACTTCTTAGCAACCGTGATCACGGGCAGGCTAGATACATATGTTGCATATCCGAAATATTATTATTATTTTTTTTTTTATGGGAAAAGGGGGCAACCGAGCAGACGGCCTACTTGATGGTAGGTAGTTACCGTCGCCCATAGACAACCGCAACGTAGATTTGCGGATGTGTTGCCGCCCTTCATTGGGGAAAAGGGGGAGGAAAAGGTGGGAAGGGAGGAAAAGGAAAGAGTGGGAAAAGGGAAAGGGCAGCCGTCTCTCTCACTCACCGGACGAAACGCAGTCTTGTAAAGACTACTTTACGCCGATTTTCTGCGAGAGGGTGGTACTTCCCCGGTCGAGCCAGCCCATGTTCGAGCTGTAGTAACTAACCACAGCTAGGCTCTACCACCTTTTAAAACCTTTTTATTATTTTTATTTTATTATTATTATTTTTATTTTTATTATTTTTATTTTTTTTATTCTACCACCTTTTTATTAGTTTCATTTTAATGGATAATTAATTAAGCATTATTAATTAAAGCAGATTCTAACAGGTTATCTGTAGATTTATATATGTGGGTCTCATTACTACGCCCTCGCCCTTCTCACAACTCACCTTAGTAGAAGGTCTAGTTAGTGAAAGGTCAGATTAAATGTAGATTACTTTAATGTTTATTTTACTAGGACTGAAATTTTTAAATTTGTATACATTTATTTATAGCAACATATTATTTGACAAACATTACAAAAAAATCCGTAATAAGTAGAAATGTAAAGGGGTCTTAATGGAATACTGAACTGGGATTAAAACAGCTTCAAGTTCTATTCAAAGAGTTATTACTACACTATATTTTAACAAAGTGGGTGATAATGCCCCATTGTGTTTGTTGTATTCAGGCTTAAAAGGAATGTTAAGAGACTCAGAAAAAAATGTGGGATTCGTGTAGTGGCTTGGGGGTTATTTGTAATTTCATTTAGCTCAGGTAAGTTACTTGTTTTTCAGTAGACGAAAAAGGGGGGCGTTTTATTCCATTTTATTTGATATTACTCAAGATACTTCCAAGAGAGTTCAATAGTGTGAGTTATGACCACTGAGTAATTGAGAAAGATGAAAACTGAACTCCAACTACTAAAATTATTGAAAAGAAAAAAGGGTGTGGTTATTCTGTAAGAAACCCTCTTAAGGTAAATACCTCTTCTAGTGATTACTATTAAACTCTTTCAAATGAAAGTGTATAATTAATTATACTATTATTGAACGTTCAGCTTTTTTATAATGCATGGTAGGCGGGCTTCTTAACCACTAGGCCACCACTGACTCAAATGGTTTCTTTGTGTTAAGTTAATAAGCTTACCTTTTAATATCGCGGACGCCCACAGCTGTACATGCACGTCTGGTATTTTGCTGGCGAGCTGCATGGCCGGTGTGACCATGTTCATACTCTCCCGCGAGTTGTTTATTGACAGGAATATATGACCGAGCAACACCAACGAACATGACGTCAGCCGGTTCAAGTCCTCCGCGTTCGCCATTTTTAACGTCTCCCGGAGATACCGTCTGAAATTAATTACAAGACATTACTATAATATAATTTAAAATATTTTAAATGGATAACCAGATAATACGTAATGTTATAATCAAAGAAAGAACTTTAGTATATGTAGTCCAAGTAAAAGTGTAAAACAATAAACAGAATTCTACAAGATATTATTATAATTTGCTAAAACTAAATACTATATTACAGAGGTTTACTATTCGAAGGGAGTTATGAATTTTAACTAAAGATATATAGGTAAGATGGTTAAAATGTATCGCTTATTTGACACGGCACAAATTAGGTATGTATTTATAGTCTAATTATATATTTTATATTAGTAAAACGTCTCTATATATCTTCTTCTACCTGGCAATTTCCCAACTTTAGCCAGGGTCTGCCTTACATGTTGTGAATGGTTATGGCTAATTGTTTTTATGACCGGCCACCTGCCTGACACCAACCCTCTTTGGCAATGCATTAATCAGTGATGTCTAAATACTCTTAGAAAGTCCATATGACTAGGAAAAATCACATTGGTACTTGCCCGGGCAAGGATCGAACCCGCGCCCTCATGAATGAGAGGCGGGGCTTCTAACCACTAGGGCACCACTGACTTTTGAGGTCTCTAAACGTCTCTATATATAATAGGGCAGAATCCTTATTTGAACATTATAAGATGTAGGGTAGATTGCAATTTTTGACACAATTGTTTTAAATTAAAAATTATTGTTATATATGAATGTATCAAAGTTTAAGTTACTTGGCCTCGTTGTATCGCGCTTGGAAGAAGGCTTGCAGTCCCAGTACGTAGTAGGAGGCGGCTCGCAGACCATGCGCATATGTAGGCAACGCTTCTGGTCGAACCTGGAGACGAATATTTAGATTGATTATAAAAAGATATTAAATATCTTACAATATTCTTATCAGATAATTATTTGTTTTTATTCATTAGAAAATAATTAATATATTATGACAAAATGAGTATGTATATCCTACTAATATTATAATTGCGGAAGTTTGTGAGTGTGTGTGTATGTTTGTTACATCTTCACGCTCAAACGGCTGAACCGATTTTAATAAAATTTTGTATACAGGAAGCTGATGTCCAGGAATAACACATAGGCTACTTTACAGCCCGGAAATCCGCGGGTAACACCGTGGGGCGCAGCTAGTATATATATAGTCATGGATTCTGAGGTTTTAAGTATCTTCGACTTAAAGTTATCATCAGATAGATGTGTAAGTCCTTTGTAATGTCCACATGTGTAGTATTTACCTGTTCCATTAACTGTGCCAGATCATTGTCTCGTCTCCCTCTTAAATAAACTATAGCTAGGTTCAATTTCGCAAACATCCATAAATCCCTTTCTTGTGACATCTGTAACAAGTCAAATTTCTTTATAAACATTTATTCTGTATATCATTTTAAATTCCAATTAAAACCTTCTTTGTTAAAAATATGAGTATTATTAAATGTTGTGCATGCTATTCTACATTATGAAATAACATTTTGTTACATGTATGGCTGTGTGGAACTGTGCCTCGGCCGCTTCCATACAATTCATTGACATAGCGTACAGTCCCAGTAAACAGTGAAGTTGTGGAGTGTGGGCAGCCGCCGCGCTCGCTGTTGAAATATATATAAAAAATGAGTACATACTGTTTTAAAATTATATTATTTTAAAAAAAAAGTCGTTAAAAATGAAATAAGTGTGGTACTGTAAAATCATAACATGGTTACTGTTTTACAAAAATATATGTATACTAGAAGACCCGGCGAACTTCGTATCGCCCTATAATCAAGAAATATCTGTTAGGTTTTTTTATTTATATTTTTGGAGTTTACCTATTAAAGCCATAAATCACCGTGTTTTGAATGATTGACATATTAGTTAGTTGTCAAATCTAATGTCAAAAAAAACGTTTGTATCAACAACTACTAATAAATTAAATAAAATTAAAAAAACATTGTCCAGCTGACAAAATTGTGAATCTAAACCATTCCCAAATCCCCCTGTGAACACAGAGAAAAAAATTCATCCAGTCGTTTGAGAGAAGTTCAGTGACATACACACTCACAGAAGAATTATATATATAAAGTTATATTTGATGTTATATAGTACCGTTAGGCGCGGTTGAGAGTAGATGCGCGGCGCGTGCTATCTCATGTAGAGCGTGCGCCTTCCCGCCCGCCACTAGCCGGCACAGCGCCGCGTGCTCCAGCAGCGCCATCCTCAACCGCCAGGCGAGCGCCGCGCAGCCACGGACAGAACCACTACTCACTACACCGCTTGACTCACTAGCCTCCTCGCTCGCTGGAATATACATCAGTTATTGAAACTGAAACTAATATTCTTCGGATAAAAAGTAGCCATTCATGTTCATTTAAATGAATAAGACTTGCAAAAAATCTTAGATCTCATTATTACTGAAAGTGTTGTAAACAAGGGCATGGAGAACACCTTTGAGATCCATTAAGCGTTTTGCGCTGTGTATAGTTTCACCTACTAGACGTAAATTGAGTCAATCTTAACTAAAACTAAAATTTTCAGATAACTATGCCCGTTACTATTATTGATAAGAGCAGAAAGAAGAAAAGGAATGGACACTTCAAAATTTAACTTAATTGAGCACTATTACAAATTTTTGTTCACTTTCTTGCCTATTGGCAAAATAAATTGATTTTAAAGATTCAATAATTTTTTACAAAGAACATTTTATAAAGTTTCTTAATTTATATCTTAAAACCTAATACGAAACTTAACATAGCTGTTATGTATTAGTTATGCTTGCTCGGTATTGTTAAATAATAATATGATGTCAAGTGTATAGTATTATAGTGTAGTAGGTAGTGTAAGTGTATAGTATAGTAGGTAGATTGCTTTTCACTATTAGTTGCTGTCATTCAGTTTGCTACTTAACACAATACATTAATGACAAAGTTAATATCGTTTTATTGAATACTACAATAGCTAAAAAGTATTTAATTATCTGTGAGGGAGCGTTCAAGTATCACGTAACGCAATCTGGAGGGAAGCGGGTCTCGTACAGGGGCGGGAAGGGGTTTTTCTTACAAAACTTTAATTACAAGGGGGGTCAAAAATCTTCGAAATTTGCGTTACGTAATATTTAACAGGTCCCTGATAACAACTTACATGTCAACTTGTCTATTTGAGCGAGAGCCTTCTCCGTATACTTGTGAGCCTTGTCCATATAACCGGCCTGAGCTGAATGCATCACTGTCACGAGGTAAACCAACACATACAGTTGCTGTCTCGACAACCACACAAATGACTCTCCTGAGGCACTCCCACACACCGCTGGAATAATACAAGTTGATTATACTTTACTATTCAATGAAGTTCATTGACCTTCAAACTTTGGCTGATTTATAAATCAAGTTTCAATGTTATAATATTGTGTGATGTGAATTCCTATTATAAGATATAATTTCAATATTAAACAATGCTTTTTGAAGAGACTTTGTAAAGTTATCTTTTGCAGATTATTATAACTGACTGTCAAGAGTATTATTAATGGATTATTACTGACTCAGGTACACAAAAAATATTCATGATTAGCTATGGAACTTTCCAATCATATAGCTCATGTATAAAAATAACATAATATGGCATGTATAATTAACAAAGTTATTTTTATACATTGACAAAAATACAACAAAGGTTACAATAATTAACATTTGTGGTAACAAAGGCAAAGTACAAATAAATTTTCTATATGAAAATTATGTATATCATGTCATATGTGGGGCATTTCACGTGAAGCGGACAGGAAAAAAAAAGTGAGGTTTGGAAAATCGATCATATTGGGACCATTTATACTTCTAGTAGATATGAATGTAAACACAGAATATTTTTTTTGTATAATGTATATTTCACAAGTTATGGGTGTCTAAAGAATTGTCGTAATTGAAATATTAATTTTTTTGAAGGTATTTTTTCGAATTAAATAATTTTACAAGAAAGTATATATCACAGCGATACTTATCGGAAAAGACTGTTCTTTTTAACAATAAAAAAAAATAAAAAAATAGGTTTTGTTTTCATGTCCAAAACCGGAAGTAAACTTTTCAAACTAGAATTTCAATCACTTCAACCATTTTTATTTTTTATTTTTTTTATTCAAAATATAGCTTAACGTATATCAAAAATACCCTAAAAAAATTAAAATGGGATTTCTATTAGTTTAGGAGTTACATTGATATATGTGCACACGCGTCGCAATGGGCGTGATGTCTGACGCTAGCTTGGATCGGCTGGTGTGCGTTAAACATCATGTCTTGTATAACTGGTGTGGTAGAATAATTAAAACATCATAAAACATTATTGTAACAATGCAAGAACTAGTTTATTTTGTAATTTTTAATTTTGTAGATGAGTTATCTGTTATGCGACGCTTTGGACCTTTTGAAACCTCATTCTTACATTGCAGAGGAATAGGCGCTTTATTTAAAACTCTTAAGGAGATTGTCGATGAAGGACAAATTGTCGTAGAATGTGATTTTTCAGAAAATTATAGTTTTGTTGTACAAGATGCTGCTCAATCTTTTCAATGGAATACCGAACAAACAACACTTCTAACGTTGGTTTTTGACTATAGAGACAGTAGTGAAGTAAAGCACGGCAGCATCGTAATGATCTCTGACGACTTGATACATGATACAGTCATCTTTTGGAAAAATCAATAGTTATGTCTAAAATAATATACATAACCGACGGGGCTTCCCAAAATTAAAAAAAAAATTCAACTTTGTGAATCTGTTTCATTACAAACGAGATTTTAATGCAGATACAGAGTTGCATTTTCATGCAACGTCTCACGAAAAAGGACCATGCGATGGTCTAGGAGGGAATCTCAAACGTTTAGCTGCGAGTGCAAGTCTACAGTAATCTTCGAGTAAAGAAGACGAACAAACTTCGAGTAACACCAATACGATTATACGTTTGGGCAAAATCATCTTCAAAACAAACAGTCATTTACTTCTGTTCTAAAGACGACATAGAACGCCAGAGAAATTGTTTGCAACCTCGGTTTGAATCTACAGTCACGATTTCAGGAACCAAAAAGTTTCACAGCTTTATTTCAACAACCATGGCATTCTTGTGAAGAGGACCAGTTCTAGCAAAGATTTTAAAGTAGTAAAAATTACAAAATAAACTAGTTCTTGCATTGTTACAATAATGTTTTATGATGTTTTAATTATTCTACCACACCAGTTATACAAGACATGATGTTTAACGCACACCAGCCGATCCAAGCTAGCGTCAGACATCACGCCCATTGCGACGCGTGTGCACATATATCAATGTAACTCCTAAACTAATAGAAATCCCATTTTATTTTTTTTAGGGTATTTTTGATATACGTTAAGCTATATTTTGAATAAAAAAAAAAAAATAAAAATGGTCGAAGTGAATGCAATTCTAGTTTGAAAAGTTTACTTCCGGTTTTGGACATGAAAACAAAACCTATTTTTTTATTTTTTTTTTTATTGTTAAAAAGAACAGTCTTTTCCGATAAGTATCGCTGTGATATAAACTTTCTTGTAAAATTATTTAATTCGAAAAAATACCTTCAAAAAAATTAATATTTCAATTACGACAATTCTTTAGACACCCATAACTTGTGAAATATACATTATACAAAAAAAATATTCTGTGTTTACATTCATATCTACTAAATGGTCCCAATATGATCGATTTTCCAAACCTCACTTTTTTTTTCCTGTCCGCTTCACATGAAATGCCCCATGTTTCAAACTCATAACTAACCATCATCATCAGGCCATGTCGGAGCCATGATAGTCTGAATACTCTGCTGCAATTGTTTCAAACATGGTTTCACACTCTTCACTTGACCAGCCATTAAGTAATGACATACCTGTAATTATAACATATTACATTGAACATTTAAGGAACATCTTATTAGATATATACAGCCACGGGCAAAAGTATTAGGCACCCTACAGTAGGACAAGTTTTAGAGTGTTTTAGCATAGCAAGTGTAAATAAAACTGCATTTATGATTACAATAGTTTATTTTAAGAAAATAATTAATATTTTGTAGGTCCACCTTTTGACTTAATAACAGCAGCCACTCTTTTTGGCATTGACTCTACCAGCCTGAAACATTCTTCTCTTGATATATTTTTCCATTCCTGCTGTAACGTGGCCAATAGAGCTTGTTTATTGCTAATCGAGTGCCTGCGGATATTTTTCTTTAAAATGGACCAGATATGCTCAATTGGGTTGAGATCTGGTGATTGTGGTGGCCAGTCCAAAAGATCAATATGATTTTCAGCAAACCACTTCATGGTATGCGCGGACTTGTGGCAAGTGGCGTTGTCTTGCTGAAATTTCAGGCCATCTGTGTTTGTATCACCGAAAATTTGCGTTATCGACGTTGCTAGTGCTGTTTCCAGAACTTCAGTGTATTTAACACTATTCATTCGTCCCTCACACAACACCATTTCGCCCACTCCGTCGGCAGCCATGCAGCCCCAGATCATTATTGAGCCTCCACCATGCTTAACAGTGGGAACCACACATTCTGGGTTGTATTCTTCGCCAACCCTTCGCCTAACATAAGTCACACCGGGTGTTCCAAACACCTATGCCAAACGAAAAAAACCCATTTATTTTCAAAGTTATTATTTTTCTTGCAGTATGTTATTTTAAAAACATTTATGTGTTTTAATATTGTACATAAAATAAATAACAATACCTCAAAGTTAGATTCGTCTGACCACAGTATGTTGGACCAATCTTCCACTGACCAATCACTATGTTTGAGTGCCCACTCCAACCGATTTTTCTTATTGTGTTCTGACAGCCACGGCTTCTTCCTTGCTTTACATCCTTTTAATCCAGCTTTAAGAAGTCTTCTTCTCACAGTATAAACACTCACTGAGCTGCCTTTTGCCTCAGATAATGCTGCAGCGAGCTCTGAAGCAGTTTTTTTCCTGTTTTGTAGCGACTGCCTAATCAACAATCGATCTTCCCGTTCAGTAGTAACTTTTCTTCTGCCTGTTCTTGGTCTATTTTCATGGGTGCCAGTCTCTTTGAAGCGATTTATAGCATATTGAACTGCACATCGCGAGCACTTCACTTCTCGGGCTATTTTAACCTGAGACATGCCTTGTTCATGTAAAATCTTAATTCTTAGACGCTGTTCAGCACTAAGTTCAGATTTTTTCGGCATGATTAACACGTTAAATGTTAGTCTTTAGAATTGTGATAGGAATAGTTGCGTAGAAGACGTGTATGTTCACTGCAAGCACTGATAACACACTGTAACCCGAAACGCAAAAAAAGCAAATTCGAAGAAACACCGCTTAGGAGCACACCTGGATGTCATAAATATTTTCTTTTATCTTAATTTGGTTAAAAATTGCCGCTAATACAATAGCTAAACCATAAAACACACACTTGACCGCTATCTAATGAGATAGTGACTAACAATAGGGGTGCCTAATACTTTTGCACGCAGCTGTAGTAATATATTTATGATTAAATTATGGTACCTGCAACACAAGAAAAAATACTTTAAGATATTCTTTCTGGTGAGGACTACCAGCCCATGTCTCAACAAGATGACCGGCCTGGTTCAATAATGGTAATACTTCCTGGATTTTCTTGTCTATTAACAGTAACTGAAATATAACAAAAAAAAATTAAAACAAATAGAATAACAATTTATTTGATATTCTTTATGATTAAGAGATGAAAATTTTTGATAACATTGTGTTTAAATAATGTGGGTAAATCATTGCAAAAATTATAGTAAATATTATTGCAATATAGATAAAAAATATTAAATTATAATAATAAATGTTACTAAACTCACCATAACCCTACTGAGTAGAAATAGTACTCTAGTATATGCTGCATTGGATATCTGTGCATAGTCCACACCAACACCAAGCAAACTGCTCGCTACTTCATATTCTCTCTCAGTTGCATGAATTTGCTGGAATTTATTAAAAAAAATATATTTTTTAACCATACATCAGTGTTTCAATTAATATTTCAATGTTTCAATTAATAATTACGACTATTTTTTAGTAATAAAGACAGTGCTCTTGTTAAGAGCTATAGTAATATTTATGTAAACAAAGTAGGGATTTTCAAGAAGATACAGTGTGGAAGAAAAATAAATTCTCATAGAATAATACAGTTACTTACTGCCAACTGGAATATTAGCCTGCAGTGCCAGTAAACGCTGTGCTGTGATAATTCAATAGCTTTTCGTAATATTGGTTTAGAATGAGTCGGTTGGCCCTGCTGCTCGAATAACTCCGCGAGCACACTCGCCGCCTCAAACTTAACATCATCGAATCCAGTAATAGTCTGAGATAAGCACCACTGCAATAAAAACAGTATATGACCCACTTCACCATCATTGTTTACATTCTATGTACAACTTGTCATACATATCATTAACAAAATCTCATCTTGGTGGTACATTGATCAGCTTCAGCTTTTGATACGACACTTCAGATTGATACGTCTTTAACAGACGGAGGGTAAAATAACAAAAAAAACTTACACTCTGTTCCAAATGCGTTCTCGCCAAGTCGATGTTTTTAGTGTGTGTCAAAAGGATATTTCCAAGTTGTAAATGTGTTCTGGCCTCGACTCTTTGGGGCGGTTTGAAATTAAATACAGCTTGAAGACACTGAATGCAACTTTTTATGTCAGGAGGGTTTGATGTACGGAAATGTTCCGCTAAACCAAGTAAAGAAATATACCAAGCGTCCTGCGTTGACGCCATTTTGACATTTCTGCTTGGAGGGAGAAGTGTTGCTACCTTGCATTATTTTAATGTCTACTACACACAAAATATTACTATAATGGAAAATGACGGGACTGCATGTCATAAATTAAATATCAAATAATTTTGTTACACAACTAACTATATTTTTATTAAATAATAAATAATGTAACTAAAACTATTTTGAATAAGTAATCACAATTTGTATTTAATAATAATTAGAAATCAATTTAAAAAATAATAATTAAAAGAAACATCTGTGATTATCGTACAATAGTAAAACCTTAACATTGATCCCTCTTTATAAATAGCAAAGATTTAAAGGTCAGTCTATGTAAAAGGGTATTAGACAACAGTAAAAAACAGGGAACAAATATAGTTTATAAACTTTTTACAAATACGATATAAAGGATTCAATCACCTTAAGTAAATTATTTACATTTTATCAGACAGATACATTTTTTAATATTTCTTAGTAATTTTGTCAGAAACAAATTTTCGCTTCATTTCATTCACACAGTAATATTTTTTTTTAATCAATTGTTTAAATTCGGACTTTGTCGGAGGTTGCTACTTTTCTTGGTTTTATTGCACGAACTGAAGTAATTCCTTTAAAAATTCTTTTAAATTGTGAAAGTTTAATATAAAACCTAATAATCACACCGAGTTAACAAGTAAACATTTATAACACAAGAATTTAGGTATTTTTTGTGAAATAAAAGATTTTTTCATCCTACTCCAAGGATAAAATGCAGAAAAGAGAATAGAATAAATCACGGTAGTAAACGATCATAAAGCAAATTACTGCTTAGATATGTATATGTAAAATCGGATATGTACTTTAATCAGTCCGTATTGTTAAACAATATCTTTTAGTCCTACTAATATTATAATTGCGAGTGTGTGTGTATGTTTGTTACTTCTTCACGCTCAAACGGCTGATCCGATTTTGATAAAATTTTGTGTACCTACACGAAGCTGACGTCCAAGAATAACACATTGTTTACTTTACAACCCAGAAATCCCGGAAATCTGCGGGTAAAACCGCGGGGCGCAGCTAGTAAGTCTATAATACTAAAATTGTAGAATTTTTGCCAAATCAATCCCACGAAAAAGCTATTACCAATTAACTATCTTGAGACATGGAATTTTCCATCTCGAAAAGAAGACCATCGAGACCCTGTCTTTTTAGTTTTAATTACAGCTTAGTACTCTGTAATATCTTTGAATGCACTTATCTTGGATGGACCGCAAAAGCACGCTAAAACACAATTGTATATGGAAATGATAAGTTTTTTCGATATGGTATATCCTGATATCCAGTGCCGGCGTTGGGGGGGGGGGGGGGGGGCGATGGGGCGACGGCCCAGGGCGCCAAATTTGGGGGCGATTAGTGGAGGTAGGATACTTATAACAAAAAAAAATAGGAGCTACATAACTTTCTACTTCCACGTCGTTAGCTCTGGGTCACGCTAAAAGAAAGATGGAAGATGGTTAAGATGGAATATAGAATTCTTAAAACACGCTCAGTGTTCACATTGGTTCAGAAAAAAATTAATACTCGATTTTGATTTCTTCAAGTGGGCGCCAAAATATTCTTGCCCAGGGTGTCAGTCCCTCTAACGCCGGCACTGCCGATAATTAGATGTCTTGATTGCTTACTTTCTGAGAGACCTTGCCTACTAGTTATATTTATAATGACTGCTTTTCTGAACCAACGGCTATCAACAACGAGTTTTAACGAAACTGTCTCCTCCGCACCTCTTTTTGGCATACCTAGTGGTCTAGTGGTGGTAGAGCCTAGCTGTGGTCAAGTGATTGCAGCTCGAACGTGGGCTGGCTCGACCGGGGAGGTACCACCCTCTCACAGAAGATCGGCGTGAAGTAGCCTTAGTGACTGCGTTTAGTTCGATGAGTGAGAGAGCCGGTTGCCCTTTCCCTTTTTCCGTCCTTTCCTACCCCTTCCCTTTTTCCTCTCCTTCCCATTTTTCCTCCCCCTCTTCCCAAATCAAGGGTGGTGATACATCCGCAACATGTCTTATGTCGCGGATGTCCATGGGCGACGGTACTACCTCCATCAGGCTCGGTTGCCCCCTTTAACATAAAAAAAAAGAAAAAATACCGCATATTAACGACCTGCTGCCAGCTGTGCTTGACCTATATAGAAAGCAGCACAGTTCTAGCCTCTTATCGAAAGATTGGATCACAAGAGGTGAAAACAGAGGCAATATGGTGGTGCGTATTAATTTCACTATTAAGCCTATCATAGAATGAAACGATTAAATTTTTGTGAAATTTAACTCCGCCTGAACACGAGCGTGAGTTAGTAATTGTTATAGAAAACGCTTTGAAAGGTCCGCGTAAAATTTGCGTGATATAATTAAACTATTTTTTTTTTATGGAAAACCAGACGAGCCTTCATCGTTCGGTTGTAGACGCATAAGGAGGAAGTCTAAACGATAAGCTTCCTCTTTTCTCATGCAGATGTCAAAGATTTAGAACAATTCACCTTCGTTTGTGTTCCCCCCCAAATTTAAGGGTTTTCTGGTAAGCAGCAATATAAAAAGGATAGTGTGTTTACTATTTAAGGTTCCAATCTCTATTCTCTACTTAAAGAGGTGGAATTATAGCCGATATAAAGTTTTAATTTCAAATATATAGATTGAGACTAGTATTCGTTCGACGCTTATGTTCACTGTTATATATTTATAAAGAACTAGTAAACCTGGCGTACTCCGTTCCGCCTCCAGAAGGCTTTGTTTAATGTAACATTTCGTTTGGTGATTAAAAGATGAATAATTTTTTTTTGTTTTATATATGAAAAGGAAAAATTTTATTTCATTTCACAACAGTAATGAATTCATTTCTATTACAAAAATGAAGTGTTATTTAGTTGAACTTTTCTAAGTAAATGAAAGTGAATCCAAAATAGATACCGAATCGAAGCGTTATACGTGTCTGCAAATTATCCTATCATTGAAGTGCTAAACCACATTTTTTGTTTTTTGGTCTAACGTTAACACAAATAAAGCGGATGGTTTCCCAACTTATGAAGACACAAACTATAACTGCCCATGTGAAAAACAATGATTTTCTAAATTTATCCCGCACATACTAAATTACATATCTGTCATTATACGTCAATTGCATAAAGCCTGTCAATTGTGTTTCGTTATTCCACGTTTTATAGTGACTGACGTTTTATGTCAAGTCCCACGGAAATGCTGTCGAACGGGATAAAAAGTATCCTATTGCAATTTCCTGGCTCTAAACTACCTCCCTCTCAATTTTCAGCTGAATCGGTTCAGCCGTTCTTGGGTTATAAGTGGAGTAACTAACACGACTTTCTTTTATATATATAGATTTGAAATTAGATAAAGAATTCATAAAAAATTAATATAAATACATTTTTGAAAGTTTTAACCATTGAATGACTGAAGTACCTCGGCACGGGTTTTGGTTATTACTTAATATAGTGTCCAATTACGCTACTGACCACTTGTTATTCTGAAATCAATCTATCGTTGAAAAAGATATTATGTTAATACAACGTAACGAAAAAGAATAACCAATTAATAAAGCTTTGCTAAAATGGAGAATCGTTAATAAGTATATTATTGATGGTAAATTTGTAATCTTTGACACAAAAAGACTTGAATGAAATCCAGCCTGGGAAAGAAGAATAAGGACATGCTATTTGAAAAATGCAGTCAGCTGTTTTTTTTCTATTTTCGTGATATAAACTGTAATACCAAAATTGGAAAATGTTCTCCAAAAATAATGTGTTCATATTTCAGTCATTTTCGTTGTTAGGGTGACAATCTAATACTAAATTGATTTCATATTGAGTTTCTCTATAATCTTACTTATAAATCTAAATTGTTTACTGATGATTAGAAATTTTTCTGAATGAAAAACTATAAATGTTTTTTTCATATAACGAAACGGAGTAACAAGTGATGTAATCTCTGGTCGTAGAAATGTATCTAAAATATTAAGGTAAGCTTTTTCATTTATTAAATTTGTTTTTTAAAAAATATATATGAAATTAATAGAACGCCGGTAAATTAGAGCTATCAAGGTTGACTGTTAGTTTACCTTAAAAGTCAAATAAAAATGTTTTAGAACCCTTGGTGGTAACTTAGAATTAATGTACCTCGCTATGGTATCTACTTAGTACTGTTTCGAACTACAGATACATGTAGTATTAAATGTAATTCATTGAAAAAGACATTTTTAGAGGGGTGGTCAATCTATACTAATATTACAAAGCTGAAGAGTTTGTTTGTTTGAAAGCGCTAATCTCCGAAACTACTGGTTCGAATTGAATAATTCTTTTTGTGTTGGATAGTCCAGTTATCAAGGAAGGCTGTGGGCTATATAACATCACGCTATGACCAATAAGAGCAAAGATATAGTGGTAAATGTGTAAAAAACGGGAGAAATTATTTCATCTTTGAAGCCTTCCGTTGCGTGCGCCGTGAAAACGGTTCAAGATACACAAAAAATATGTATTAAAGAATAATAGCTCTTTTAATGATCTAAAAAACAGTTCACGACAGTATATGTCTATCTTTTAAGATTAACTCACAAAAACTGTTTTTATGGTACCTAATTTGGTCGAAATAATTTGTTTAAGTTGTATCAACACAATAATATTAATCTTTATTCAAATAAACAAATAAATATGTTGTTGGTTAAGAGTACTTCCTTGTGAATAGAAAAAAAACATAGGTTTTATCCTGAAAATTGTACGGGAACTCGACCATTCCGAAAACCCCGCAAGAACGGGAACTATGTGGGAAGAACCAAAAATCTGCCGGAAGTCACTATTCCACGCGAAGTCGCTGCAAAAGCTAGTACTTAAACATAACTTTTCTTTTCTATTCAAAGACTATTTATTATAGATTCAGAACCTATTTGCCACAAAGCCATCTTAGTATTTAAAAAAGATCAAATATTTTCATTAACTTTTTGGGTAGGTTTAAATCTTATAATAGCTTAACTTATTTTAGTAGCCAGGCCTTTATACGATAAATAAGTAACTTTTCTGGCACACAAATGGTGAAAGAAACATTTCCCACCATTCATATACTATTTAATTATTCGTCATTATTACTATGATAGTTGCAACAGGTGTAAGAAAAATAACCAGATTATTTCAGAATTGATGTTTATTCATCAATGGTAAGTGTACCCTCATTGATATCAACAATCAAGTCGTGAGGGGGTCTTCCTTCTACGGTACAACCAACTGATTGGGCAGTTCCGAGGATTTCTTTGACTGTTCCAGACAGGTACCTCGCCATAGATCTTGGTCTCATGGTCTTAGCAATGCTAATGACATCCTCCAAAGTGATGTTGCCACTGTGTTTGACTGAAAATAACATTTAATATTGTTATAAAGATATTAAAAAAATATTAAAGATTAATAACCTTGTATCATATAAATGAAACAATAATTTAAAGATTGTACTGTAAAATTACATGAGATTTTGTAGTGATAATTACTTTTAATTAGAATTGACTTAGTTAAATTAACAAATGTTGGAAATATTACTGTTCTTTTGCTTCTTGCGGTCACGCGGAGGTTCCTTCAAGGCTCTAATGATGAGGGCAGCAGCGGACGGCACTACAGATATCTGAGCCTGTCTGTTTTGTACAATCAACTGCACTGTGATCTTCAGACCCTTCCAGTCACTGGTGGCCTTAGCGATGTCATCACCAACCTTTTTAGGGGACTGTTACGGCAAAAAACAATTAGTATGGAGTATAAATAATACAAATAAAACGAGCAAATAAAATTAATGGCAGTTACAGCCTGGTCCGCGACTCCTTATTGGGCATTCGGAGTAGCCGCGACAGGGAATCGGATCCTGAGTCGCGGGTTCCTTCCATCCGCCACCCGGAAGGACGCGCCTGGTAGGGAGGCACCCCCCAGGATCATACATCACATTATATCAATCTGACATTACAATAGCATTTAACGATAATTAATCGATGAATTAGATACGCAAATCGTTAGATAAAATGCCCAAATAATGTAAAGTCAGATCTTAAATTAAAAAAGTTGAGACTGCCATGTGAAAAGGATTGATAAGTTGAGGTTATGTTTTTGTAGATAATTGAATTATAAATGTAATATTTACCAGACCAAGTGGACCAATTTTAGGAGCCAAAGATGATGTAGCACCTACTTCTCCACCAACACATCTCAAGAAAACTGAAACATCACAATCACGTTATACATACGTTCCGGTAATTAAAATGAGATATTTCACGACACGAAATCTTACCGATTTTAATTTCGTTAGGATCAAACTTAGGCGGCATTGTGTTATATTATAATGTAATTCACTATTACAAAAAATCTATATCCAAAGCGATTACTTTGGATTAAAGACGAACTGCAAAGTTCACGTCCTACGAACGACGACAGCTCGTCAGAAAAGAGGGAATGATTTTGACAACTGATAACTTTTCAGTTTTGACTGTTGACAGTTCGGAATTACAAAAAATAAAATAGAAATTTCAGCTATACAGTTTTGTTATCAATAAAATATAAAAAAATAACAATTGGAAGGTTAATTTTTACGAAAAAGGAAACATTAAACTAATTACTTAAGATTGATTTGTAATACAAAAAAAAAACTGTTTTATATAAATTAAAAGTAAAAAACTTTTGACATAAAACATATTAAGACATGTTACTAGTTTATGTATGAAAAGTTACAAAGCGTTATTTATTTCTAAATAACTAATTTTAATAAAATACTTGAAGGTTAATAAAATTGTGTTACAAATAAATAAAACTGATAGAAAATATAAAAATCTCATTCATTATTAGTTGATATAACTTGTTGTTTACTGTTTATTAAAGATTTGAATTATTTAATTACCATTTGTTGTAACTTAATGAGAAACAATATTTTTCTAGTGTTTCTAAAATTATTACTAGAATCTTCTTCTTATGTTACTTACATGTTGTAAATAGTTTTGGCTAATTGTTTTTTCGACCGGCCGCCTGCCTGACATCAACCCTCTTTGGGAATGCATTAATCAGTGATGCCTGATGTCTAAATACTCTTAGAAAGTTCATATGACTTGGAAAACTCACATTGTACTTGTCAGGATCGAACCCACGCCCTCATCCATGAAAGGCGGGCCTTTTAACCACTAGACCACTTCTGACTCGAATTAATAGAATCTATTTTTATATTATAATAGCTATTATTCTATTATACAAACTCGTTTTGTTTTCTTTGTACAGTATTTCAATTTATATTATCAGTCGTTCATTAAATAATAACGTTGGCATTGACCAAAACTTATATTTCTATTATTATCTTTGCTGTCGTGAATTTTAAAATATGTCATAAGAAGTTTAATCTATTCTTATTAATTCCTGTTTATAATTTTCTATTTTCAAGGAAGATCTCTATGAGTCATTAAATTGATTCCGATTTGAATCATAACTATTTTTACTCTTTATCTACAGATTGGTGTTAACCTGACAGATGACAGTTTTGATCAAAATTAAATGTTAGTTCTGTTCGTCACAGCTTCGTGTTATCTCGATAATTTATAATTTTCTTAAAGGACTTGTGAAAATCATGGCTAATAATGACGCGTATCTCAAAGTGTGTCTATCTAAATACAAACATCGAGATCTTACTGCACGGGATGTGACTAACGTAATACAAGTGTATCGCAGTTTGAATTTTCGTGTCGAGGGCTTTGTATTCAACAATGGAGTAAGAAAAGACCTTTTGAATTTAGAGGGAACGATACCTGTTAATTACAAAGGAGCATTTTACAATATTCCTATTTGTATTTGGCTAATGGACACCCATCCGCAAAATGCACCTTTGTGTTTTGTAAAACCGACACCTGATATGTCAATAAAAATATCAAAATATGTTGATAATAACGGAAAAATTTATTTACCGTATCTACACGAATGGAAAGCTAATGTTTCCACTTTACAGCGACTCGTTCAGCAAATGATCATTGCTTTTGGAGAATTACCGCCAGTCTATTCGAAACCACGGAACGAAGTACGTCCACCTTATCCTATGAACTCCTTTATGCCGCAGCCGTCAGGTTATCCATATCCCACGGTCAGCCCTCCTCAGCAGGGGTATCCTTCTATGACACCATATCCGACAACCTCACAACTGCCATATCCCAGTTTCGGTACACCCTACCCTGGCTCTGTCAACACAAATGGTTCACCATATCCTGGAGCAAACCCTCCATATCCACCAGCGACTGTTAATCCAGTAGCAGATGTTGCTGGCGGCACTATCACAGAAGAACATATCAAGGCATCATTGCTCTCTGCAGTAGAAGACAAACTAAGACGCAGACTCAAAGAACAGTCTCAACAATCACAGGCAGAACTCGAAACATTACGTCGGACTCAGCAAGAATTGAGAGAAGGAAAAACAAGATTGGAAGATATAATATCACGTTTGCAAAGAGAGAGATCTGAACTGGACAAAAATGTGGCTATTCTACAAGAGAAGGAAAAGGAATTGGAATCGGCAGTGGAACATCTCGGTGAACAAGAAAGTGTTGATGTTGATGAAGCTGTAGTTACAACAGCTCCTCTATATTCACAACTTTTAAATGCCTTTGCTGAAGAAGCTACTCTTGAAGACGCTATTTATTATATGGGAGAGGCCTTACGTAAAGAAGTGATAGACTTGGATACGTTTTTGAAACAAGTTCGTACTCTTGCTAGGCGGCAGTTCACATTACGTGCACTAATGCATAAATGTAGGCAAAAGGCCCAGCTTGCATGTTAATAAAAATATTTGTGATGCAGTATGAGTCATAAGATAACTTTGTTTATTAAACTTGCAATATTTAATACAATCTGTAGGCAAATAGATAATTGAAATGAAATTATGTGTTGTGCTACATTGTTCATATTAAGGTTATAAATGTAATACAGGAGTAGAGATATTTAAAAGAAATGACGAAAAAGTTGTGCAATAGATATCAATGGTAATGAAAATTCATACATATTAATTTTACTGTTTAATATCATATTCAAACTTAATGTGAAATTATGTTTTCAAACAGTACTTTCATTTTAATTATTATGGATGATATGGAACATTCAAGAAATAATTGTTAAGCTTATACTATGTAGCTTTCTTATTTTATTGTCAACCATATAATGTATCAAGCTTACTGAAAATAAATATCATTATGTTAAATATTTCTAGTGTGATATGAATCTGATTTTTAAATGAAATTATTGATAACTTTTTTTTTATTTTATATAACCGTGCTTGTAAATGAAGTGCTACAAGTTTAAAATTTGGTTTGTATAGTGACTGTTGACTTTAATGCCACAAGATAATGTGACAATAAACATGAATCCTAAATTAAATTGGTGAATATTTTTAATAAAAAATACATTTTTTTCACTAATGATATGAAAGTGAACAAATTTTTGATCATAAGTGTTATAAAAAATTTATAAACTTTGTTTTAAATGGTTGCTTTGAATTTTTTGCTACCTCACAATAGGTGGACAAAAACTATCATGCTAAAGATTTTTTTTACAACAGTAAATAAATAATTTATTTTCAAACCAAATGATAGATAAACTTATGTATTTATTTATATTTGATAATTTTTTTATTTGGATGCAATATTCTTTTCATTAGGGCATTGAAAGTGAGTATGCATTCTCGTCTTGTATTTTAAGGTTGTCATATATGTAAGTTGTTTGACAAGCATGTTGTATCACCTGTCCAAATCTAACTCAGTATATATAAACTGATGGTAAACTCAAGGAATAGTGTTAAGTTTTGCATATTATACATACAAGTTATACACAATAAATTTATAAAACGATGTAGTTGTTTTATTATGACTATCACCATTATCTAGCTGTAATAATAATTATAGTTTAGTATTCTGACCTTGTTAGCTAACTTGTATGATAGGGCAAATCAAACAGTAGATACATGTGTAATTCAAATTTATTGTTTTAAAGCTTTATGAATTATAAAGCGTAGCAAAAAATAAATTAAATGCCAGTTTATACTGTATGCACATAATAGTTTATGGATCTATTTCTTTTCATTCTTCTTGCCCTTCTTAGCAGAAGCTGCTGCCTCTAGGTCTATGGGTGCGGGCTTAACAAATGGAATTAATTCTTGATACTGTTCTGGCATCCAGAGTTTGAGGGCCTCAGGTACCTGTTCAAATACATATATTAATTTTGGTAGTGATACAGATATATTAAGTTAACAATATATAAATAAATATTACATTTCAAACTATATTTTACATCAAATTATTTAGTCTTGACTCAATATTATGTCACTAAATTGAAAGTTCAGAATGGAAATTTATTTAATAAATATTTTTTAAATTGAATCAAGATACGAACCTTAATACCCTCTTCTGTTTGGTTGACTTCTAATATGGCGCAAATAACGCGTGTGGTGGCACACATTGTGGCATTAAGCATGTGGACATATTCAGTTGCTGCATTCATTTTCTTTGTTTGACCATATCTAAAAACAAGTTTGTTTAGTGTCATAAAACAAATACTAGTATTAGTATATTTTTACTAGTGTTATATCACAATAAACCCAAACAAGTGAAATTAAAAAAAATCTGAGAACCAGTCTCTAAAGAGATATTAAACTTTCATGTAGACTTAGACTTGTATGACTTAGACTCACGTAGACTTTAGACACACATATAAAAAAGTTTGTACAACTATTAATCATGGTTTTTAATTAGAAAATTTTAGGGTTGTACCAACCTAACAAGTAAACGTCTAGCTTGATACTCCAGACAGTTACTACATGAGACAAGTTCACGGAAGGCTCCAGAGCCAGGGAACCATGCCTCCAAGTCAAGCTTCTTAGAAGCTGCATGATTTAAAGCTCCAGACACTATATTGACAACTCGGTAGGGAATACCAAGGCACTGATAAAAGTCCTCTGCATTTTTTATCATCTCATCCATCATTACCCATGATGCATTATCATGGGGAGAGGTAAGAACAAACTGCTCTACCTAGTGGGTAAAAATATATTTTGCTGTTAAAAACTATATATATGTCATTATCATATCATATCATAAAGTGGCAAGAATTAATTTAGATTTGTGAAAGGAAAATTGTCAAAAAACTAAATGAGTGCTGCTTAAGCTTATAATTGAATATTAATTATAATGAATATAGTACACATATGGGAAAAAATATTAATATTTTTCTTACATAAGATTGTAAGAAAGGGGAGAGATTGGGGTAAACAGGACAAACAATTTTGTTATATTTAATCAGCTGTGAGCCCATATTTACCTTTTCAAATTGATGAACTCTGAAGATACCACGGGTGTCTCGACCATGTGAGCCCACTTCCTGTCGGAAACATGTGGATAGACCAGCATATCTGAGAAAACCACAAAATAGTTATTAATCACATGAAGAGACAACAATATAGAAATATAACACATAAATGTAAAACTTTGTGAGGAATTATTAATGTTAATTTTTTTTTTTAATATAACATATATGAAATTAATCTATTATTATTTATCCCTTCAATGGGAGTACTTTGCACAGGACACCAGAAAAATTAAATTTATTAAATTTCTCATGACATAGTCAACAAATGTTGCTAGCAGTTAGTTAACATATCTATTGTATCCAGAAGACCAGTGGCGGCTGGTGGGTTATCGAACTGGTGGTGCACTTTACTAAAATATTAAAATTAGAAAATGCAACAAAAAACCAATTGACATAAAATATGTTTATTTTTTAAATATTAAATCAATGCGACGACATTTTTCTGAAGCGAAATGTTCAATCACCTTTTTATTAAAATCGAGTATTGTTTGTATAATTATTTTTTTCAATACTAAGCATAGAAAGTGCATTTAGCAAGTGCAAGGTATTTCGGAGAAAAGTTTTGATTCTTTTCAATTCCAATTCGTCATACATCGCGTGCTCTCGCTAATCTTCGGCCGCTCGTGCGGCGCTCGAGAACCGACTCGTTACTCGGTACATTTCTATGAACTATCTTTTGTTTCACGCGCCAGGCGTATTAATGCGTATGTCATACAAGATGTATTAGGAGTCCTCGTGCACTCGCCGAAGCGCACGAGATATTAGTTTAGTAAAGCGCACAAACTTTTTGACTATAATTAGAAATTTAATTTTTTATATGTTTTTGTATGTTTAGAAAATAAATATAAAAATTTTAATTTAAAAATAAATATGAAGTATTATTTTGTAATTTTTAAATCTTTTGAATTGGTGGTTCAGCGCACGAGTGAACTTAAGGTACAGCCGCCACTGCAGAAGACATTACTCATTTCTCTCTGATCAATACTAAATACAGAACAGAAAATGAAGCAAACAAACTAGTATGTATTAAATATATTACTTAATAGGTAAAGATGCTTCAGGAAGCCATTCATCCCTGTGGTATGCAGCAATGGGCTGCTCTGAAGTAGCTATGAGATATTTTTCCTCTACAGCACTATCACCTTTATTTTCTGAACCTTTGCCAATGACCTTGTACAGCTCTTCATCAAATTGTGCAAGTTGTGCAACCTCTTGCATTACCTAAAAGTATACAGTGAAAATATTTATATGGAAGCCAACACATTAAAACAAAATTTTATTAAAAGAAATATTATTATTTACCTCTTTTTTCATAAAAAAGGGTGTATATAATGGTGTGTAACCTCTTTCTAGAAGCATTCTAAGTGAAAGTTGAACTAGAGCCTGTTCAAGGAATACCGCTGGACCCTTTAGGTAATATCCCCTGCCACCGGAAACAGCTGCACCTCTTTCTCCATCCATTCCTAGCAATGTTAATGGTTTTGAGAAATTTTACAATAAAATAAGTAAATAAGTTTCTGTATAACTTTATAAACATTATAGGAACTATATTTAAGTAAGATTACCATCAATCATGCATATAAGATCTACATGAGAATATTTTTGTCTAAAGCTGCAGTCTCCAAATGTCCTTTCCACTGCATTATGATCCTCGTCATCATCAACGGGCACAGACTCATGTAAATGATTGCCAACTTCTCTGAGTGCAGCGGATCGAGTCTTTTCAGCTGCTACCAAAGCTTGCTCATTTTTCGTAATTGCTTCATCAATCATTACTCTGACCTATAAAGAAAATTAAAAGTATGCTAAATATATATTTTTTTGATAGACGCACCATACATTATAAATATTGTTGCATCATGCAATATGGCATAAAAATAATTTGGAACATTAAAGGTAAAATAATGTGTTTCCATATTTTGCAAACCTAAAATTTAATCATTGACTTTCTTAACAACAATTTACCTTTTTAATTTGATTGACTGTGAGAGGTCGTAACTGTTCACCGGTAAGATTAATAAGGTTATCAGCGATTTCTTGAGGTACGGCCTCATCTTCAGCGCCAACGGGTTCTTTACTCTTCATTTTTTGGCCGATCTCTTTACTACATACATTTTTCAGTTTGTTTAGGTTGTCGGCATCGTGGCGTAATTTTCTCCATAAGGTATCTTGTTCCACTACAGTGTCCACTAAAGCAACGTCTTTGAAACGTTTCCTTTGATTTTCGCGAATTTTATCAGGATCCCCATCTTTATCGGCACGAAAAAGATCTAAGTCTAGCACCATTTCGAATGTATAATATAAGAACTAAGATACTGCAATCGAGTCGCTGAATAAGTGATAGTATCTGGTCTCGCTGCACAGTGTACTATTCTGCTGACGGCATAACATAAGTAGTCACCACCTGGCCAACTGTCAAGTATAAGTGTCAAAGAAAATGAAATGTGTTCATAATGAAAATATCAAATTAGAATATTTCAACGAAGAATATTGGATTTTTAGCTATTTGAAATTGTTTGATAAAATAGTGTAGAGTTAGGAACTAATAATATTTAATATTAGTATTTAAATATGGTTTATTCACAACTTTTCAATATTTGTACGTACCGAAACTCATTCTTATAAGTTACTTTTTAACATTTTGTCATTAACAATTATTTGTATGTAGCAGCACTGTATCCCATGTCAATATCCTGATTGGTTGAAAAATTTTGAGCTAATCTTTTTCATATTTTCCTAAAGGCTCAATGTTTTGTACACTATGTTAGTTTTGTCAAACTGTAAATGAAATAATAATATTAAGTACTAATCAAAACTCTGTAAGTGTATTATCGCTACTTTATTTACCAATCTCTACTTTGCATATTGTTTCGCATATTGTTTACACGTCTTCACTATTCATGTTTGCCGATCTATTTACAAAGGGGAGGATACTTTATTGCGAAATCTTATTAGAAGTAAACGAATTGAATCTTTTTGCGGTGTAAGTCTGATAGCATTGAATTTATTGTATAAAATGTTTACGTGTCTGTGTTCTGTGATAGTCTTAAAGTTGCTTTTTTATCAGTTTACCCTATTATTGATAAAGAACGTAGTATAAGATAAATTAAATGGCAACAAAAAGTTTTTCCTGTTCATTGCAGGCAATGATAAGATGATTCCATTAAAAGACAATCAAGATGTGGCATCATTCCTTGTTACAAAGCACTCTTGGAAAGGCAAGTACAAAAGAGTGTTCTCAATTGGTACTCATGGAATCACAACATACAATCCGGATCGTTTGGAGGTGACAAACAAATGGGTGTATTCAGATGTAGTGACTATAGCTTCAGCAAAACATTCTAACTCAGCTGCCAATCATGATTTCACTCTTGTTATGAAGAAGGAGAAAAAAATTGATTCCATGAAGTTCTCCTCAGAACACAAATGTCTCATTTTAACTGAAGCTTTCAAATACAGGCATTTATTTGCTGAGAAGCCTAAAGATATTTATGTAAGTAACACAACCATGAAATATATGGGAATCGGTGAATAGTTAAAATTATAATCTCCATTATTACTAACTTTTTTTGGTTTAGAGATATCAAGCCTACAAGCATCACTGGAGTGGTACAAGACTGCCCATAGTGCTTGAAGTGGGACCATGTTCACTTGAACAATTGGATCCGTCCACCCACACTTTACTAGCTAGCTACCCCTATGCCGACATTCAAGGAATCCTGCCAGTGAGAGATATACCAGGAGGATTTGTGCTTGCCGTCGGTGGCTACAGCAGATTGCATCTCTTCTCAAACGCTATGGATCATCAAATAATAATAAATAAAATGCTGGAAATGGCCAGCCTCACAATGAGTATAAGCATTAAAGTCCTATCAGCAACAATAACATTGAATGATTATCATGATCAGAGATTTGGGAAATACAGGTAAAGGTTCTTAAATATTAGAATTTATTGCTTACTGCAAGTAAATATTGACATTTTATTCATATAAATATGTTTTTAAATGGTATTATGTAGTTATATGGAAACTCTAAAGTACTGTTATAAAGTTATTAATTGTCGTTTTATTATAAACTGTAAAGTAATTAATTATAATTTGTTTCATGTGTGACTCACATGGCCTTCAACAGAATTTATCTTGTGTATGCCTAGTTTCATGTTATGATATTAATGATTTGTTTTTAAACTACAGTATTACATCAATTGTGGAAAGCAATAATCAGTACATCATTAAAATTTGTAAATAACCCTATGTTACAATATGATAATTGATAAAAATTATGGTAAAATAATATTTTTTTAAATTATAGGGTTCCTTCTATGACAGTTAAAAAAAATCTTTTAATTTAATGTACAAATAATATTTAAATAAATTACAAAAATATTTATAAACAGCCAGGAATTTGTTGGAAATAAAATGTTACTTTAAATCCATATTGAATTTCACCCTTCTACTTTTAAGGGTTTCATTTGCTAATTATTGCATTAGTTTGCAGCTCGACCTAAATAAAACCGAAATGAACTGTATATATTCTGACAGTCCCATTAAAAAACTTTTAGTCATTTTATTACCACTTAAACAGAAAGAAATGAAAATATAATTATTATAAAAACAAATATTAATAGAAATGTGTTTTTCTTTAGCGGCGATCAACACCAGACAAGCTTGAGTGAGTTCCTAGTACATAAAGTGAATCCTGCAAGACATATGGAGCCAATGAGACGCACCCTTTGTCTGTCAGATACTTGTATATTGGAGAGAGACCCACAGACATATTCTGTTAGTGTATATACATAATATTAAATAGTAAATATTTGACATATTACAAGCAATATTGCAGTTATTTTTAAGGGGACAGTTTGTTATTTTGTTTATAAATATGCCTCTTTGTTGTATAGCTTCATCGATAGATTTCATAATTACCAATAAAACTCTATTAAAACTATGTACAAACATTAAAGAATTTCATCCTGCGAAATAATTATATTATGTAGCCTTGTAAAATGAACTTGGGAAATGTCTAAGAATATTTTTTGTATAGACCATGTAGGTGATAAATTAATGATGATTTAATAATTATTTTTCAGGTTGTGTGTCTTCGACCGCTGAGTGATGTTTTTGCGTTCGTACGATATCCTGATCATCCACAAAAATTTTCAATCGAATATTTGAATGGACAAACTCGCACCTACTTAGCGGGAGAGAGGTTTGTTAATTTGAGTACTGCTTGTTTTTGACGCGACGTCTTTAACTTGTATAAAGTAATTTAATTTATCTTCTTAATATTAGGTAAACCTTTGTGTTAAATGAGCCAAGTTGATAATCGGTTGGTAAATGGAAAAAAACGTATTTTTTTTTGTTTATAATTTTTCCACATCACATTTACATCATTATATCTAACTTAATTCATTGAAAGGCAAATACTCAAGGTGCAATTGTTTTTTAAATAGTTTGCATTCCCCGACAGGACGAATGTCATTACTTATATTATTATAATTTTAATTGATATCAAGAAAATTCAAATACATAGATACAATAGTATGAAAAATACCCAAACAAAATTTTTAGTTTTCTAAGTTTATAGGGATTCACTGTTAGCGTCTCTTGTGGATGGTGTTCGTTCTGCGGGTCAGCGCGACGTACATGTCCGTTCAGCACGAACTCCGCGAGGATACAGACTCGGACCATTACATCACCCCGTTGACGAGGAGACAGAGAGCAACCACCTTAGGTAAGAAGTTGTGGCAACACCATATGAAAGAAAGGGACAGACATACCCTTTATTAATAAGACTGTCTCTTTCAAGCATCTGACGTCATAGGTTAATGGGGAGGGTATCACCGAAGTGTGACGTTGTGTGACATGGGGCATGGGGGACAATAGTTTTATGACGTCACACTAGGCCGGGGGTAGGGGTTAAAAAGTCCTAAAATTCGTGTGACGTACTTTATGGATGGCCCCTAATATGTATTTTCATTTTTAACTTTTTTAGAATATTACTATTTTAACGTACTTAGTATGGATACTCTATATGTTATTTATTGTTTTATCATATTGTCTTGGCTATTTTATGTTTTCTATTTTAATTATAATATTAATTGAAAGTAATCTCGTATGTTTTTTAAACAGATTATTTCAAAACCCAGTGGGGATGTCCCGGGCAGAAGTCATAGAACGATTCAACGCGAACGTTGGATATAGCGGCCTCATTTACTCCGTCAGTCAAGATGTAAGATCGGTTTGATTACTTGAATTGCTTCTTCATCACGTTCTCATTTGTAAATTCGCGAGCAATAGAGATATTTTATACCTAAATTCACTTTATTACGAATCTTTTAGTAAAACTTCAACAGACAAATTAACCATGCTAATCATTTGTATTTAAGTCAAATAGATAAATATTTTGTTTCTATAATTATAATCTTGATTCAATATAGTGTAAAGCGGGGCTTGATATTAAATGAACCTCTTTGGGTTTGAATCAAGATCATCTTTGGCAGTATAATTCACCACCATTGCTTCATCATATAATTTGTAGGCATGTTAATTGTATTGTTGGCTTTGTAGGCTCGTCCCCTGTTGTGGCTGTTTCTAACGTGGGATCTTGTAAGTCCCTACAAATGTTTATTTATTCTCGTCCTCTGCTTCCCGTGAGCCTTCCTTTAGACAAGTATCTTATACAATTCTTAAATTGCATCCTAGTAAACAGTTTTGTTATATATTAAACAAGTTAATTATCAGTAGTATTAAGAATAGAATATTTTTATGGTTGCCTATTTATTTCTTATATGAAAGTCATACTTTAAAAAAAATTGCCTGCCAGCTTTTTTCCCATTGTTTATCTTGTTCCACTAGATAAAGAATTTATACATAGATATTTATTAAGATTGTATTAGATGAGAATTACCCAACATCCTGGGAATTAGGTGCTCAGTAGTCATTAAAGTCATTTCCATTATTCATCTGGTGGTTGTATTATTTGTACCAATATTTTATAAACTTAATACCTTAAAATATTTTCATGTTGCAATGAAATATGTGTCGATCATTACATCTCATATTCGCTTTATTGATTCAAGTAAACATTATTAAAAATAACCTGTGCTTAATATAATAAAGTGGGAAATTGAATGTTTTAGAAGTTTTATGATCAAACTATTTGGTTACAGAGACTGTTTGCTGAGAATAAAGAGAAGTTAATAACGGGTGCTCTGGCGGCCATGATGGGTGGTGGGGGGGCTCATCTGTCACTGTTAGAGCTTGAAGCACAGTTCCACGCGCTGAGAAGACTCTGTGCTAGCAAAGTAGGCTTCGCTGCATTCACTGCACTACCTGGGTTAGTTATATATCCAATGAAACTAATGTATTCGAATGCGTTATATTATTTAAATTATCTTCCCTTTCCATTTTTATAAATTATGTAAATTTTTTAATTATGTTTTTTAAATAACTAATAATGTTGTTAATCTAAAGTTTTACAGTCGATTTCGTTGATGTAGAAAGTCTGTTAATATACAGGGTGACTGGTGAGTTACTATCAATATTTAAGGACGTGGTAGTTGACGATCATATATGACAAAATAAAAAATAAATTAACATAAATATTAATAAACTTCTAAGTAAAGTTAACCAAAAGTTATGTAATTAATTACGGATCGCGTGGATACCCTAGCTGCGTTATCGACACAAAACAGTTATGTACGTAGGTATATGTAGTTATCGCGCGGTAGTTTACCTACATCCAAACGCCGCGCGCCGCCGCGTGTTAGACCTTAGATAAACAAAAATGATCCATTTCCCTTCATACTTTAATCCTGGCTTAGGACAGGCAAAAATACCAAGATATTTCTTTCGTTTAAGCAACCAATTTATTGACTAGGTAAATGGTGTGACCTTGACACCAAAAAAATATGAACTTTTTACCTATCTTGGTATTTCCGGCGTATTTAAAAATGGAATCATACTTATTTACAACAATTGTCAATCATTAAACTACCTATTTACCTACATAACTACACTAACCTTAACAAATGTTCAAAGTGAGCTCCTTCTCGTGTGATACACAGTTCGGCACGTTTACACATATTGTCTTTCACACGATTTATTACGAATGGGTCACTTTTAATAGTTTTGAAATCACTATTGATTTTTAATTTCAACTCCTCTCTGTTTACATACTCTGTAGCATACACAAGACGTTTCCTTGGGCATGTGTTGGAACACGGAACTGTCCGAAGTCTCGTAATCTTTGATTAGCGTTTAAGATGACGCTGGCCGTAGGTACTCGACGACTCGGGAACATCTCCCGGTACAAATTGATTGCGCCCCGCAAGCTTTCATTTGCACGCGCATACGCATGAACCATGTCCAAGTATTCTGCATTTGTGTATTGAAAAGCCATATTTAATTACTAATAAGTAATAAGGGGTCACACGCACACACGACAGATTATTATTAGGTATACGCGTAAGATCGATCGCTAGGCGCGCGCGCGGGAAGACGAACGTACGGACCTTACGGCGGCGCTCGCGCGACTAATAGCCGACTAATGGCCCGCTAGCCACGGGGCGGGGGTTGGGGAGTAGCGACACACTGGCGCCGGCAAGGCACGTGTCCAAACTTTATTTATTTATACGGAAATTTGGTCAAAAATTAAGTACCTATTTTTTTACATAATTCGAATGAGAATCATGTACCGAGTATGCTCCTTAAATATTGATAGTAACTCACCAGTCACCCTGTATAATAATTGGTTTATATTATTAGTTCTACAGCCATCTACTTAGTTCCCATTTAATAAATTTACCCCTATATGTCTGGAAGAGATAGTATGTAGGCGTAAATACCGTCTTTGTCCCACAATTTTATTAACAGCATATATAACTTAATATTGTTTTATTTTTACTTCAGTTTCCGTGAGTGGATGGGTAACGCGGCCGTGAGTGCTCTCCGTCGCGAGTGTGCCGCTTGTTCGCACGCCGCCCTGGACGCGCTGTGTGCTCTGCTGCAGCCCATGCACGCTGAGCCCGACCTCAGACAGGAGCAGCTTAACAAGGCTTCCATGCTGGCTTCACCCGCCTTCCTTGACGGACTACTGGCCATGTGGGCTACTCACGTTGTACGTACACACGATTTCTTGGCCGTGGACGCATGCGCATACAAAAAAGACACGCATGCACTCACGTATGCACATTATATATATAAACAAATAGAAACAAGTACTGTATTTATATATATGTATATATATAGCCATAGATAGAATACAGGCAGCAATATGACGTCACATTTTATTACTTTTAACGACATGTAGAGCTTTACGTAGACTTTTTACAATATCTATTTAAAATGTTGTTCCTAAAAGTAATATGAATGTTGTATTATTGTGTTACAGTCAGCAGGTACGGGCGCGTTGGTGGTGGCGGCCATGTTGGACTTCCTGACATTCGCTCTGTGTGTCCCGTACAGTGAGACGACGGACGGGAAACAGTTTGATCAGCTGTTGGAGATGGTGGCCAGTAGGGGGAGGATTATATTTAAACTGTTTGAGGTGATTCATACGTATATGTTTTGAATATGATCATCGAACCAAAGCTTGAATACCTCTTAAATAGTACACTACTCTTTAATCACTCCCCTTTGATTCGATGGTCTATGGGCGCCGTACTACCTCAATCAGCTAGGCCATGTGCTCCGTTGCCCCAATTAATTAAAAAAATAGTGTTAATCACGAGTTAATTATCATGAAAAAAGTATAATAATAAAATTCAATAAGTATATTTTGGAATTGATATTACATAATAGGTATGATGGAATTGGGCGAAAATAATAATGGATTACATTGATATACGGAGATGTATTAAGATGATATTACACAGTATAAAACAGTTGACACAAGGAATAATAAAACAATTAGATTAACATATTGCGGCATAGACAATTAAGACAATAATTTATATGTTTGGTTTATACTGGTTCCAACAAGGTACAGTTTCCTATGAGGTAAAATAATGTTTGTATATACAGCATCCATCCGCGGCTATAGTGAAAGGCGCAGGGTTGGTATCACGAGCTCTGGTAGAGGAGGGTGGGGGCGGGGTCGGGGCGAAGGTTCAGGCCCTCGCCCTCGCGGAGGCAGCCCTGCCGAGACACCTGCTGCATGCGTTATATACGACAGCACCCTCCCCGGCGCGCCTGCAGCGGCGACACCTCGCGAGACATCTGGTCGCATTATGGCTAGTTGATCACGCGCCTGCTAATGACCTCCTCAAGAGAATTATGGTATTTTATTCAACTATATATATTTATTTTATTTTTCATTTTTATTTTTTTGGAAACAAACAGTATTAAACAATCAATCGAAACAATACATTCAAAAATACACAAACCAAAAAGCTTCCCTCGATTACAATTTCATTTGAAGCAAAATAATAATATGATCAATGAGAGTTGAGAAAATTATAAAAAAAAATCATGAGATAAATAAATTAATAAAATAATAATAATAATAATAATAAAATAATAATATACAGGGTGACTGGTGAATTACTATCAATATTTAAGGAGAATACTCGGTACATGATTCTCATTCGAATTATGTAAAAAAAATAGGCACTTAATTTTTGACAAAATTTCCGTATAAATAAATAAAGTGTTGACACGTTCCAAATGTTCCAAGTGTGGACGCGTGCGGCGGCGTGCTGATACAACACCACGCCCCGCTCGAGTATGTGTGAGTGTAAGTGTATACCTAATCTGTAGGGTGTTCACACGATGCGTAATTAATTACATAACTTTTGGTTAACTTTACTTAGAAGTTTATTAATATTTATGTTATATTAATTTTTATTTTGTCATATATGATCGTCAAATATCACGTCCTCAAGTATCGATAGTAATTCACCAGTCACCCTGTATATGGTGAAATTGTCTATACACGCAGACCTGTGAGTTAGAACATGTTTCAGTCACTTTAACAAGTAAGCTTTGGCATTCTAATCTAAAGTTGTCGAATTTAAACACAAAATAATTTTTGATTGTGAAAAAATTACCTTAGAAGTCGTTAATTTAAAAAATATTTCAGCTTAAGGGGCCGTTCAAGTATTACGTAAGCAGATTTATTACAATTATTTACCCTCCCCCCATCTCCCTTGTCAGCAAAAGTCCCCCCTCCCCCATGCTTACGTAAACATTTTCAATTACTATATTTTTTTTAAATATAAGTCCAGAAAAAAAATATAATTGTATTTTTTATGGATCTACTCTGTGACGTTTAAAAATTAATAACTACCGATGATGTAATCGATACCTAGACTCCCCTACCCCCATGTCATCCAAAATATGCAAAGCAAAGACCCCCCGCCCCTCCATAGTGCTTACGTAATACTTGAACGGCCCCTAAACTATCTTCTGATAATCTGCTTCCAATGTAGATATGCGGAAATGCACTATCCTGACGATATATAATATCATATTTACATTTGTCTATATAAGACATATATATGTGACGTCAAATTAAACCAATATTTAACTCTAGTTAATATATGTTCCCAGCCATCTGGTTTGCTTTCGTTCCTGGAATCTCCGGACGCGCCGCCCGCGGTAGAGGACACTGGCGAAGAACGTGACAACCTACAACTAGCGCAGGCCGCGGGTAAGGCGAGGGACACTCACTGGGATGCTATTGAGAGACAGCTGAAATACGTCGAGAAACATATTGAGGTGAGGACTTAAGATTAACAATGGTTTATTTCAATGATTAGTATTTGTAAGGTTTGTATTTACATACATTTGGATTCACTTATAACGAGATCAGCAATAGACAAATTAAAGAAAATATGGGGTAATCGAAGTATCACCAAAGCCACAAAAATAAGACTTGTGAAGGCACTAATATTCCCTATTTTTCTTTATGGTGCTGAGACGTGGACCATAAGAGAATGTGAGAAGAAGAAAATAGACGCCCTCGAAATGTGGTGCTGGAGAAGAATGTTGAAAATTGTTTAATCGGTCATTAATTTTTTTTAATGCATTGTAGCACTACACGTCACTGGCATTGCAACACTGGGCACAAAAGGTCCGAGCGACCGACCAGCGTAAGGAGATCCGCGAGCGACCCGTCGTGTTGAGGAGGAGGCGGGAGAGGGTCAAGTCCACCGCTAACTGGCCTATGTTCTACTATCAGTTCCATCGAGACCACGCCCTACCTAACTTAATATGGAACCACACTGTAAGTTAATTGCGTTAAACGTGTGCAAACGAATTTATTATTTACTAGCGTTCCGCCCGCAGCTTCGCCCTCGTGGAGTTCGGTTATATCGCGTTTCCAAGAGAACCTTTCAAAAGTCTGAGATAAAAACTATACTATGTTCATTCTCAAGGTCAATTCTATCTCTGTACCAAATTTCATGAACATCAGTTCTGTGATTTAGTTGTGAAAGCGTAACAGACAGACAAAGTTACTTTCGCATTTATAATATTAGTAGGGATTTATTTTCCCTTTTCCCTAGTTTGATTCGAAGTAAAGTCTTATCAAAAACATGGTTAAAATAGCCTGTTTAATACATTTTGATATGATTTAGACTCGTGAGGAGCTTCGTAACGTGTTGGAAAACGAGTTACGTACTTTTTCCCTGGAGCGCGAGGCGGCGGGTAACGTCCCAACCGCTTGGAACCACGCAGAGCTCGAGCTGCACTATCAATGTCTACAAGCCGAGGTCAAGATCGGCGACTACTACCTGCGGATATTACTGGAGCAACGAGACTGTGACGACAGCCCTATACGGAAATCGTTAGTTTATGTTCTATCAGAAAATAACTTTTCACAAAAAACGTACATAACTTAATAGTACAATAAGTAGGAATAGTAATAATACAGTGAGCTTACATAAGTTAATAGTACAAAAAGTAGGAATAATAATAAGACAGCGATATTACTATGAAGGAACTAAAATATAATCCAGAAATAAAGATATTATTAGTTAAGATTGATTAAATTTATGATAAGAGATGTAATTCCTAGAATTAAAAATTGTCAGAATACAGTATCGCTTAGATTGAAAACTTGTATTATTCGTATTAAAAAGGTATCTCAATTTAGACCGTGATTCTCCGAAGATAATAATAATATTATCCCAATACTCCAACACTAAGAATTCTAAGCTAATTTTTTTCTTAGTATATGTACTGAAATATCAAATATTTTAAGGTACGAGTTCTTCAACGATCTATACCACCGGTTCCTGTCGACTCCTAAGGTGGAGATGAAGTGTATGTGTTTACAAGCGATGACTATCGTGTATGGACGATACTACGAAGACATCGGACCCTTCGCTGACACCAAATACATAGTGCAGATGTTGGACCGGGTAATATATACATATATGCTTGTGGCATGTTGTTATAATATGATTATCATTTATATTATTTATATCTGTTGTTACAGACATGCGATAGAATGGAGAGGGATAGACTTGTACAGTTTCTAGCTAAATTAATACTACACAAGAAAAATGTCAGCGAGATATTGGAGTGGAATGGAATTAGGTGAGTGGATCTTACATGTATGAAACGATTTCAAACTAAGTAATTATAAATACAATGTGTTCATCTTAATTCAGTATGTTTTAATTTGTTTTTGACGTTATTAAGTTAGTATTTTTAAAATACAAAGTCTGATAGAAGATATAGAAGAAAAACATTGTAGTTGCTTTAGTTGTTATATTCAAATTCTTTCACTATTAAAATATTTGTTAAACATTAATCTTAGACATGTTATGAGATAAATTGACTATTTCTATTACTATATATGTATACGCTTACAGGATCCTGGTAGATCTAATGACTCTGGCTCATCTCCACACGTCTCGAGCAACAGTTCCTGCTCAGAGTAACGTGTTGGAGGGACCCAACGTACAAGGAGATACAGACAGGGAGTGGTACTACAACTTGGAGAAAGGAGACCAACTCACACGAAAGGGACCTGTTAGCTTTACACAGGTACATGGAGATAGATTAGTTATACTATATGATGAGAGACGGTACAATAAGGCAGTTTGAAATTGGTATTAATGTTAATTGTTCTTCTTCTTCTACCTGGCAGTTTCCCAGCTTTACATGTTGTGAATAGTTTTGGCTATTTGTTTTTACGACCGGTCGACTGCCTGACATCAACCCTCTTTGGGAATCAACATTATTCAGTGATGTCTAAATATTCTTAGAAAGTCCATATGACTCGGAAAAATCACATCGGTACTTGCCAGGGTCATGATCGAACCCGCGCAAGTACCAAAGAGATTTTTACAATTTTAATTGTTATATGGATATAAGATATGTATGAATCAACAAGAGTCATAGTTCTTAGTACCGATAATGAAGTAAGGTAAAAAAAATCAATTTGGTTTGGTTGAAGTATGGGAGAAAAGAGATAGAGATCTATTATATAGACAGAATGATTTTATCAAAATCTTTCTTTTAGCTCAAGGATTTATACAAAAGTGGCGAAATAAACAACAAGACGAAGTGCTGGGCGAACAGTATGGAGGGCTGGCGGGCGTTAGGGGGCGTGCCTCAGCTGAGGTGGAGTCTGGGGGCGAGGGGGGCCGCCGCGCTCACGGAGACTGAACTAGCGGCCACTGTACTGGACCTACTGGTCACATGCACGAGATACTACCCTAGCAGGTTAGATGTGTAAATAGGACACATTATAATATACTAGAAGACCCGGCGAACTTTGTATCGCCCTATAATCAAGAAATATCTGTTACGTTTTTTAATAAATAAATTAAGGTTATACCTTAGCCTCAGAAACACGTGGTAGTTATGCTATTATTAAATAGTCGCTCATATATGACGTTTGTATTTTTAACATAGCCCCATCTATTGAATACTTAACTCAGTCAACAGATAATTGTAATAATCTATACTAATATTATAAAGCTGAAGAGTTTGTTTGTTTGTTTGAAAGCGCTAATCTCCGAAACTACTGGTTCGAATTGAATAATTCTTTTTGTGTTGGATAGTCCAGTTATCGAGGAAGGCTGTGGGCTATATAACATCACGGTACGACCAATAGGAGCAAAGATATAGTGGTAAATGTGTAAAAAACGGGAGAAATTATTTCATCTTTGAAGCCTTCCGTTGCGTGCGCCGTGAAAACGGTTCAAGATACACAAAAAATATGTATTAAAGAATAATAGCTCTTTTAATGATCTAAAAAACAGTCCGCGACAGTATATGTCTATCTTTTAAGATTAACTCACAAGAACCGTTTTTATGGTACCTAATTTCGTCGAAATAATTTGTTTAAGTTGTATCAAGATAATAATATTAATCTTTATTCAAATAAAGAAATAAATATGTTGTTGGTTAAGAGTACTTCATTGTGAATTTAAAAAAAACATAGGTTTTATCCTGAAAATTGTACGGGAACTCGACTATTCCGAAAACCCCGCAAGCACGGGAACTATGTGGGAAGAACCAAAAATCTGCCGGAAGTCACTATTCCACGCGGACGTAGTCGCGGCAAAAGCTAGTCTTCTATATATATAAAAATGGATTGCTGTTCCTTAGTCTCGCTAAAACTCGAGAACGGCTGAACGGATTTATCTTATCTTAGTCTTGAAATGTTCGTGGAGGTTCAGGTAAGGTATAAAAGCTAAAAAAAAAATTAATTTCCGGGAAAACCCTAAAAACGGCGCTTTTCTATTTCCCATACAAACGGGTTTTTTGACATTAGATTTGCCAATTAACTAATATGTCAATCATTCTGTCGCACTTTAAAACACGGAGATTTATGGCTTAAAGGTAAACTCCAAAAAAATAATTAATAAATAATTTATTTCTTGATTGAGGCAGTACGAAGTCTGCCGGGTCAGCTAGTTACAAATAATTTTCTTTAATAGACAAATAATTTGCAATAAAATAATATTGTGACTATAAATTGAGATGTAAGCTATCCTATCTTTCAAGTTGGATCAAAGTGCACACGGAATGCAAATCAAATTTAAAATTGGTTAAATAGTTTAGGAGTCCATCGCGGACAAACACGTGACACGAAATTAGAATTTAAAAGATGTATAACTAGAAAAGTTAGAGTTCTGATATTAAGAGACAAATTAAATAATTTATTTGATTTATAATGTATATATTATGTTGATGATCGTAAGCAAGCATTCATTTAAACAGTGCCGAAAATTTTACTTCTAACAAGAATTATAAATGTTCAATTATTCACATTGATTTTGAAACAGTTTTTGTCGTACTCCTCACTTGATAGTCACTGTACATTTTTTAAATTTATAACACCAGTATAGTCTTATACATAAAAATGTACATATACAAATATTTCGTATATTCGTGAGGATTATAATTATATTGATATTGTAGGGATGAAGAAGACGCAATAATACGTCCGTTGCCAAGAGTTAAACGACTTCTCTCCGAACCAGCGTGCTTGGCTCACGTGGTGCAATTATTACTGACGTTCGATCCTATACTAGTAGAAAAGGTAAATAACATATATAAATTCCATTACAGCGTATAAATAATGATATAAATAATAAAAAAGATGAAAAATATTTTTTTCAGGTGGCAACTTTATTATATGAAATAATGCAAGACAACCCTGAAATCTCTAAGTTGTATTTGACGGGTGTTTTTTACTTTATGTTGCTGTACACGGGCTCGAACCTGTTACCTATAGCGAGGTTTTTGAGATTGACGCACATGAAACAAGCGTTCAGGGCCGACCAGGTCAGTGTTATCATAATAAGAAGTTTTATCATAATTATCATCATGATATAATTTTATATAGACTTAAGTCATGTAGAATAGTAATGTACAGTTTTAATATTTTCCAGACAAGCTCAGATATAATGCAGCGATCGATATTAGGTCAGTTGTTACCGGAAGCGATGGTCTGTTATTTGGAAAATCACGGTGCTGAAAAATTTGCTCAAATATTCCTCGGTGAATGGGATACACCGGAAGCTATATGGAATGCTGAAATGAGGTAACAAATTATATACAATATTACTTTTTTTTTATCATGATAAGTTAAAATTAGTTTAAACAATATCCTCTTGGTGGCAGCCTCATCTATATCTATATATATCAATAAAGATATTATGTTGAGGGTATAATTTTTATTCAAGTCACAAAACATAAACGAATTTAAGGTTTTTTATATAAGTACTAGTTACGTACCGCGGATTTCCAGGATGTAAAGTAGCCTATGTGTTATTCGTGGACGTCAGCTTCCTGTATACAAAATTTTATCAAAATCGGTTAACCGTTTGAGCGTGAAGAAGTAACAAACATACACACACACAAACTTTCGCAATTATAATATTAGTAGTATAATGCTAGTAATCCCTGATGCTAATGTTCCAGACGCATGCTGATAATGAAGGTATCAGCTCACATCGGTGAGTTCACGCCCCGCCTGCGCGCGCACGTGGCCGCCCGCTACCCCTACCTCGCCATACCCGCCGTGCGCTACCCGCAGCTACAGAGAGAACTGTTCTGTAACATGTTCTACCTCCGACACCTGTGTGACACGCAGAGATTCCCCGACTGGCCGATACCTGACCCGGTAAACGATCTATCATTTTTGACAATTAAAATTAGGTCCATGAGTAGATAAAATTTTGTTGTTACGGCGCTTTAATAATGTATCTGTGAGTATCAGGATGACCCGTTTCAATTTAGTGTTAATTAAAAAGACGCGATATCAATCTATACTCCAGCCAAATTCGATGTTGAATGTTTAATAACAAAGCGTTGCTTAGCAACCAACGTCAGGCAGATGCTCAAAACATTTTTAGAAATATGGACAACAATTATTTTTGATGTCAATGAAAATAAAAATTGATGATTAATAATAAAATATTTAAGACAAAAGACTAATTCTTGGTTATAATTATAATACTTATGATCATCTGCAGGAATGTAGATCTCAAAAACAATACCTCCAATTTTAAAATGATATCAGAAATTACCTCGTAGTTATATAATTCGCTTTATTAACTTTATACATTGCCTCCCAAACGAAAGGACTCATTTAAATTAAATTTTGTGTATATTTAAATTTCACTACAGATACAATCCCGTTCGGACCAGGTTATTCAGTATTACTCATCGTAATCTAATATGTATAAACAATATTTGATAACAACAAACTTATAACAATAACGAATTAAAATAACGATAGCAAAATCTAACAATTAATAACAGAACGGAAGAACACCAGAATCAAACACTCGCGAATAGTAAGCAAAGTTAACAACAAAACAAACATTATGGCGGGCGTATAATGCAACAAAATTACGTAGTTACGTTTCGTTTAACTTTATTTGCGTTAAAATAATATTTTTTTAAATTAATTAAAATATAAAAGCATTAAAATTTATTAAATTTTATATTGGAAGAAATTGTAAATATACGAGGGGAGGTCAAAAAGTTCGCGGAATGGAGGGGATGGAGGGGGTTGATTTACTCGTCCAGGTAGTAACTTGTTCAACACCTCATTAATAGTATATGCACCAAGTTTGAACCAAATCGGGTCATTAACTTTTGAGTTGTTGACCTGCAAACAAGTGAATCGGGAAGAAGTCAGTGAGTATGGAGAAAATTGAACACCGCGCCGTTATTAAGTTCCTCACCAAGCAAGGAAAATCCGCTCAGATAATTTTTGAAGAGCTGTTATCAGTTTACGCGGACTCTGCCCCTGGTAAAACCATGGTTTACAAGTGGCATGGACTTTTTAAACAAGGAAGAGAGTCCATTGAAGATGACCCCCGCTCCGGACGACCGATTGAGGCCACCACACCGAAAATCGTCGCAAAAGTAGAAAAACTTATATTGGAAGATGCCCGGTTGAAGAAGAAACGGCTTGGAGCAATGGTTAGAGTATCTGAAAAAAGCATTTTAAATATCCTACATCATCATCTTGGGATGACTAAGGTCAGTGCAAGATGGGTTCCAAGAATGCTCACGCCACTTCAAAAGAGCGAGCGTGTCGAGTGTTCTCGCCAGTTTTTGAAGCTCTGTGGAGAGAATAAGGACGAAGTTATGGACCGGATTTTTACTGGTGACGAAACCTAGGTTCACCACTATGAACCTGAATCGAAGCAAGAATCGATACAGTGGCATAAAAAAGGCACAGCTCCTCCAAAAAAGTTTAAAGTGTCACAATCGGCCGGAAAGATCATGGCGACTGTCTTTTGGAATACAGAAGGTATTTTGCTGATCAATTATAAAGATCGTGGTGTGACTATAACGGGACAGTACTACGCTTCTTTATTAGATAGATTGAAAGAAGCTATCAAGGAAAAAAGAAGAGGAAAGCTGTCAAAAGGTGTGCTCCTTTTGCACGACAACGCAACAGTCCACACGTGCCATGTTGCGACGGCTGCCATTCACCGATGCGGACTCGAAAAACTACACCACCCACCTTACAGTCTAGACTTAGTCCCCAGCGACTATTATTTGTTTTCAAAAATGAAAAAAAAGCTGCGGTGAAAAATATTTGAGAAGTCAAGTCCGCAATTTCGGCCTATTTTGATAGCCAAGATAAATAATTTTTTTCGAATGTATTAATAAATTATTTGTGAGATCCGAAAAATGTATTAAGGTTAAGGGAGACTATATTGAAAAGGAAAAATAGTTTCGGTGTTAAATTTCAACCCCCTTCCCGCTCATTCCGCGAACTTATTGACCTCCCCTCGTATGTGGTTGAAACAGTGATTATAGTGCTATATTTATGCTAGCCAAAACAAGATGTCTTTTTTTAAGCTGTGTGTAATGAAACGTTGTGTGTATGTTAACATTCTTAACCTATTGTGGTTATACTACCATTAATCATTATAATACGACTAAAAATATACACCACCAATTACGAAGAGCCTATATCTCTATTATATACCTTCCTTAATTTGCCAATTTCTTAAAAAACACTCCAAATGTTACGAACCTGTGATTTCTCTACGCCAGTTTTAAAATATAGGGTTGTTAGTCTTGTAGTAATATTATAGTGGTAATTAAAGATTTTTAAACTATTATTTTAAGCTAATTTTTATATAAATTATGTATTGACCGGCTAAATATTTTTTTTTGGATTCTATATAAATTAAAACTTTTGTGTTTAAACAGGAAATTATGTTATAATGAATATAGTTGTAATTATAATAATTATTATTTTTTATTAAGAGTGTATCAACCCTAATTATGATGACTCATGGTTGGTTTACTAAAATTCCAGATCGAATGTGGCTGGAGTATAGTCGTCAGTGATTTTAAAATTTTTATATTTGTGTCAGGTGGGTCTTCTGAAGGACGTGCTTGAGGCGTGGAAGCGCGAAGTGGACAAGAAGCCGTCGTCCATGACCGCGGAGCAGGCGTACGTGGCGCTGGGACTCGAACCCACTACACACGACGAGGCGGCCGTCAGGAAGGCTTACTACAGACTCGCGCAACAGTTCCATCCAGACAAGAACCCGGAAGGACGGGTCCGTTGACGTTATACATATCTTCTTCTACCTGGCAATTTGCCAGCTTTAACCAGGGTCTGCCTTAGATGTGTGAATAGTTTTGGCAAATTGTTTTTACGACCGACCACCTGCCTGACATCAACCTTCTTTGGGAATGCATTAATCGGTGATGTCTAATACTCTTAGAAACTATATATGACTCGGAAAAATCACATTGGTACTTGCCCGGGTCAGGACCGAACCCGCGTCCTCGTGCATGAGGGGCGGGTCTTTTAACCACTAGGCAACCGCTGTTATATACACTTAAGAATCTATTTAATCACTTTGTAACCAGTCACATATTATCAATAATCATTATCCTCTCCAAGACGACATTAACAATAAACAAAGCTGATATCTGTATAATTTTGTTCATAGCCATTCATTCTTTCTTGTATTTGTAGGACCGTTTCGAAGCAGTTAATCAAGCGTATGAGTTCCTGTGCAGTCGTAACGTATGGACGGGCGATGGCCCGAACACTAATAATATTCTACTCATTCTTCGTACACAGACCATACTATTTCAGAGATATTCTGAAGGTTAGTCAATTATATTATGTATAACGACAGACATACAAAAAATATATTTTAAATCAGATCTAAGACTTTCGTGAGTGTTCATTTAATTGAAACTAACATTTTCTGATTACTACTCGTATTTTATTATACTTAAATACTACATATACTCCCGACGTTTAGGTTACTTTACAGCGACCGTGATCGCTTACAGTCGAGACATTATTTTCATTTAAATATATATACTATGTTTATTTTCAGTACTAAAGATAATAACTTCTTTCCAGTGCTCTCTCCGTACAAGTACGCGGGATACTCCGCTCTGCTTCGTACAGCGCGGCTGGAGGCGGCCGCTGACACATTGTTCTCGAGCGAGGCCGCGCTGCTGCCAGCCGCCTGTGAACTTGCGCACGCTACACTGGCCTGCTCCGCGTTGAACGCACAGGAACTGTGTCGAGAAAGAGGCCTCGAGGTATATGAGAAAGGATACTAACTAAGATATACACGTCTCTAAAACACAACGACGACGAATCTAAAAAACCTTTTAAGAAATTATTATTTATTTACAACAAACACACTTACAACATACATATTGAATATTTACAGATAAAGTGACTATATTAAAACATCAGATATGTACGTCAATGACAAGTGTACATAACATTTACATATATCACATGGTACTATAGCATATAATGAGATCTGTAGCATATAGTTATCTTTTTATACTTGTTTGTAAGTTGTTTCCAGTTGTAAAGTAAGTATATCTATGTATTATCTCCCAGGTTCTCCAAGAGGCTCTATCCCGCTGCGTGTCGGTGCTAGGAGGTAGCGCGGCGGGTAGTACGGCTGCGGCGGTGTGCACTCATTGCGCCAGATGCTTCGCTGTTGCTGCTCGCTTCCCCGTCTGTAGGGACGCTGCGGCAGAACTACCCACGCTATGTAGTGATATTGTACCACTACTGAAACGACCGGTTAGTACTTACCTTCATAATAGATAAAAATCATGTCAAGTTTAAAAGATCGTTTTTCCTCCCCCTAACCATAATAAGTAACCATTCATCTAAATGAAACTAATATTTTCGGATTTTACTTCGCTTTTTTATTTTTGATTACAAACTACATACTCTCGACGTTTCGGATACTTTTCAACAACCGTGATCATTAAGACGAGATGTGAGTGTCTGTCAGTTGGTCTGGTTATTTTATCATCGTGTATTCTAGGAGTTGGGTGAAACAGCATGTGCGGGTGCTGAGGCGACAGCAGCGTTAGCAGCGGACCCGCGGTGCCGCGACCGTCTAGCCCGAGCACATGTTATACACGCCCTCCTGCCGCCCGCTCTGCAGTACGACTACACGCTCAAAGAATCCGGAGTAGACACTGAGGGAGATAATAAACAGGTAACAATACACATACGATTGGCTCGAGAGCTAGAAACTAATCATATGTGCCATTGAACTAAAATTAATGAGATTCGGTTGAAGTCTTTTTCAAAGACTGATGTGAAACAACGTCCTCACTTGTCAGCCGTTTTAATTTTGTTTCATTACTAAGATCGTAATAATAACAATTAAACTACTAAAAGTATATTTAATGTAATATACTCATTGTAAATAATATCTGCGGAATAGTCCATATACCTCTTACAAAAGAGTTCTACTTTATTCTATTTATTTATTATTTAATACGTTGCTTTGTTATAATGCATGCTGAGTTAGCTTTTAATCGTAGTGTACTTTGTAAGATCATTGTACATTATGTTGGCTTCCTAATAAAATAAATAAATATATATAATCTATGTACTAGTTCAATAACAATTGGATTAAAATTTTGTGATAGAAGTTTTTCGTAATTGTAAATTATATGTAATCATCTGTTATAGGAAGTGGCGAATCGTCTAGCGGTTCAATGCATTGCAGCGCTTTCATCGCTTTACGGTCCGCACGAGGAGGCGGGCGAGGAGGACGAGCGGGTGCAGGCCGCGCTCAGGATGCTACTCACACCGTACATATGTGATAAACTAGCGACTGCTGACCCGCACGAGGTACGATAATGATACGGTGGGATATAAGCCTTAAGCATTTTTGTAGTAACTACATTTGGTGGTAGCGAAGAATGCAATAAAAATTCGTTTTACTTATAAAATATATTCAATTTAACAATTATAGACTTAAATCTAACTACTTGCTAAAACGTGTCTCCAAATCAACGATTGACTCTAGACTGAATATATGTTAAATCTCATTTTGAATTCCCACTGATGGTGCAAGGCGTGTTGTATTCACTTCACTTTCCCATTCCCACCGGTGGTTCAGAGTCAGCATTCCATACTTTATAATCATATACCGTGAACTTAATATCTGGTTTAGCTTACGTAACATAGTCGTAAATATTATAATCATTGCTTTTATCACAATTTCAGTTACTTAAAATGTTGACGTCCAACTGGCGTACGCCGTACCTAGTATGGGATAACAGTACTCGCGCGGAGCTTCGTGAGGCGCTCCGGTCTCGGCCGGCCGAGGACGCGCTGCTGCAGGACGTGTGTTACAGCGCGCACGAGGGACTGCTGACTGTGGGCGGGGTCTACCTCGACATATACAACGAACAACCAGACTTCCTTATTGAGGTTATTCATTATCTTCTATCTACCTGACAATTTCCCAGCTTTAGCCAGCGTCTACCCTACATGTTGTGAATAGTTTTGACTGTTTTTACGACCGGCCGTCTGCCTGACATCAACGCTCTTTGGGAATGCATTAATGAGTGATGTCTAAATACTCTTAGGAAGTACATATCACTCGGAAAATCATATTGTTACTTGCCAGGATCGAACCCGCGCCCTCATGCATGAGAGGCGGACCTTTAAACCACTAGGCCACCACTGACTTATTCATTATACTCATATAATTACATCAACTTCTAAGCCCGATGTACGAGTACTTGCTAAGATTTAGAACTGAACTCACCATATAAATTATTTCTCACATTTTTCAGAATCCACAACAGTTTATTTTGGATCTCCTCCACTTCATCAAGGAACAAACTACAGTCGCCAAATCACAGGAGACCGAAGAACGGTTAACACTAGCATTGAATGCTCTCGCCAATTGTGTTATAAAGAATCCCGGTGAGACATCTAGGATTTAGTTTCCGATACCAAAAAATTCTTATTAAAAAAAAACAAAAGGCTTTCTATACAGTCATACTAATGATTTGCGGTGTTATTTTTGCATCCTTTCCATCCTAAAAACAGTTATAATAAAAATTGGTGGTTGACAGCGATTTATGTAAACACTATACAAGGCGTCTGATAGCGAGTTACTCCTGATTTAAGTATGAGTATTCGTAATGTTCCCAGGTGTAGAGATCCAGTGTATCGGTCACTTCCCGGTGATCTTCAGCCTGATGAGTGCGGGCGTGCCCCGTGTGGTGGCGGGCGCGCTGCGCGTGTCGCTCGCGTGTTCCCGGAGCCGCGCGTGTGTGGAGGAGGTGTCGGCGGGCGGGCTACTGGGACACGTGCTGCCTCTACTGGCGCCGCCCGCTCACAGAGAGGCGTTAGACACGCTCTCTGCTCTGCTCACATGCACGCCGCTCGTGAGAGAGGCGCTGGCTAAAGGTGATATACATATAAGAATATTAATAATTATATATTTTTTTTCTCTAGTTGTTATTATGTTTTCCAACTGATTGGGTGTTTTTTATTGCTTAGATTTTAACTTTCTGGCTTCGATTAAGTTTTAGATATATTTTTTAATTTCGGTCACAATAAATTATGTTAAATTGATTAGATTATATGGTATGCCTCACGATACCATAATTGGCGTGGACTTATGAAAAATCTGCGTTCTGAAATTTCAATATATTGATTTATAATTCTACGTTAATACATAGGAATTGAATTGCTTCGCAGGAGCTGTGATATATCTGTTAGATCTGTTCTGTAACTGTAAGACGCCGGAGACACGAGAGATGGCTGTGGAGCTACTGTCGCGGATGATGGCTGATAAGTTACACGGACCCAAGGTACAAAAACAATAACTCTTAGCTGGATTTGCTATTTTATTCGCACATTATGTGCTGTATCTAGTATCACAAGTGTGAACAAAACATGTTGTATATTCCAGGTGAGATTAACTATCTGCCGCTACGTGCCGGGCGTGTTTGCGGACGCAATGCGTGAGGCGGGGGGTGCGGGGGGCGCGGGGCCGGCCGCCGCCATGCACGCCTTCGACAACAACCACGAACATCCGGAACTGGTGTGGGCCGACGAGCTGCGGCAGAGAGTGAGGGCCGGCCTCGTGCAGCGGAGAGACAGGTAACATGGAAACACTCACATATATTATGTTTATTGTTACATATATGATCCACATATGCGGGTCACGGAATTTAAAGACCGGAAAATAACGTTTGTTCTGTATGTTTAAGTATATATGTTTTCGACCTAATAGTAATTATATCACAATAAAGTTATTCTAGTACTCTTAGAAACACTTTTAACCTCTATTTGTTATATATATATATACTAGAAGAGCCGGCGAACTTCGTATCGCCCTATAATCAAAAAATATCTATTACGTTTTTCTAAAAAATAAATTTTGGTTATACCTTAGCCTCAGAAACAAATGGTGGTTATGCTATTATTAAATAGTCACTCATATATGACGTTTGTATTTTAACATAGCGCCGTTTATTGAATACTTACTTAACCCAGTCAACAGAATATAATAATGACAAATATTTTTTTTTAATAGACAAATTATTTGCAAGGAAATAATATTTTGACTATAAATTGAGATGCAAGCTATTCTATCTTTCAAGTTGGATCAAAATGCTTACGGAACTCAAATCAAATATAAAATCAGTTTAGTAGTTTAGGAGTCCATCGCGGACAAACACGTGACACGAAATTTTTATATATATAAAGATATCTTCTTCTACTTGGCAATTTCCCAGCTAAAGCCAGGGTCTGCCTTACATGTTGTCTATAGTTTTGGCTATTTGTTTTTACGACCGGCCGCCTGCCTGACATCAACCCTCTTTTGGGAATCAACATTAATAATAAAGATATATATAATAAAGATATATATAATTTAAATTGTCAATTATATTTCGTTATCCACAGGCTATATACTAGTCAAATCCGTGATCCGTCGATTCAATACGAGGAACGTGAGAAGGATACGGGCGAAGTATCATGGGCGCCGCCCGGGGAGGTGGTAGTGGGGGGCGTGTACCTCAAGCTGTTCCTACAGAACCCCACCTGGAGTCTGCGGAACCCCAAGAGCTTCCTACAGGACCTCGTCTCCGAAACACTCTCCGCACTCAACAAGGATTCATCCGAGGTGTGTTCCTTATATAGATGGCAAAACTGACTGACCAAACCGGCGTCTTAAACGTAGGCGTAATGATGTATTTGCTATTATACAGTCAATCTGGGTAACTTTGACAGATAAGGGTGTTATTTTATACTAGGTACATTTAAAAAAATTAAACCTATCACTCGGATGTTTTTATTTTATCAGTGCTCTCGTATTACTTTCCATCTCTAGACATTCACAGAAAATTTATAAAACATACCAATAAAGTATAAAACCTCAATTTCGTGTGTCAGTCAGTCAGTAAGTCAAATGGGTAACTTTGACACACAGAGCCATGCATAAAAAATTAGCAGTAAGTATTATTTTTATCAATTTGGTTAACATTAGTGTATATATTTATTAGATAATGGATGCATGTGACGCAATAAAAGGACCATTTTGGAGTTTTGTCTTATATTAAAATAAAAATTTGAAGAATCAGTCTACAACATGTGGCAATGTTTCACACATTTTTCAACACTATCAGAAATGCTTTAAAAACTCTTTTAATATATTTTTTTAATTTAAATTAAAAAGGAAACAAGCAAAAGTAATTAAAACAAACAAACATTTTGTAAAATCTTGAGTATAAGTTGCCTATTCTCCCCACTCCATATAGAGCAAATCGTCATTAATTGTGTAGAGACCTGGCTGTTTTATACTGATTTTACTTTTATCTACTGTAGAACAACATTATATTTAATTTTAATAATTTCTCTTTTATCTGGCCATTTCCAACCACCTTGTATTGTTTACTAATGACAACAAGTGTATAATACGGGAATGTGAAACTTGTCACTTTTCCTGGAAACAGTGTGCTTTCTGTTTTAAATATAACTGTTGTTCCAGGTGCAAACTCAACATAATTTGGAAGTGCATGTTGCAAAACTCCATCTTTAACAATAAATTCTTCAATCACCTCTTCTTCCACCATTTCAGTTTCCATTTAGTTTTTCATTTCACATTCCATCCAGTTACTGTTTAAAATACATATCTTCATATTTATGCATGAAATATGAAAATAAGACGTAATTATATGCAAATAATTCATGAAAATGCGATAGTACAATCACAAATGGCTCTGTATAATTTCTCACTTACTTTATCAGCAACCGAAATCACAAAATATTCAAAAAGATATTCACCCTAAGGCAAACTTAAATTCGCGCGCTATATTCAGAAAAAAAGTTTCGACGTTTTCTTACTTTGAAAACTTTCTTTTTTTAAGGTGCGTTTACGAAACTTCTTTAAAATCGCAAATCTAAAATAAACATATGTATATGAATAGTGTTGGTTTCATGCGAAAAAATAATCGAAACGAGTTCATGCTCCCGCTGTAACCCGATGAATCAAAGTTACCCTGATTGACTGTATTAAATGTTAAATTACCTCGCGTTATATACCTACGTGTTTAACATATAAATACATCACATCTTCCTCATCGTAATGGTCATATTAATACACTATATATCCGTGTTCGTCCCAGGGTGGTCGCGGCGACACGTGTGCGCGTGCGCTGACGGCCCTGCTCCACGCGCGTCCGTCCCTGTGTGAGGTGTGTGCGTGTCTGGGCGAGCTGCCGCGTCTGGCCCGCCTGCTGCCCGCCTGTCCGCGACATGCGGTGCCCGTACTGGCTGCTCTCGCTAACACACAGGTGATTAACAACATATACTATATAAAACAAAAATATTGAACCCAATACCCATTATATGACTAAAATAATATGCTAAGAAGTTTTAGAGTATGTACTTAAATTGAATCGATTACAAATTTCATGTAATCGTGGAAACTGCTGATATTATTGCATTAAAGGAATGTAAACTCTAGCTCTGGCTTATCATTCATCTCAGTCAACGACTCACGATACATCATTTTTTTAAATGAATTGTACCATAATATACCAGACAATACAATTTATTAATATACATGTATAATTAACATAATTATTTTATTGTGATTTGTTAATAATGTATATTTTTCAGTCGTGTGTGGTGGCGTTGGTTCAAACGGACGCGATGGTGGGTCTCAAGACGGCCGTGAAGACGTGTCGCGAGGTGGTGGGCCCCGCCTGTGACGCTCTCACTGCTATATTCAGTTCTCCAGTCAACACGGACAAACTAGTACTACAGGTTGATATAAGAAACCTTACTGACATATATATTTTCTAAAGAAAGTAATATTTACGGCTTATTTTCTTATTTTTAAAACTGCACATTCAACTTTTGCTTGGCAACAACCGAAATGTTAGGAGTATGTAGTTTTCAAAATAATAAAATAACGCGTAGTACATCCGAAAATATTACTTTAATTTAAATGAATACACTCGAAAGTTATAATTCTCATTATCATTTAATCATTACTTTCTGATACAAAATGAAATTATTTACTAAGTAAGATCTAGACGCAATTATTACTATGTAAGCAATATTTATTCCTGTTGTGAATCATCATACCGACTAGTGACATACAAGCTTTATTATTTTTGATATCCAAGAAATGTGTTCTAAACATACTGAACAATTTATTTATTTCATTGTATTTATATCTTAATATATAACATTCGTATGTTATACAGGCTCTTGAATGTGACTTGATCACTGAGTTACTATCAATGCTGGAGGGTCGCGGGTCGGGTGTTGGTTTGGAAGGAGGATGCGTGGCGCGCGTCGTAGGAGCATTGAAAGCCATGAGCCGCGCCGGACTACATTCGGAAAAAGTGAAGAATATACTAGCGAGGTCACCCGTCTGGGAACACTACGCCGCGCAGAGACACGACCTGTTTATATCGGCGCCGCAACATCACTCTATAACTGGTATACTATATATAAATACTTAAATTTTCCATGCAAATAGAGCTTACGTCCGTACGGGCTTAAACTGTGCTTTTGGAATATCGTTGCAAATCTCTTATAAAATTGATCTACCTTGCTGATAGTCGCTAAACGTTATGTTTACAGATAATATTATAAATTGTACAGCATTTGTTTCATATCATAACAGAAGTTTTTAACCTTCATTAAATTTGAGTTGATCAGTAAAAATAATGAGACAGTCCTTCACAATTGTAATTATTTATTTATTAACACCAACAAGACATACATTAATAAAAACGAAAAAATACAATATTGAAAAAGTAATCATAAAATCAAAATGTTGTCTTAATTATAGGTGTTACATACATTTCAAAGAAAAATAGACACGTAACATGCAGATAAAGTTATATTACATTAATTGCACAAAGGAAATTTAGAAAAAAAATGCTAATAATAATCATCAACATAAACATTAAAATAATAATGAATAGTGTATTATAAAAAATAAATTTAAAATATTTATAATTTTGTACTTTAATATCATTAATAAATAAAATAAAGAATTGCAATATCTCTCATATTAGATTATAATTATAAATCTCTTATATTAGATTACTTTACATTATAATTATACAGGGTGACTGGTGAATTACTATCAATATTTAAGGAGCATACTCGGTACATGATTCTCATTCGAATTATGTAAAAAAAATGGGCACTTAATTTTTGACCAAATTTCCGTATAAATAAATTAAGTGTGGACACGTTCCAAGTGTTCCAACTGTGGACGCGTACGGCGGCGTGCTGAAACAACACTACGCCGCCGCACGCGTGTTTGTGTGTGTGTATACCTAATCTGTAGGGTGGTCATACGATGCGTAATTAATTACATAACTTTTCGTTAACTTTACTTAGAAGTTTATTAATAATTATGTTATATTAATTTTTATTTTGTCATATGTGATCGTCAAATATCACGTCCTCAAGTATCGATAGTAATTCACCAGTCACCCTGTATAACGAATAAAAACTTAATAAATTACATTTAAATTTGACAAGGCTATTACAAAATATGTCAATATCCATCTTTCTATCTAATTGCTTTTTATCAATAGTGGATGAAGTAGTACAATTATTTTTTGTTAATTTATAGATAGCGTTGTAACTTAACATTAATCTATTAACCGGAGAGTAGCGTCCTTGACGAGAGCGTGTAGGTTTTTCTACAAATGGAGTATAAGACGACGGTCTTAATGTTCTCACCGGTGCACGAATTGTTAAACGAATTGTTAAAATAACTGAATTTTATTTATAAGTCAAGCATTTTACTTAATGGTAGTGAAGGTGTTCAAGGTGACTGATCTTTAACAATCGTGAATAAATAACTTGTTTTATTCTATAATACTAATAATCATGTTGTATATCCAGCAGGTGCCCCACAGACCGCGGGGTACTTGGCCGCCCCGCCCTCCGTGCCGCCCGCGCACCCCCCGCCGCTAGACTGACCGACAGACAAGGAGATACACGCTCACACACACACACACATGCTCACAAACACACACTCATTCATACACTACCTCGCTAATAACATCTCCTGATGTGGGGACAAGTGTAGGGCAGAAATACTACACATGCTTCTTGTTTTCATTTAAAGTATGTTAAAAATATGTTATATTTTTAACTAAAAGGCTTACGATATAGCAACAGTCTCAGCTTTCGTCTGTAGAAGCCTTTATTGTTACGAGACAGTTCAACAAATGGATCGCACCGCACCAGACTGTTAGATAGATAAATTGTTTATTGTTCGTTATACATGTTCAATATGATGGAATCTCTATTCTCTATTGTCCAAATTGTGTTCACATAAAATTATTAACAGAATATTTGAAAATTTTAAACTTTGAAAACAATGGAAGTATCATATCACAGAAATAGAATTTTATTTATAATAAGCTTTCGTTGTACATAATACAGAAACAAAGAAATATTTATCTGATTGTGTTATACTTATTTGTATTGTTATTCGTGTATCGCAAAAAACTCTCAAAGATACACACTACATTTTGCTCTAAATACAAGAGTGCTGTCAATTGACAAAATTTTCCAAATATTATTCAGAAGATAAATTTTAATTGATTAGATTTACCTATGTACTTATGAGTAAATAATATATATAATATATAACACCAAGATGTCTCTCTATATAAATTTAAATATGATCTCATTCGTATAAGATAGACGAATGTTTAATGTTGATCACTATGAGGCTGGCTTATATACAAAATTTAATATATAAACATTAAAAATATAAATTATTTAATAGAGTTCTCTTCAAAAAATGATATATATAAACCAATAATTAATTTTTGTCTATCACATGTCAAGATTAAATAATTTCCATTATATATCTTGCCATATATATTTACAATTCCACTATCATATTGTTTGTGTATTTTTTTGCCTAAATACCGCATTATTTGTATTATTCATACTTTTAAAACGTTATTATACCGCACTGTATTAAAATGTGAGATATAGGAATCTGAAATATAATGCTCTTATATTCGAGCTTTATGTTGTTATTATGAATTAGTGTGATATTAATATATGGAATAAAATCATTTAGCGCGTACTATACGAGGATTGTAAGTCATATCATACTACTATATATTATACTTAAAGAATCGGTTTTATAATAATCGATAATGGCAGTAAAGTTTGTATTGCTCACTAAGTTCTGTTTTCAAAACATTTAGTTCTCGATTCCTTTTATAATTTTAATTGGAAGCCAATTCCATGTATATAGCTTATCTGTAGGTTAGCTTTATTTAAAACCGTGTCAATATAAGACCTATGTTCATTGATGATATAATCTGTGGTTATTAAACTACAGTTAATTTCGATCAGTGAATTTTGTTTGTTTGGGGCGCAGTGACGCGCTGTAAGGCTGGCTACACACAGACGGAGGAAAGGATTCGAAGGAAGGCATGTTATATTATAGTGTTTAATATTTTTATATTTAGAGTTAAGATAACATTATGTAAAGTAATATATTAAATGATGATTATGTTGTACTTTCATTCACCCTCCTCACAAATGTCATATATTCCAGTGAACTCAATTACGTTAAATTTGTCATAATGACATCATGCGTTTACGTAAGATATAGGTCAAATAGGAGTCATATATATATACTTATATATATATCTATATATATAAAAATGGATTGCTGTTCCTTAGTCTCGCTAAAACTCGAGAACAGCTGAACGGATTTATCTTATCTTAGTCTTGAAATGTTTGTGGAGGTTCAGGGAAGGTATAAAAGCTGAAACAAATTGATTCTTTACTGGGAAAACCATAAAAAACAGCCCTTTTCTATTTCCCATACAAACGTTTTTTTTTGACATTAGATTTAGACAACTAACTAATATGTCAATCATTCTGTCGCACTTCAAAACACGGAGATTTATTGCTTACAGGTAAACTCCAAAAATGTAAATAAAAAAACGTAATAGATATTTCTTGATTATAGTTCGATACGAAGTTCGCCAGGTCTTCTAGTATATATATATATATATATGTATTACTATTCTATTTCGCACTTCTTGACACAAGACTTACGTAACAAATATGACCTAAGTTTGACGTACTACCAGTGGCGTAGCGTGCCTTGTCGGGGCCCCGTATAAAAAATTTTTTGGAAACCCTTATATGGAGGTAAAGATTTTTCACAAAGGAAAAAAAATATTGTGAGAAGAAATTTTTATTTATCACATATTTTACACATTTTACAAATAAAAATCGAATTTTAAATATTCACTCTCCTTGCCTTTTTTTCGGCAAACTGATTTATTAAATCATTTATGGCTGATGATGATTTTAGTTTTTCTAAAGTTTCTGCCTCTAGGGACAATAGTGAGATGTCTGACAGCCGTTCTTGTCCCATCGAAGTTCTTAAGTAATTTCTTATTAGTTTTAATTTTGAAAAACTTCTTTCTGCCGTTGCGGTTGTAACTGGAAGGGCCAAGAATAAAAAGCATGCTGTGATTACCTCGGGAAAACTGGATGCAAGACTATTGAATTTTACTACCAATAATTCAATGAGTTCTTTAATGGAATAATTTTTTTTAATTTCAGAATTTAAGCATGTTTTTAGAGCCTTTAATTGGTCACAAAGATTAAGTGAGATGTCTTTACTGTATTTAGCAGACAGTTTTCCGGAAGCGTTTAATATCTCTTCGCTTGAAGAAGATAGGAGTTTCTCCGGTTGTAATATTTCGAATATACTACTCAGGTTGCATTTTGTACGAAAAATTACGTACGTTTCAAAAGATTAAGTAGTTAAAAATAATCGTTTAGTAGCTAATTTTTCGTACAAAATATTATTTTTAACTACTTAATCTTTTGAAACGATTATTATTAAACGATTTGCATTAATGAAAATTCGATATCATTCATTAAGGGGGCCAAGTTAACGCAGGTTCTTTTTCCTTACACACTTGGCCCCCGTGGCCCGGGGGCCCCGTATAATTGATACGGCAAATACGGCGATAGCTACGCCCCTGCGTACTACTGATGTCATTGTGACCTAACTGACGTAACAACGATGTAATATTTATGTCATGGTTAAGTCATTTTTTTTACCTAGGTAGGTATATGACTTAGAACTGACTCCATTCTGACGTAACACAGATATAACGATGATGTTATGGTGTCGTTAAGTACTTTTCTCCAGTTACATATATATGAATAGGAACAATGGACTCTTTTGTGGCGTACAGTATTATTTACAGCATATTGTAAATAACATGTAGATCACTCCATCATAAAGATAAATAAGTTAATGGATATATAAACATACGAAAAAAATAATTAGGAATTATTCTTTTGAGGAATGATCAATCAAACACATCATTTTTAAAATAGGAAATTATTTATTAACACTCAAATTTGACAGCCACAAAAACATAAAAATATTTTTTTTCGAATTATTAAAATTCGAAATGTAAAAACGTTAAGTAATAACAAAAAATGGTTTAACCATTTAATTCACTTCATACATGTTGTTCCTTTTTTCATCCACATATTCATAAATTTATAAATGGTAAATATTACAAACATTTGTTGTATTTTTTATTGGAATTATTTAAATTCAAAAAATGAAGAAATTTTAACTAAATAAAATAATTACATTAGTTCTAATCAGTCATTTGAGTATCATTACAGTATTCACTTTTTGAATGTGATTCCAGTAATAACATAAAATTGTGTGTTCAAAACATAACGTGAATTTTTATCCATTTACAGACTTATAGTTTCTATAAGGCATACACTTCGGAAACATTTATATTGTTTTTTATTAAAATTACTGCAATTTAAAAAGTGAAAGAACATTATAAAATAAAAACTAAATTAGCTTTAAACAGATGTTTCAACTAACACTTATTTTAACCTTTTAATTTTTTTTTTTTTTTAAAAAAAAGAAGTTAAGATAAAAGTAGCTTCAATTAGAAATTTAAATCAATAATAATTTTAACATTTTAAAATGTTTTATAGAAAAGAGAATTTCTAGTACCTAATAAAATAGGTACTCATACTCTTACAGTTTATGCAGTTGCCTCTTTGATTCTATCATCTTCAAGCTTCTTATATTAGCTTTTTATATTAGAAAACCAGCTGCGTCCCGCGGTGTTACCCGCGGATTTCCGGGATGTAAAGTACCGGCTGTACCTTAAGTGCACTCGTGCGCTGAACCACCAATTCAAAAGATTTAAAAATTACAAAATATTACTTCATATTTCTTTTTTAAAGATATAAAAACGTATAAAAATGAAATTACCTAATTACGGTCAAAAAGTGTGAGCGCTTTACTAAACTAATATCGTGCGCTTCGTATTTGATTTAAATATCATCATATCTATCAATTGTCAAGTCAGTGATGGCCTAGTGGTTAAAAGGCCCGCCTCTCATGCATGAGGGCACGGGTTCCATCCTGGCAAGTACCAATATGATTTTTACAAGTCATTTGTATTTTCTAAGAGTATTTAGACATCACTGATTAATGCACTCCCAAAAAGTGTAAGTATTCACAACATGTAAGGCAGATCCTGGCTAAAAGCTGGGAAATTGCCAGGTAGAAGAAGATCATCATATCTGTCAAATACAATGTCTACTCGCTTTACATTTGGCTGCACTAACAGATTATAAATTTATTAAAAGTTATTTTCATATCAGATGCTCTACATTTACATTTATTAAGAGCTTCAGCACAAACATATGTATGAATAAATGCTGACCAAACCCAACTACAGCTAATTGATTACACCTTCTTAGGCTAGGAAAGGAAGGATGGTAAATTGTATCCACGACAAATGACCAAGCAACCACTGCCGAAATTGTTTATTCAACCGTGTAAATGAGCATGCAATTGTAAAACAATGGCTTCCATTTGCTAAAAAATACATATTTATTGTATTTCATTACATAAGCAAATGAATAAATAACGATTGTCAGAATAAAAAAGATTGATACTAATTATCATTTTTCCATTTATAATACATTAAGATTTCATTTTTTTGATATTTTTTTTGTGTATCAATAATAATTGTTTTTATTTTTATTTTTTCTATTGTTTTTTCATTTGACTAGCTGTAAGTATCGTTAATCATCAAAATCCGTTGGATATTTTCACTAAAACAATCGTTATAATCGATATCAAAGTATGTGTTCAGGCCATTTACTAGATGTATAAGGGGGTGGGGTTTAAAAAAAAATTGGACCAATATGGCTCCTGGCAACATCCAGAATCGTTATCTACATGCTTTTCTAAGTTCAAAACCATTCACAGAATGCGGTCCTCATAAGTCATATTTTGCATACTCAACTCCCTCCAGCGCCTGGACTATCATAGAAATGTACCGAGTAATGAGTGAACCGAAGATTACCGAGAGCACCCGATGTATGACGAATTGGAATTAAAAAGAATCAAAACTTTTCTCCGAAATACCATGCACTTGCTACATGCACTTTCTGTACTTAGTATTGAAAAAAAAAAATACAAATAATACCCGATTTTAATAAAAAGGTGATTGAACATTTCGCTACAGAAAAATGTCGTCGCATTGATTTAATGTATAAAAAATAAACATATTTTATGACAATTGTTGTTTTGTTGTATTTTCTAATTTTAATATTTTAATAAAGTGCACATCCAGTTCGATAACCCACCAGCCGCCACTGAAAGTAGCCTATGTGATATTCGTGGACGTCAACTTCCTGTATACAAAATTTTATCAAAATCAGTTCAGCCGTTTGAGCGTGAAGATGTAACAAACATACACACACACTCACAAACTTTCGCAATTATAATATTAGTAGGATATACTGAAACATAGAAATTATAAATATTATTCCAATTCTAAATGCATAATTTACATTGAAGTTCTAACCTAACTTGAATGATTTAAGAATTATTATTATAATAATTAAGTATTAAATTAAACACTTACACTTATTTATAACAAATTCAATAATAAATTGTATTTAAAATATATGTTCTTATGTTGAAACTTTGATGTTATTATTCAATTATAAACTTTTTTTATGTGTGTATGATTAGACACGACGCGCTGGTAAGAGGAGATAAACAATATGGAGATAATAATACTGTGCAAGTGGAAATCGCGTTTTTTATTACTTATTGAAAATTTATTTTTTATTTACTTAAAATTTATTTTTAAAAAGCAATGAAAAAATTTCAAATTTTTTATAAAAAGCAATGTAGACAAAGTAAGTTTGTAATCTAAAGTCACAATGACGTCATGATAATGACTGGTTATCCACATAACTGTATGATTTAGATGTGACGTAAATATTACATAAGTTTGTGACTTCGATATGATGTCACACTGTAATTAAAATATGACATCAGTTTTACGTAACAGCAAGACTTGTTTCTTACGTAAGAATATGATTGAATTATGATGTCCCATTTACGTCATGATAATGACTGTTTATCTAGATAACTGTATGATCTAGATGTGATGACATAAATATTACATAAGTCTGTGACTTCGATATGACGTCACAGGTTGATTAAAATATGACATCAATTTTACGTAACACTGAAATCTTAGATATGACATCATATTGAAGTCACGAATTAAGTCATCATTAAGTAATATTTACGTCAAAAAATTATGATCTCTATATGACGTCATATTAAAGTCATGTGTTCACTGGGTAGTTAGTAAAACAAGCTGTAGTTCAATATTTTTATTGAATGTGACATTGTTATATTCTTAAATTATTTTTATTTACAATACTATATAATAATTTTAGCTTACGTTACATATAAAATGCTTATCATCCGGTCAATACTGTTACAGGCGCATTGTAAGTTTCGTTCTTGTAAAACTATGAAATAATGCCCCCCACCCCCCATATCCCCATAACGTATCAAAAAATATGACGTTACAGTTTATAATAATTTTCATTACATATAACATGAAACAATATTACATATTTACACCGAATTACACTTTTCTATCATATCAAAAGACAAAAAATATACATTTTAAAGATATTTATACAACTGGCTGCGTTCATCACTTAAGTTAAACATTTTCTTTCCTTATAATAAAGAAAACGACTTAGAATAACTTACACGTAAATAATAATAATTATATAAATAATAATATAGGCAGAATCAAATACTAAATGTAAGTAAAGTTCATATGAACCGTGGTCATGGTTGTGTATGTGTCGTGGGCGCTGGCTGTTGCGTGTAGTGGTTCGTGGGCGCCAGGGGACGCTCGTAGCTCTTACCACGAAGCTTACCTCTGTTGAGATAAACGTACTATTATTATGGTTATTTTTATATGAATCACATTAGATATAAAGCTGTATGTAAATAGTGACAAAGTTAAATAAATATGTTTGCTTTTACTGCATATTGTACCATTCTTGAAATGTTTTAAAGGGATTTATCTCAAGAATGGCATATTGATACATTTGGGAAGCTTTTTTTGTTTTTTCGGCGGAAATGCGCTGTTTTCAACAAAAAAAATTCAAAATTGCATTTATAGCCAGAACAACTATTGCTCGTAAACAGAAGAAATCTTACGAAAAATATAGAAATTGTCTGCTTTCAGTTTAATCTTATTACCCAAATATTGCATCATAGTTATGTCTAACATTTACGCAATCACACATTCAAAATACAACTAACTCTATTGGACTTGCAGCAGAACATTTTATTACATATATTTTGTCATTTTATTTTGTCTTTACAGCAACTGTGAGTTGTGATCATAAATACTAGCTTATTTTCTATGAAAATTACGCTATTAAAAATTGAATCACCTGAGTAGCATTCTCATATATCTGTATGTTGTAGATGGTAGTTCAGGGCTGTCTTCTTGTAGTGGTAGACTCAGTGAGAGGTAGTGGTCGGCGCTAGCACAGAGAAGTGCGTCTAATCGAGACACTAGCTCAGTGAATGTCGGCCTACACCGCGGCCGGTCCCGCCAACATGACAGCATTAACTCGTAACTGAAGCATTTGATACATTAATATGTTTAAACATATGTTTCATTAAGATTAAACATAATCTTTTGAGAATTGCTTTGTTTTTCGGATGTAATATACATTATTTCAGCGAAATTTATAGTAACAATCAATTGAACATGAAAGCTATACGAGAATATTTAAGTTTTTTAAGCATCAAACGAAATTATACTCTTTATTTCTTACTTACTAAGTATAAAAACGAATAATTATTAACATTAAAATGTCTATACGGTCGCTAATAAATATTTAAATTAGGTAAATGATATATAAATGATACATACAGTTGTGGTCCACAATTATGAGGGCAGGGCATGCGGTACCCAGCGGCGAGGAGTCTCGGCAGTCGAGCGGCTCCCACACCAGCGTAAGGCGCACCACCCACCGTCACCACCTCCCACACCACCACGCCGAACGACCACCTGACAAATATATGAGAAATATATGGCAGGGGTCATTGAACTATAAATATAGTGGAATATAAAATGATGATTTTTATTGTATTAACTTCGATATATGATAAAAACGTAAGATTTATTTATATTGGATATTAATTTTAAATAAAATTAACGTGTTCACGTGTATTCATTTAAATAAAACAAAGATTTTAAGTAAATATGCGTTTTTTATTAGTTTAGAACTACATACTCTCAATGAAAATGTCACATCGGGAGTCTGAAGTTTAAAATAAGAAAAATGTGCAGTAAATCGAATGTATTAGTTTTATTTAATATTTAATAACTTCGACTTTACGGAACATATAAGCTTCCTCGGAATCTAGTTTAGGAATTACTGTTCCTATATAAGACGGATGGTCACAATGAAAAAATAAAATATGAAGGCAAATAATTAATAGATTTTTTTCATTATCTATTTCAAAATTATATAAAGTCGGTTAGAAATGTAGGATAGATCTTATTGACGAGGAAGGTCGTGAGTAAGCGAATATTATTGGTTGTTTAAACGATGGCTGGACTATTGAGAAGTTACTGCACTGTGTGTCTTGGTACAAACTGACTTACTCACAAATACTTATATACGTCATTAATATTTATTACAACCATAATTATGTTAATAATTTAAATTATAATAACTCCCAATGTACTATAGCACTTTAGTCTTAATACAGCTCAAATGTAAAATACATTCATCTAGGAATTTCATTGATAAGACATCAACGCGTATCATTATAAGTACTTATAAAAAAACTAATATTTACTTACACATCACTTTGTGTCGTGAATATCCTATGCGTGAGGGACTCTAGAGCCATCCACTTGACGGGCATCTTTCCGTTGCCCTTCTGTTTGTATTGATTCTCCTGATAGACGTCTCTAGATAATCCGAAGTCTGCTATCTTGAGTGTTCTATCAGCTGTTACTAATATATTCCTCGCTGCTAAATCTCTATGGACTACTCTGTTGGAGGAAAGAAACTCCATGCCCATAGCGATCTGTCGACAGAATGAGAGCAGGTCCAACATAGTGAGCTCCGTGTCACACACTCCTTGTATGTCATACAGACGGTTGGCAACGAACTTAGTATCAGGCAGTTTGCTTTTAAACAGATCGTTGCGATAATTTTCTTTATTGTTGTTGTTATTGTAATATTTAGCGTTACGACGCGACACCATCATGTCCCATGAACACCTGCAAAAAGAAGAAAATATTCGTTTCTATTCCAGTTCATATAGGAAAATCGAATTAAATAGAAATTATGAAAATAATACACAAATCACTTAAACTTTTTTTGCATAAAAGATAGTGATTCAAACAATGATGTCCATATTTTTTTTGGGTATTATTATAAGAATATTGTATTATTATATATACTTAGTTACTAGAAGACCCGGCGAACTTCGTATCGCCCTATAATCAAGAAATATCTGTTACGTTTTTTTATTTATATTTTTGGAGTTTACCTAATCTCCGTGTTTTGAAGAGCGACAAAATGAATGACATATTAGTTAGTTGTCAAATCTAATGTTAAAAAAAGTTTGTATCAACAACTACTAATAAATTAAAAATTAATTAAAAAAACATTGTCCAGCGAACAAAATTGTGAATCTGAACCATTCCCAGATCCCCTTGAACACACTCAAAAAATTTCATCAAAATCGGTCTAGTCGTTTGAGAGAAGTTCAGTGACATACACAATCACAGAAGAATTATATATATAAAGATAATTTATTACCTGAGGTAAGTCAGTAAGTCTCCCCGTGAGCAGTACTCCGCTACTATCAAAGGTCGTCTTCCGCTACAGCACCCCAGGAGGCTGACGACGTGAGGGTGAGCTCCGACACTCTTCATTAGCTCCATCTCAGCACGAAACGAACGGACTTCCTCCACTGACGGATACTCTACAATGATGATAAAGATAAGTTGCTTTTAGACTTTTACTCCGATACGTAACTAATATCACATTCATCAATGGTTTTTAATAAAAGAATTACACTTCAAGATTCAAATTGCCCACATTTTGTTTGCATAAGTATGAAAAATTTTATACGCATCAACTTTTATCCCGAGTATGGCTTAAAATCATATCACATATGATTAGTCTGCCATAAATATATGTTATACTTGCTCGATATTAATATAATATATCAAGTGTAATGGAGGTAGATTACTTTATTATATTAGTTGCTGTCATACACTTTGCTTCTTAGCATAATACATACATGACGAATCCCTACTAATATTATATTATTATGAGAAAGTGACTATGTCTATCTATCTGTTACGCTTCCACGCCTAATCCACTGAACTGATTTTAATGAAATTTGGTACAGAGATAAAGTTGACCTTGAGAAAGAACATAAGATAGTTTTTATCCCAGACTTTTGAAAAGTTTTCTTGGAAACGCGATGTAACAGAACTTCACGCGGGCGAAGCTGCGGGCGGAAAGCTAGTTTAATATGGTTCTATTGAATACTACAATATAGAATCTACCAAAATAACATATAAGTCACCTTTCAACATCTTGACTGCGACATCTTTATTGGCGGGTGCTAGAGTGCCTCTCCGAACAACACCGAAGGCCCCCTCTCCTATGACCTCATGTAGCAGGAGCCTCTCGGGCCGGACCTCCCACGTGTCCTCTGATCCCGACTCCGGGCCTCCAAGGTCTGTATCACCGCTTTCAGGGAACTTATCATGGACTCCCTACAAGAAAAGAAGAAAGAAGTCATTAATATACAATTAAATACATCATTTAGTAATATATCCTGGATAGAACCGAGCTTAACGAAGTTGTCAAAAATATGTTTACTAGTCTGTACCGTCACTATATAAAAAGAAGCTGTTAAATCTTATTACATTCCTAAATTAATCCTGGACCGTGTCTTCCATTCTACGAGACACTTGCAGAATATACTGTCCACGTTTTTGCACGGATGGAGGGCAATTTAAAACAACCAACCAATATAAAAAGAGCTTATTTATGAAGTCAACATACTGGTATATAGAAGGTATGAGAGTCGGTTGGTATGCGTCGTCGCCAACACAGCAGAGCGGCCAAGAGTATTGTGGCCACCGTCAGTAATGAGGCCGCGACCACCACACCCGCCGCCCCACCAGTACGAGCTGGAAAGTGAGTAAGAAATTGGGTATAGAACCCTACTGAGTTTTTGTAAGTCACCCAGAAATCTATTTATGACTTGCTCCAAATAAAAGTTTGCTCCAATAAAGAGATATAAAACAAAGAACATTTGTCTCTTAAACTCTGTCTTATGTAATAGATGGATAGATAATGGTAGATATTTGCACTATTTACAAATTAATTCTTTCAAATGCATTATCGCAAAACCGGCTTTAAGGACCGACCGGCCGAGTAGTGGTTCATCGTAAGTACCTAGTGTATTATTAACATAATTTAAAAATCTTTTAACGTATACCCTCACATATGAGTTATAATTAAACTAACATCAGTTACTCAAAATCTTGTGTAGTTTATAGTGTTATAGGTAGTATATTTATGTACTAAAAGTTCCGAGTGCTCTCAATGAATTCCGGTGCACAGATAAACCCGACAGGGATTTTGTAACACCGTAAAAGAAATTTGTATTGTATTATATAAATAAATAATAATAAATAAATAAAATATATAACCGTCTACTGTCCATCTTCACGTCTTAAATAAAGAAAGTGAGTTCCTGCCATGTAGATAGTGCATACATTATTCGGATATGTGCTTAATATGACAATATTCAGCGGCAATATTCAACAATTTGAACCGAAGACAAACCGCTCGCATGGTTTTTCAATCGTATTTGTTATGAATACAAATTTCATTAGTCATTTAATATTGAGTTATATTTAAGTTATAGTTTAATACTGGTTTTATTTGAACTTAAAACATTTGTGACTTACTTGATCTAAAATTACTTTCAATTCAAAAATACTTAGTTACTATAAATATGCGAATAGTATGTAAAATATAATCTTACGAGGAAATATATTCCATCGGCTGGTAGTGGCGGTGCGATTTTCTATTTTCGCTCTCACCAATACTTCATATTTACCATTCCCAGTCACGTGGTCAAACTGAGCCTCCGTTTGATTCTGAAATATAATTCTATTTAATTTCAGTTTTCAACCAAGTTTTGGAAAATGGAAAAATAAAATCTGGTAGCTACGACGTATAACTTTACAATTGACATCTTTCTTCTAACAGAAAGTTCTAAACATAAAGTATTAAGAAAGTAATAACTAGTATTGTTTGCCATTAAACAGATTATATATATATGTATTTTAAATTCATAATTAATCGTTATATTATATTATTAATAGCTCATTATATTTACCCCTGGCACAATAGCTCGGTAGACTTCATCTGCTTCCAAACTAATGTTGTAGTATGACGGTTGGTGACGCGGCGGTGACCATGTAACCAACACCGACCACCCACCACCTCGTTCAACAGCATCCAAAGTCACGTTTTCAGCCACTTCAGGCCCTAGAATTGTTATTTAATTTATCATAATATAACATAAAATCGCTTTCAAGAATAATTTCATCTATAAAATATGTCCAACAAAGAAAAAGCAATAATAACATCTTATTACTAAACTTCTTCTTCTTAATAGTTAGTGGCGTTTCCTTATAGATTTCACCAATATGATGTGCCGATATTATACTGAACTGTAGTAGAAACTCGATTAAGCGAACTAATCGTTGTCGATAGGCATTCGGATAATCGAAAATCCGGATCATCGAAAGTATGAAGAAATGCGGGTTTTATATATATAGTACATAATATTATATGTTTATTAAAAAAAAGTAACAAATGCATAACAACGATAATCAATGTTTAATAATAAATAATAATTAAAGGATACATTTTCTTAGATTACATAATATACATTTTACTTGTATGTACTAAAAACTGCAAATTTAATCCTACTAATATTATAATTGCGAAAGTTTGTGAATGTGTGTGTATGTTTGTTACTTCTTCATGCTCAAACGGCTGAACTGATTTTGATAAAATTTTGTATACAGGAAGCTGACGTCTAGGAATAACACATAGGCTACTTTACATCCCGGAAATCCCGGAAATCCGCGGGTAGCACCGCGGGGCGCAGCTAGTCATGAAATAAATTACAATATGTATTTGGTAATTTGCAATTGGTAACCATGAACTAAAATAATAAGTTCAATTTGTTTTAAATATTTGTGTAATTGTCATTTGACGTACGCCACTCTCAACAACACCACTCTCTTACGCTTTGACATTTTTTCTTGTCGGGACTAGTCCGGACTTGTCCGTAGTCCGGATAATCACGAATCCGTATAACTGAGGGCCTGATAATCGAGTATCTACTGTATGTCAAGAGGAATTTGTGAATAAATAAGAACGCGACTAGAGACTAAGAAGGAACACTTATGCAAACTTACTGCAAAGAATAAAAGACAAGAGTTGACAAAGTTTATTATATCACTTACAAGGAGAACAGCCGGCTAGATCGAAGCATGATGGTGTTCTATAAGTGAGATTGGTGACACCGTGAGCACCACCCACAATGATGGTGCAGGAATCGTCGAGAGGCAGTTGAGTAATCAACGCTGTGTTATTCTGACCGGGCTGGCGAGGAAAAAACAATTAAAAGATATGAATATTATTTAGACGTTTCGTTGTAAATGTTAAACTTAATTTATATTTGAATTGTTTTAGAAACACTTAATAGTTATATTTTTGCTTATTAGTCCCACAGCTTGAGTCGTGAGCTGAGTATCAAGCATTATTACGCATTTAAACGTAAAAGTAACAGCTTAAGAAGGAACAAAGACAGCGTTTGCATTAAAAAATTATAATATTATTATAAACTATATATTCTACCAATAATGGAAAACCATAAATCAGCGTTTTTAATATCATTATGAATGAAACTACACTATAAACATTCTCTTCTTTTTTTTACTATTTGAACACGAATATTAATTACTGTTTTTGATGAAAATAAATCACTTTTCGGTTTTTAAAATAAAGTTATTTTAATATCGTTATTCATAGCAGACATGTTAATTATATACGATATTGGACAAATTTAGTTAAAAAAACTATGTTAATAAAAAAAGTAGATACGTAAAAGTTATAGTAGGTACCTAAATCAAGTTTTATGAGGAATTCAAACTTACTTTGATTCTTCTATCATAATGATCTCCTTGCGTCTTTTTATTGCAAAAATTCAAAACGTCGAAACAAGAATCATAAGCTGAAAAAAAATATTGGTTTTATAATAAAAATTAAAGTTTAAAATATTTTTTTTAAATTATCAACAAAAAAATATTCAACAATTCAATTTTACTCACAATCACTAGAATTCCATGTAAATTTTCCATCAATGTGATACGTATTATTAACGTATGTATCGTAGAGAAAATTGATTTTAATTTTGTATGATTTTGAAGTTAATTTCTCACGAAAAACATCCCAGGGCTTAACTCTAGGGCCACGTCTCCATACTGAAGGTACACCACTCTCACTTAGGATGGTCGACCAAATGGTATAATACTCTGTTGATTCGTAATATATTGAACCGAATTCTTGATTTGCTTCTATTAAACTGTAGTTTAACTGAAAAATTATTAATAAACATCAATGTTTTCGGAGATTTAGTAAATATCGAATATTTTTAAATTAAAGGATCTCTTGGCAGTCTCAAATTTAAATTATAAAAAAGATCGCATTCCATAGTGTATTTTTTAAAATAGAATTCATATTATACATTATGTAAATTTTAGAGAACATAAAAATTTGTTTCCTCTTCTTCTCCCTTCATTAATCAGACTGCTTCATTCTAAAGTTCGTCTTTATTGTCTGGAGACATGACCAGTCCATTTCCACTTCAAATAGTAATACTAAATATTAAATTAGTTAAGAGACTGCTTCACTCTAAAGTTCGTCTCTATTGTCTGGAGACATTAGCCTATTTCCACTTCAAAATATTAATTCTAAATGTTATATTAGTTAAAGACACTTACAATTTCCTCTTCTTCTTCTGTTGCTGCTTCTTTATCGTTGACTAAAACAACTAATATTGATTCATTTGAAGGCGGAACTGACACCAGTATAGTTGTATTCGACTGACACTTTATTTTCACATCGATCTCATTCAACACATTTCGTTTTTGATCTGGAATTTGTTTCTTTTCAATTATAGTTATCATAAATATTTTAAAGGTTTTCATTTCAAATAAAATGATCAAAGATACTCACATTGGAAATTATTCTTGCATAATGATACGGATTTCTGAAATGCAATTTTATTTAATTAATTATAATAAACGCCATTTTTACACAAAGGATCTAAGTTGTTATTCTATAAATTGTAGATCAGTATTCTGTTACTTGAAACAGAATTTTATTATCAAGTTTCAGAGCCTACATAATTAGTTCTAAAAAAATATTTTTTTAGATTTTTTATAACAGAACTACAGACAGAATATTTATTATAACAACACAACGATTTATGGTAATGTTTCCCTCTCAGTATTCATCAGTTACTTCACCTTGACTCACAGTCATTTCGAGGTCTGTTTATCAAACTGTCCTGAAATATACCGGTTAACGCTCGTAATATCCTGAAATCTCACCTAGTTAGTGGTTGGCGCTGCAATCTATTTAGTTCTTACGTTTTAATACCAATTAACAGTAATCTTACCAATTTACAACTATATTTTATTCAGATCTTAGTTATTATAATAAAATTTGTATCAATAAACCTAATATTAATTATATTAAATAAGTTCGAAGTGCATTTTGATATACCTCTATTACTAGATTGAATAAGTTATTTTTTACGATATATATTACATATGTAATGATATCAAATATATATGACTATGATAAATGAACTTTGGCTATTCTTTAAATACTGTTCATTTATTTCATTGCGTAATTATGTGGGAATGATATTAAATATAACTTTTATGTGATCGAATTGTGAGTCGATTCGTTTGTCGCCTTTCCTAGTTGGCTATTAGATGAACACCAGTCTCGTTGTATGAGGTTTACCATTAAAATAAAGTCGGATATTAACTGATTTTACTTGGCAAATCTTTAGTTTTATACTGCAATTGTACCTCCAAATCTTAAGAATAATTTATTAGGTTTTGTATCAACTATTTCGTATGGGCCGATACTCCAAGATTCAAACACTGTGATAAGAGTTTCCGATTTTCGCAAAATATCCGTTTTTCATCACATTTAGAAATACGATTCTATTAATATTATTAATTCTTTGAGTTGTTTATGCAGCGCAATTCAAATTTGCAAACTTTGCAAAGATATATTTGAAACATCCTCTCGAATTTACAAAACGATAGCAAAAAAATTACTTTGGATTGAATTAAGTTATTAAAATTTAAGCAAAAGCAAAGGATACATTTGAAATACTTTGAACTTCTAACTAAACGATTAGATTAGATATGTTACTTTATTTAAATAGCCATGACAATTTCATATTTGAAAAAAATTAATATTAAAACATGCTTTGGATAGTACTACGGTGCGTCATGTAACAATACATATAAAATGAACATATATTTTTAACTTACTGTACGTGACCGGTTGTAAGGTGATATATAAGAAAAATCTATGTAATTTTGAAGGCCTTATTTGATCGTTTTTGTAAATTATATATGTCATATCATTATCATAGTTTTCACAAACTTTTTACCTATCTATTCGATTAGGAGTAATGATTTTATTAAAAGTATTGAGCTTCTTTATTGTCTATACAGATATAAAGATGTACGATTAATTGCTAAATATAGTTCGGTTTTCATATATTTTTAAAATGTTTATTCTCTCTCAAAACTTAGTTTTGTCTATTTAATTTCTCTTTTTAATAAAAAAAACCATAAAGCAAATTATTGACATTCAAACAAAAGTAGGTAATTTGAAATTTATACGGAAATTAATAATGGCAAATAAAAAAAAATAAGAAAATAGAAATTTTTATAAAGCAATATTTGTACCAAAAACGAGTAACACATATATGATGTTATTGATTAAGGATTATTTAGATAAAAGTGGGCCTAGTAATAACCAGGCGATAAACAAGCAAAGGTGACCGTTCGAAGGTTTAATGAAAATTAAAAGCCTCGGTTACAATGCGGAAGTATGGAAGTTTATTTATTACTAAAATATTTTATTTAGACTTAACTATTCTAAGAGCTTTATATTTTTTATTACCTGATATCCTCTTTTAACATGAATCTACAGAATTAAGATGGAATAAAAAAACTTCAAACTATTATCTTCTATTTGGGGTAAGAATTTAAAAGTTATATGAACTTTAATAAAATGTAGTAAATATTTATTATTAAATTTTTTACTTGCCAAATAACTATTGGTCCGTGATGACATTGATTTTAAATAGAGATCTAAAAATTAATCTTTAATATTCAATACAAAATAATATACCTACAATGCCATTAAAAAACCAACATAATTTACAGGTTAAAAATGACATTTTTAAAAGTTAATATTTTTATTATTATTCTTTTAAAAAAGTATTATAATTTAATTTACTGACCTGGTCTGAAAACAATTGGTAGCAAACAGTCTGGGCGAGATCTTCAGTCTGATAGCGGGTCGCTGGTAACAATTCTTTCAGGATTGCTTCGGGTTGTGTTGGACAAACATTTACCCACAAAACAATAATAATTAAAAATAAACGGAACCTCATATAAATATAATCACTATAGTCAACAGTAATGTTCTTATAATCCGAATTCATTTTAGAATTATTTTCGTTTCACCATCGGTACGTAAGTTAGTATGTTTATATATAAAAAATAAATAACAATATAATAAATGATGAATAACAAAATAATATAAATTTCAGTATATTGTGAAAATATCACTGTAACATATGAGCACAATGATTCGTTCCTAGCTTTACACTGTCGGTACGAATGCCACCACTCGCTGCCAAAACTCACCACCGACTCATCTAACTAATAAGTCATAATCTCCTTATATTACACAACACAGCGTCATTTAACATTCATTCATATAGCTATGCGTAATTTTTATCGTAAACAAAGCATTTTTAATCACAGTCGAACATCTCAATAGTAACCGATTGACCTTTTATTGATATTCGGATAATGCACATTTAATATATCATAAAGATTACACTATCGTTACTATATTGTTTAAATATAGTTTTCGCATTATTTGTTCACTCAGTGACATCATGTAATCATTAACAATACCATTCATATGAAATGCTTAAAAATATTTTTTTAACGAGAATTTAAAATATACGATAATATAAGTAAGGTAATTAATTATACTTGACTTTATAACACTTACAATAAGAAAGTATTTTAAATTAAGATATGATTGTGCATTTGTCGGTTTCGTCTTACTCAAAATCGATTCGAGATAATATATAAATGAGAAAATAAAAAAGGTTCATTAAATCTATATCACAACTATAAATCAATTATTAAAAAATATATATATCTCTTATCTCTAGATATATATATCTTTAAGTTGCAGGTAATATACTCTTTTAGCGGCCCCTTGCACTTAAAAAACATGCAAATCATTTCGAAAGGCTATCAGAAAATAAACACTAAGTATTATTTTAACATTTATAAATACATTTTACACATTTAGTCATGCTTTAAAATATTTTAAAAAAGACATACAAATCCTGGTGATTTGTTCAATAATGTATTTTGAAACTTAAAAAAAATCTTGAAAGTTTTTCAACGAACTATTTGAATTAAAAAGAAATGCAAGAATAGTCCATCTATAGTTTCTTCTACCTATAATGTTTTATGCTCATTACTGTTTTCTATAATAATTTATCGTACAACAGAAACATCTCTTTTTATCCTATATGAGTTTATGACAAATAAATGTTTTAAACAATTTTTTTCCCATTATAAATTCTTCTCCGACAAAAGATATAGTGATAGACAGAACCGATAGCATTTTAATCAGAGTCACATAAGCGTACAAACGAATTAAGCAATCGTTTAGGCCCTAGAGCATCAAGTTTTGAAGTATTCTAAATGTATTTTTATACAATGCACATTACCAGTTTTCTTGTAGATAAGAAACCTAGGCAGAGAAAGCACTAGAATTTTAGAGGTAGCACTAGAGTGTGAGTAGTTGAAAATTAGTTCTAATTATACTGTTAAATTTATTTTTATCTTAAATTAGCTTGGTCACTTAATTGTCCCTATACAACTAACTAAGATTTCAAAAACTTCTTATTAATAATTGATAGATTAAAAATACTTTTTTTCAGATTATAAATTTTAATCGCTTTCATCTTCTTGTTTCAACCACGCTTTGTCGTTTACGAGACCACTTCTATTACGTGTCAGGATTTTTTTTGTGACGTAGTTTATTTTGCGAGAATATGTACCTATTTATATAAAATTACTTGTATAATTATGTTCGTATCGACTTAAAAATATAAAAGTAACTCACTTTAGATTTGCAGTCTTATTAACGAAAGGGATTAGTCAAATTACTGTCATTCTCAAACCTAGGAAATATTTAATTTCTTGATATATAACAATATGTAGGATATATAATGCTGCCAGAAAATATATTGAATTAATTAATAATTTTATGACATGACTATATACTATATAGTATATAAATATTTCGAACAAAACATTTCTTGGTCCATGTTCTAGAATAGCTTATCGAAAATAGAACGAAATGAATTGAAAAACAGATCAAGTCGATAAATACAGCGTGAAAACGGTGAATAAAATAATGACACAAGATTTGAATAACGGTTGGCCTCATTACTTTAAAAAAGAAATTTGCTTTATCTACATTAGTGTTAATTTTTTCATGTGGAATAAGTAAATATATATTTTCCTTTTTATAGCATCTCTTTATAACCCAGACGTAGATTATAAATCTGGTTTGGAAATATAAAGAATATTGAATTTTTAACAGTAGTTTACATTTAGGAAGTTTAAAGACATTCTTCAAATAACATTTTTTTGAGATTTAACTCACTATAATTTAGTAATAATTTTTAAATATTTGGAAGACATGTTAGGGATATTTTAAATAAAGATTATAAATTAGAAACCTCTTGTATCTCTGAGTTATCACTATATATTTTCTATTGTTTTCAAAGCGACAAAACTGTAGAAGTAAGAGGCTAACAATATTCACAAAACACTGATTTTGAAATTATAATGACAGTCCGGACACGGTCGAGTTCTTAAATATATTTATGGTGCAAAGCCGTGAATACTGTACACAGAATAAAATACAATATACAATGTTACGTAAAATAATGCTATGTTAGTGACATCAAGAAGATGGGGCTATTAATGGGCCATAACGTCAAAATGTTATTATGTATGCATTAAAACAAAGTAACATATGATTTATTAATGGTTGACATTTGGAAATAATCTAATAGAGGTCTTAAAAGTAATATTTCTGTTTTAAACATGCAAAAGGAATAAAAAAAAAACGAAATTTTAAGCAAATATATTGATGTCTTTGAAGTCGTGTGTGACTGTCTGCAAATTATACGGACACATTAACATGTGATTCAAATTCCTCTGTCAAAATCGGTTTTATATAAATTATTAATATTATTTATAAGTTACCGAAGGATTGATTCGACCGCCAGTATAATATAAATTCCAATGTTATAAAAATGACACACCTACATACCTGAACACTGCCCAAATATTGCAATTGCAGACTCATTTATTATATAGATGAAATGTTTAACGATTTTATATGTGTATTTGAAATTGAGGAAAGGTAAATGTGTCTTTTATATCTATTTTAAAGTTTCAAAAATCTAACTACATTTAGGCATTTTTTTTTTTGGAAGGAAATAAGCGTCGTTTGTCGCAATAAAATGAATCTGATAATCAATTACTGGTTAGCATTTATTTAGAGTAGGGTAAGGGTATCTCATTAAAGATCTTTGTCCTCAAACAAATAAAAATACAATAGTCTACATAAAACGATCTAAAAACGAGAAGGTCGAAAACCTTAGTAGTTTCCGTATGTATGTTCACATTGAATTTTTTATTTAATACCAATTCACCAGAGGGCACCGATCGATTTCGTCAGCTACCTGGACTTGATTAGATATAACCTTCACTAATATTTCATAAACAAAGGCCGGTCAATCACCTATGTAAATCAAATTGTGGAATTTTAGTCTCGAGACCTATTTCATAATTATTAAATTATATTATGACGCAAATGATTAATTTATTTGTGTAATATTAGTGCAAAATGGTAGCGAAAAGATGTCTCGATCAAAACATGTCTCCCAGAGACACGGCTAGGTCATCCACGGTATAAGTTTACGAGATATTTAGTTTAAATGCACATACATCAAGTTACCGCCGGTGTCTCGGTAACTTCTTCATAAGCTTGTATGAGAAGGTTATCATTGGTGTATAATTTTATGATAAAATTTACTAGTGTAGTGTAGTGTATTTACATTGCAATTCAAATCTAGCTAAAGTCTTTTTATTTTATTGTATTATATTATAAATCAATAACCGCTGTATTATTAAATTATAACGCAATAACCTTAAGCTATTTGCGTATCAATAATCTTATAAGTAAGAATCGATTGTAAATAGTTTGGCGCCAAAATTCCGCAAAAAAACCTCTTTGACCGACCGTGACTGTAGCGCAAAAAAATTGTAGTACACGGCGCCCTCGCGGGTACACCCACCTATGAAATGTTTTGAAATTTAGTATCATATATATGTAGGTATAGTAGTTATAAGAAATATTGTACTCACAGATAAGCTATAAAAAATATTGAGCTCACTTTAAAAATAAAGTTCTCAATTAATGACGTCAATACAAAGAAGCTTTAAGTTGGAGTGTATTTTTGAAAAGTTTTTTTTTGTGCACGATCGTGAAGAAGTGAATTTCTTCACGTCTGACAAGTTTTTGACCACTCTCTTCGCCTTCGATTTGATGGATTTGGTTCTAGTACGCTTAAAACCAGCTTTTGTAATCTCACTACATACGGTGTGTCTCTCGCTTTTTATTCAATAAACTACGTTAATACAGTAATGTGTTTAAATTATTCACGAAAAAACTTCGTATGTAGTATGAAGTAATTGTGGTAATTACACTGAAGCTTCAAGTGACCAGCTACTAATCAAATTAACCAATTTCTCTTATTAGGTATGTATTTACAGTTTTTCTCTCAAAAATAGCAAATTAATAACACAGCTATTGTATTATTAAATAAATCTTTATTTTAAAACATCTTTAAAATCAAAAACTGTCTAACTTCGGAGACAAATATTTTTTATCTCCAGTTAATTCTCCACAAGCGATTTGCCGATCGCGTTCTCTCCGCAGAGCCTTGAAAGAATGTTGATGTTAATAGAATACACACTAATATAATACTTATTAAATAGATCTTCATAGAAAACTTTTTGGCGATTAAGATTTTAAACGTCCGTTTAGAGAGCAAAAAGGAACTTAAAAAAAATGTAACTTCGACTATATAAATTAATCAACAAGCACACTGGCTAACGATGGGTCAAATTTGTAAAATTAATTTCAATTTTATTACCAACCATAAATCTTAAGAACTGTTTCGTCTTAGTTCGACACTCGTGGTAGTCGTCTATTTCCAACTTGCAGTGTTGTAAGCCGCGGTCAAAGCCGTAACTCTCCATACAGTCCATCATGGCCATCTCCATTTGTGCGCAGTCTCCCAGGGTCTGGTGGGTCATGATTCCTCCTGTAATATCAGTGAACACGTTGCGATATCTCGGTATCACCTGATCACTCATCCTTATTACGGCTCTGAGGTTATATTTTTATAGTTGGATGATTTTTATACAGATATGTCAATAGTGACACTTTGCTGTCATGTTTTTTATTCTTAAAATAATATCTAAATAAAAATGTATATGTACTCATTATAGTATTATTATGAAATTTTGTTATATCAATTTATATTTCTATACACTTCTGTTCGGTAGTCTAAAAGTAATTGTATAGCAATTGTTAATAAAATAAATTTATTTGTTCCTAGGAAATATGTCCTATCTGCACTTTTTTTGCACCTATCTCAAACGATTTCCAACGGAGAGTTAACCAATAAAAATATGTACGTAAACTTCATTTCAAATAGTTTTGAATTTAAATTATTTTTAACCATGTTTTTAAGCCTGAATTTATAACGTTAAGATAATAAAAAAGCCTAGCCTTCAATAAAATACGAAAAATTAAGTCCTTCCAAAAGGCGCAAAAAAAATTAAATCCTAACTCTTTCATTACACTAAGTTAGCACCGTCACACTGCATATTGAGCTTTAACATTTTTTTATTCATAAATCTTGTCCCCGTATAGTAGGAACGAAGGTTATTTCTTAAATGCTACTTATGTAGTATAATATTTCAATCCTGTGCTAAGTATAAAGTTTATAGAATAAAATTAATTATTAAACTTTCCAAGTTACTAAATTTTTATAAATATTCCTAGGGAATCAGTCATATTAATGTAGATGTTTTACAAAAGGATGAAATATAAACAAATGTTTATCTTACAATAAGGGGCCATCCATAAAGTACGTCACACGTAAAGGGGGTGGGAGGGGGTCGACAAAGTGTGACATGGTGTGACAAGGGGTGGGAGGGGTCCTAAGTTTCGTGACATCACATTTCAAAATCTAGAGCTACTAATCGCGTAATTTGAAATATTAATTAAAATCTTTAAAACTGAGCGCGTCATCACATGAATTACTATCAATATTTAAGGAGCATACTCGGTACATGATTCTCATTCGAATTATGTAAAAAAAAGGTACTTAATTTTTGACTAAATTTCCGTATAAATAAATAAAGTGAGGACACGTTCCAAGTGTTCCAAGTGTGGACGCGTGCTAGCGGCGTGCTGATACAACACCACGCCGCCAAACGCGCGTTTGTGTGTGTGTATACCTAATCTGTAGACTGTTCACACGATGCGTAATGAATTACATAACTTTTGGTAAACTTTACTTAGAAGTTTATTAATATTTATGTTATATTAATTTTTATTTTGTCATATATAATCGTCAAATATCACGTCCTCAAGTATCGATAGTAATTCACCAGTCACCCTGTATATATTCATTAGTTTATTTATTATTTCAAATATTTGATACTATGTTGATTTCTTAAAAAAGTACTTATTTTAAATGGAAATAAAACTAATTTCGGAACTGCTGTTTTAATTTAATAATTTTTCGATGTTAAATTGCAAAACATGTGACGTCACACTAGGGAGGGGGGGGTCTCAGAAATGTGACCACCTGTGACAAGGACGGGGGAGGGCTCAAAAACTCATGAAATTAGTGTGACGTATTTTATGGATGGCCCCTAAGAAACCTACACAACACAAACGCTATACATCTCACCAAAAATGCTACTACGCTACTTTTTGCCGTGCAAGAAGTCATTAGTAACTACATATTTACTTATTATTTATAAATATATAATAGTCACTGGAAGCTGGAAGTTTACATTTCTCCTGAACTTACAAAAAAACAATTTGTTACACAGCAAACAGCAGCATAGACATAGAGTAGTAATGCTCTAAGACTAAAACAGTTACGGACTATCTTGTTCATTCCTTTGTAAATAAGTATAAAAAACTATTTAATAACAGCTGCAAATCTTTATTATATTATTTATTGCCCTTAGCAGTCTTTGATGTGCATGACTCTAGTTAACAGTATTTGTTTTTTTTATACACATATAATTTTAAAGTAAATAGTAGTTTACTTAATGATAATCTAACTAACGACTTACGGAACTGACCCATAACAAACTAAAGACGCAACAAACAAAGTAATTTTAATGTAGATACGCAGTGAGTCAATTATAAAAACCAAGTAATTTTTCTATTCATCCTAATAATAATACGTCAGTAGCAGCTAATATAAGTGGTTAAATCTTTTGGGAAACTTTTTTATTATTAGCACGATAATCAAAAGTCCCATTTCAATAGCAGTTACCAAATAATACAACTATAACAATATAAACTTGATTCTGCATGAAAATTAATAGTTGAATAATGGAGCTATAAATATTTTTTAAAATGATTGATGAATGAGATAATAAAATTGACATATATGAAACAACTTAGAAAAGTTGATAACACTGAAAATGTTTAAAACTGGCCAGTTAGCACCATTGGATGTGAAAACTTATCTTTAATTTCAATTATAGAACTTTTTGGTCACCTAATGTTGTATATTGCATTCATTTGTTTTTGTGAATTGGCGGCAAATCTAAAACTCTTATTACAAGTGAAAGTGAAATTTTTCAATCTACTTATGATATATTATGACTTTTGTTGTGGGCTTACTCAAGAACACAGCTGTGATAGGCTGATATTAGCGTTCCTAATGAAGCCCCATGTATATACCTACCTATATATGTACCTGTCAAATATATATGTACCTGCATATGTACCTGTATATATATACCTGTCAAATATAATGAGTCATCTGCTACACAGTCCTGACCTAGCGCCCTGGGATTTTAATTTATTCCCAAGAATTAAAGAAAAATTCGAGATATTCGCTTTACGAGTCCTAAAAATGCGGAGAATGCGTACAAAAATGCCATAGACCCAGGAGGAAGATCGAGAGGCTCACTGCTTTTCTCAGTGATTCCATCGAATATGATCATGTGTAGAGAGACAATGCCACCATAATAAAAAAAAATATCTTTTTACCGCCATTAGGAGTTCAATGGGTTGAAAAGGATTTCATGAAATATTCTTGGAATACTCCGATCGCTTTCAATTATTAAGTATTGAGCTATTCTAGAATATTAACTTTAAGTAATTTATTGACTCCAATTGATTATAGAAGGAACAAGCTTCTTTGTCCATACAAAACAAAAGTCCGGTCTTGTGTGGAACACTTCTGTCACATCTTACCAGGCAGTTTCAAATGTCACATCTCTGCTTTGGCATCCGTGGAGTGGAGACTTACAGAAAGCCTTCCCAAAGACCACTTCTTTAGACCACAATTTAGTCACCCTTGAACACATGCGATTAAGGTGGCCAACCTAACCCACCCTAGATAATAGGACACATTTTGGAAAGTGTTTGCAGGATTTGTATGTTTAATTCTTGCATCCTCTTCTCATCATCGAAAAATCAGACGCTCAACGACACCACATTTAGTAGAAATTAAAAATAATAACTAAGTTTTAAAAAGGCAACTTGCAATGATTTGAGAAAAAAATACATAACATTTTTATCATTAGGTACTACAACTTTAACTTTCATCAGAAGCCATAGACGTAGCTAACTTGTAGGTAACCCTTTCTAATATTTAATAATGAACACATTTTAAAATCTTAATAATTCTACTAATATTATAATTGCGAAAGTTTGTGAGAGTGTGTATGTTTGTTACTTCTTCACGCTCAAACGGCTGAAAAGATTTTGATAAAATTTTGTATACTGGAAGCTGACGTCCAGAAATAACACATAGGCTACTTTACATCCCGGAAATCCGCCGGCAACACCGCGGGGCGCAGCTAGTTGTATATATTTCTGAGTCTTTTTACTGTCGCCAATAAAAGTTTTTTTATTTTTCATAACCATAGTAACATACATCCAGTAGTTACTGAAACATCGTAACGCAACATGTTAATTTTAATTGACGTTTGTATCTAATTCATGATCATAATTCGATAATATTTTTAAAAGATAAGTTCGTATGTATTAAACGTAATTTCATAATACTTCAAAATTACAATTAAGGAAGCCTCTTTATAAATAACAAATTAACTTAAACTACAGGTTTAACCTCTAACTAATCTTTTTGACTTTGAATAAAAAACTAATGCAAATTTGCAAAGAAAAAGTTTAGAATTTAAAAGATTATTTTTGGGTAATTAATAAAATTAGGTAATATTTTTATTAACTTTTCTATTGATACCAATTTACATATACATATATTTTTGTAAAACAGTAACCGTGTTATGATTTTACCGTACCTCACTTATTAAATTTTTAATGAAAGCTCAGGCCGTATACTAAACGAAGCAGGCTTCTCTATCTCACGACTTTTCAAATTCAACTTACCCTATATGTTGAATGTGATTGAAAATTGTCTAAAGTTTAATCTAGCTATTGAATTGCTATTTAAACTGTGCAGGAGAGCAAAAAATACTATGTTTTTGTCATTATCCATTTTCTATTTAAAATTTGAATAATCATATTAACAACACAAAATAAGTAAACAAAATTGTGTGAAAAAAAAAACAATTAATTCCAAGCTAATTATATGAAAAAGGCTCTAAAAAATAATTATGGTATTAAGTGGAAATTTATGTTTAATCTATGTTTACTGTAACTTTATAAAGAAATAGTTAATGCAGTTCTCATTTAAGACAAATAGTGTAATAGCATTACATTAACATTATTTTTTATTATTTTCTTGAGGTTAACAAAAAAAAAGTATTTAAATAATGATTAATTGTATTATTTCTATATTTCTGATTTTATTTACATCTTACTACAAACATATCAAAAACTATCAATTTTGGGGCTCAGGTATTTGTCATCACCCTTGAGTTTTCCTTCAGCTATTTGTCGGTCTCTCTCCCTCCTCATAGCCTGGAAACATAAAAGTGGATGAAATTATTTTATATGAGACATAAGAGGCCTTAATTTTATCAATGTATGCTAATTGTCGGCGACGCAGCTGATGTTTAGTTAATAATAGATTTAAGAGATAAGAAATGTAAGAAATAAGGAATTAGGTTAATATTTGTATTGTATAATTAATAAAAGGAAAGCGACTCTTGCAGGTGCGCAACACGTGTAAATAAAAATCCCTAATGAGCGTCTCTTGCAAAAGCGCAGTATACTATTGTCAAACTTAAGATAAACCTATTGACCAATAAACGAACGGCGGTAGGGTCACTTGGCGGGGGCGGGGCATCCGCGCTGGCTCACAGCGGTACTAGGTGCGCGCGCGCAACGTATATAAAACACGGCCGCTGTGAGTCGAATAGTTAGTAGTCATCAGTAGTCATCAGTCAGTTGCCATCAGTCAGTCAGTTGCCATCAGTCAGTCGTCATCACCAGTCGTCAGTAGTCAGTCAGTCGTCATCACCAGTCGTCAATAGTCAGTCAGTCGTCATCAGTCGTCATCAGTCGTCATCAGTCGTCGTCAGTCGTCATCAGTAGTCATCACCAGTCATCAGTTATCAATTGTCATCATCAGTAGTCACCAGCCAGATCTCGTGAAGACATCTCATACGCTTTGAAGAACAGTGAACAGTGAAGAATTGTCATCCGATCCGATCCACCCCTCAAGCGGCGAACGATTCCGAACTCGATATTCGGACATCCCAACCGCAACACTAATAATGTGTGTCATTTGACTAGAAGGTAGATAGAGATCAGAGTTTTACAAAAAATATATATATGTATATTAGAAACAAAAAGGTTAAAATCAATATAAAGAAGTGGATATAGCTGTAGTCACTAATATGTTGCCAATTTTTTATAGATTTGTATATCAAGACAAAAATATTTTTTTTAATTTTTGGAAAATTACAGTTTTTTTTTTATTTTTGATCATTGTCACTATGTCTGCCCGTTCATAGTGATCAAATATAATTGCAATGTCAGGAACATTTAGAAATATGTACAATAATAAAAAAATCATAGGTATCTGAAAACTTAGTTTCATTTAAATGTGTGGAAGCGAAAATCTTATATCTAAGATATCTCATTACTTTAAAAGAATGATATCTCATTACTTGAAAAGATCCAGTTAAGTTATACACTCATTTCAATAACATATAGTACCCTCACACCTATTAAGTATTTGAGAAATCTTTAATTTAAAAGCGATATAGTTTTATGTAAACATTGCAAAAAATACAAACCATAAATCTCTTAAATTGTTTAGTCTTGGTCTGACACTCGTGAAAGTCTTCAAATAAATTGGAGCACTTTACTCTACCACGATCCAGACCGTAGGCTTCCAGGCAGTCCATGAAACGCATCTCCTGCTTCTGACAGTCACCCAGCATTTGGTGGGAGACCAGCCCACCCGTTACATCCGTAACAGGGTTACGGAAAAATGGTGATATAGACATCTTGTTCTAAAAAGATTTTGTTTAGTGACAGAGGTTACGAATTACGTAAACAAATAATTTATGAAGCAGATTAATTTTTATTGTTATTGAAGTGTACCTTTATTCACTTTACTGATACCAATCAACTTTACTTGTTTAAGATAATTCTTCAAAATAAGAATTCTATAACGAAAAGTAAATTCTATTTTCAATTTGGTAAATTTGACATTTCTTAGTGTTGCAGTATACAAAAAGAAATTTTACATATAATTTGAACTAAAGATGTAGCTACGGTAAGATTTAGAATTATTTGGAAAGAATTGTTCATCAATTTAGAATAATGAATGTGTTTGACTTACAAAGTTATACGTGACTATTGCAAAAGGACCCGTAGCAGTATAAATTGTATTATATTTTATCTCTATTATAGTTATAATAAAGAAACATGAATATTGGTACTTAGCATATTTCACCAAACGCACTTTTTGTAGCTTATAACTCAATTTCTGTGAGGGGCTAAAACTACATATATAACTACTAAAGTCAGACTACCTCCACACATGAGCATATTAAAATTGGTGTACTACGAATGTTAAGAGTACATGTGAACTAAGTTCCGTTAAATAAGATATTGCGTTAACTACAATATTAATAAAATTAATTTGCATTATCATAACTGTGATTCTGATTTCTGAATGTACTGATATAACAATTCCTTACACATATAAAATAATGTCAGTCGTAAAAGTATTTTTTAAATCCCGACTAATAAATATTGATTATTTTATGCGATTGAAATATAATCAATCCTCTTGAATTATTTATGTATAAATTGTATGAAATCTAATAAATTTAAAACTTGGACTTTCTTTAACACTTTACAATATACTACCTAAGTTGTTAGTAAAAATCTAAGTTAAATTGTTATTTGTAAGATGTGGTGCTCTTCTAGGTTCTTTTTAAATTGAGTATAACTGTTATTTAAAGATTGCCATTATTATATAGACAAATTCTTTCGTGTTTTCTCCAATTTTACTCAAATTATAGTATTATTCATTCCAATGAGTTTGACATTTGAAAATATTTCACAATTGTAATATGAAGGAAGCCATACCATAATTTTGGAAAAAAAAAATCCTTATAAAATTTTGACATTTTCAAAATAATCCTGAAATCAGTGTTAATGAAGAAGTAGTTGAAATTTAAAAAATATATTTCCTTAACTACACGTACGATACTATGTATTAAGTATGTATTTAAAGGCTACATCATAAATTTTATTTGTAAGTTAAGTAGATATAAATGATTTTAATCGTTAAGTAGATATAAACGATTTAAATCGTTGAATTCAGTAAGTAGTGATTAGCAGGATACCTATTAGTAGGATACAAGATAACACGTTAATACAGTTTTTGGTGATCGACAAATATGTGTGACAATGATTTTAAAATAACACCAGCTTCGGTAGCTGTTAAAGTACAAAGTTCTATAAGTCAGGTTAGTAGACAAAACTCAATTGTTTTTTTTTTAATTACTTTTTAATGCATGATATATTAAAAATTGTTATGATTTCAGGACATTGTCAAGGAGCTGCTCAAAAGTTCTTTTCAAGATTCCCAAACAACACTGAGCTGCGAAGCTCTTAGCCTAGTGACAGAGATAGCTAAATTGCTTGTAATGGAAACTTGTTTAAGGGCAGCTGACTTGGCAAATTCTGGAAATGAGGACAACCAAGTCTGTTCAGTCATTAACACCAACCACATACTTAAATGTCTGCCTCAAATTGTAAGTAAAATTAATAATTAATAAATACACTAAAGTTTTACTTAAAGTTTCTACATTTGTAATGTTTTATCATGTTTCAGATGTTGGATTTCCCGTAGATGTTAAAGAATCAGTTTAATGATATTGTTTCACTGTGATTTTACCAAACACTTTAGCTAAGAAGTAATACCACTAAGATATCATATTGATACTTGTACAATTTACAGTAACACTAAGAAATTATATGTAAATGTAATTAGTTTTAAAATGTAAATAGTTGGTTTATATAAATGTGTTCTCTTATAAGTATTCCCATAGTCCCACCTCATTCATATCATTTATTTGGTTGAAACAATGATTACAAACTTTAGTCTCTATATTTTTATATCAAGTTAGATTACTTAGTTTAAGTTTTAATAGTCTTGAAATGTCTTTGGCTCTGATTATCTCTTGTTTTGTAAGTAATAATAATGTATTAATTTGTGAAATAATAAAAAAATTGGCTACATTACCCAGATGAAGGTAGTAATACTATGAACCTCAATAATAAACTATCAACAATATCCAACACTATGTTTCCATTCATCCATTTCAGAAAACTCGGTACCCACCCCAGATTCGCACAGGTTCAAAGAATAATATAAAATAGTCTATGTTATGTAGTATTGATATCAAGACAAAAAAGAAATAATAATCCAAAACACACACTTAAAAATAACTGAACTAAAAAATTTAAAATAATTTGCAATTACAAAGAAATCATTTTAGTTCAGAGTAAATAGCATGGGATGCTTGATATTGAATGTCACAATCATTCTAGTGACATTAATCATTAAAGCATATTCTGAGCTGTTATAGGAATGATGTGGTTCGTGAGGTTAATGGAGACTCGTCGCGACATTGTAGTACGATATCCCTTGTATCAAATTGTTCTCTAGCAATTACTACTGCTACTCAATTAACTTGGAATTTTTATAGGTTTGTATGTATGTTGTGTGAGTGTAACGTGTCTTGCAGACTTGACTAAAGACTTATGAAGTATTTTTGTTTATTGGAATTGCATTTAGTAGATGTATACATTTCTGAATTCGCGATAAAATGAATCTACAAAGATGTATGGTCGTCATTAGATTGATAGGGCAGAAGACTATCTCGTAGTGTTTCATGATCCAATTATTAATGAAAATTTGTCTGTTGATCATTTTTGTTACTTAGTATCGTATCAAACGAACTCTTTTGGCAGAAAATTTATAGCGTCCTAAATTAGAGCTTCGCCGATGCATTCATATATTATCAATTGATGGTATAATAAAATCTTAAGTTTGTGTTTATGCTCATCAGCAAAAAATATGTATCTGTAGTAATTAATTATATCTATATAGTAATATAATAATTAATATATAATTTGGTTGGTAACAGAATAATTTGTATAACAAAAAAAAAAATTGTAGATAGGTTAATGATAAGCTCTGGGCCCAGGTCAGTAGTATCTGAATATTTTAATACTTTTATACAAATTACAGCTCATTTGGTATGAAAGTGATGTTGTGAATAATATGAATATTAATCAATATACAAATTATTCATTTAAAAAAATAGCGCTTTATAAAAAACTTTATTATACAAATAGATCAGTGTCTGTGTAGACCACTCTATAACATTCAGAGGACCGTGCCACTCCTTGTTCACACAAATCATTATATAATCTTAAAACAAATGACATCAATCCAGCAGGCTACAGACCAAAGTAATAAATACACTTGAAAACAATGTGTTCCATGACACAAGCATGCTTCACACTAAGATCTAACAGGTGGCATGTAATAAATAAATAAAAAAGAATTACCGGCCATCCGATGATAAATCTCTTAATTTTTACATGTCACAGTGTATTTACAATAGATCACAATTTTCATCTATTTCGGATTCATTTTAAAATATATCAAATTAGGCTTATTTTATTTAGCACTTAGAATTTAGATAATCAACTGCCCATTTTACATAAGTAAAAATACTTAAATGAGCAGCCAATAAAATTAGAAATATCGAATAAATTATTATGCTATTGTAATCATACAATGACATTATCAAATATATTTATTAGACACCTTATACAATAATAACTATTATTGTCTACACTACCAGCTATCAGCTATAATACACAGCTCAAGTTTTGGAACCATCCAGATATGGTTTTGATTATAATAATATAGGCGGATATGAAATTGTAAGGATGCATTGGGTATGAGGTGTGACAACATTGAGTAAAACTGATAAGGACATGTTTAAAAACAGTTGAATCAATAATCATTAACAGAAGTGGAAAAACCTTATTACATAAAGAAACACATTCAGCAATCCACCAACAGTAGATTATTAGATGTCCATGTTAAATGCACCCTAATGCCCATAAATTATAATAAATATATTTATAAAAATATAAAGTACCAAAATTTCTGTAGCAGTCTACACTAAGTACAAAACAGTTCCTAAAACAATGAACTTAAACAATGTATAATTGTTGTACAAGAAGCTATTATTTTTTATTTAGAATATTGTGGTATTGATGTAAAGTATTCAAGAACTCTGAAAAATATAAAATTTTGATATGTAACTACAAACAGCAGCCAGGGCTTAAAGTTTGTAGTCCATTGAGATATTGAGATCACGGTAAGTTTTAATTTATAAGAACACCAAAATATATCCACCAGATTATTAGGAGACCATCACACAATAGGATACATCATAGAATTCAGCAATATACATTTTTATTTACAATACTTATCATAAAAAAAAATGAAACAGTTGTGTTCAAACACAATTTGTGGCTGTGTCAACTGTTAATAGTAGTCATTCTCATATCCATCTCATAATTGCTTTCTTTTGTAGAATTTTTATTTTTATATCACTAAAAGACATTTTAAACAGAATTTTACAGTTTATATATACTGATAGACTTCTAAGTCTTGGGTACTTTGAATTTATGACAAATAAAGCAATACAGTATTTCAAGGCAATATTAGAGTCTTGTAAACAGTAAAAGTTCACAGCCACATTTAAGATGCGGGGAATGCTAACAGACATAAACATTTATGTCGTATGCTAGCACGGATTCTTAAACGGAAATTAGGCTGAGAGCACCAGATTTCCAAATTTAGAACATGTCCATGTCGTCATTGCACATGACCTCTAAGAAGTCATCATCGTCGTACTGCTGTATCTCCCTGGAGGTCCGGTCAGGGAGGGGGGATCTGGGGCGTGGGGGGGAGGGAGGCTGTTCTATGTGTGAGTGACCGTCAGTATCGCTGGAACAGTCCCGGGCATCGGTCGCTGGTGAAGGCGGGGGATTGGAGCCGTGTTCTGATTGAACAGTAGCCTCACCTCGTGAAAGAAGAGACGGCAGTTCTGAATCTAAAAAAATATATTGTCACAATTACAAAGCACCAAGATTTCAGTGTAAGGAAGTCCATTACAAGTTACTATCACAGTGTGTTGCAATTTGTAATGTACAGAACTAGCCACTAACTTTAAAGTTTATAGAAACCAAAATCATTGTGAAAGGTACATAATCATTTTCATGTGTTTTTAAACTGATTTGTAATAAAATTTTGGTGATTTAAAGGAAGGTTATACTATACATGAAATATGTAGGTAGGTAAAATGAAAATTTTAAATGTATGTAACAATATATTAGTTACCTGTGAGACTTTGTTTTAATTGCTCCATAACTTTTTGGCGACTTCGAGCCCGTGTTTGTTTCAGCCTGCGTGCAGTATTTTTTCGATCCTCCGTAAATATTTGATTAATCATATCTTGAGATACATCATCATCCCGCTTCAATAAAAAGAAATATATGCCGCCCGGAGTACGTCTACGTGTCCCATTCTAAAGTTGGAAACAAACATATTAATAGCATTACAAATATAGAAGAGGTAGGAAAAGTGAGAACTTCCATATAAGCATCCTATTTTACATGTCTATTATGGTGTTTTCCACTATAAGGACACCTTGTTGTCTTCAAGGAAAATAGTTTAAATCAATAGAAACTTAAATTTTATCATTTGGTTACAATTGACTAGATATTGAAAAGGTTAAGTGTTACATTATGAATTTTGTGGATCTCCCAAAAACCCATCAAATATAAAAAGGCCAATAAGATACCAAGCTTTGCCTTATCTATTATGATAAACCTTAGATTCAACAATAAAGCATTTGATCAAATCCATAACATAAAACCAGGTATACACTATTCAGTTGATACTGAAAGTGAAATTAGAAAACTAAACCCTTTTAACCATGACTATATTGTTATTACAAAAAAAGCAATTTAGGAACTGTTAAATACATAACCCTACTTTTTATAAGATATACATTAATATACATATTTAGGATAAAATACATAAGCAAAGAAATTTTTCTAGTCAAAATAATCACTCAGTAAAATTAATAGCAGTCTTTGCCAAATCTTAAATGTTAAAATTATGTAAAAAATAAAGAACAAAACACTTTAAGGCCATGAACAAAAAGAATGAATAGAGATTTGTAGAAGATAATTTATGTAGTGGAAATTGCAAAATAAAGAAAACTATACATTAATATTCAAAACAACTTACCATTACAAGCATACCTCCGTCAGCTTCAATTCTTTGGGTCTCCTTGTATATTTCTATAGCTTTCTTAGCACCAAGCACTTCCACTATCCTACCTACAAACACACACAAAGGTATTTACTACACATAAACAAGTACAAAAACATCTACTATATATATACAGTAAGTATACATATAATTTCATATAACAACTAATTAATTTAAACAATCAATTTTAAATTTTAGATCTATAAGGTACAGTCAATTTATTATCTTAGTGATATTTATTAATAAAAAGTCTTGGAATGTAATTTGAGGAAGTTTGTCTTGTAATACTTACCAACTAATTCAGTTTTTTCTTCTGACAATTTCTCTGCTATATCCAGAGCAATTTGCTCTATAGGATGTTCCGATGTCACACACAAATCTGTCAAAATCCTTGGATTTTGTTTACTTTCCGATGGCTGTTCACTATTTGTTCTTTTTCCAAGCCTCAGTTTAACATTAGAACGGTCAGAATAACTTCTTTTATTGGTAGAGTGTTCCTTATTGCTATGTTTATGATTATTGGTAAATACTTTTTTGGAAATATAGTGGTCATCTAATCTATACTTAATAGTGTAATCATAAGATTCAACGCCATATCTACTTTTCTTTGACACATCACAGCTAACCATATCTTCTGTTAAAATATCTTCCTGTAATACAAAAAAAAAAGTTGCTTCTATATGTATATACTAGTACTGTCTGTAAAATTTATGTGCCAGATATTTAACATAACATTGTACTACATTTTACAGTTATATATCTTATTTTCGTAATAAAAAACGAGTTAATTACCTCCAATGCTTTGCACCAAATATTATATTTATCTTTTTTAGTAGTGTGGGCCTGCTGTTGAGGTCTTTTGGGACGCAGCTTAGTACGTTTAGCACGTCGTCGCGGTTCATCGTCCGACTCTGAACCTGACGATTCTTGGACTGAATCCTCATCACTCTGCTCGTCCTGAATTTGCATGTTTACGAGCGACGGAAGTTTAATAGCATCAGGCCTCGGAAGTGGAACATACGTACCGTATTCTACGTCGGAATCTTCTAACTGTAACACAGAATAATAGGGTGTCACCCATTTCTTTGTCTTTAAAACAAACCATTAATGGACCTTTCTCAGAATAAAACCCTTAGAAAATATAGTAGTTCGTTAATGAGTTATATTAAAGAGAACAAATTAATGTTACAAATCACAAAAGTTTCCTTCAGAAACGATAGTCAAAACTTAATGATCTAACCTCGCCCTCTTCTAATTCATCCAATTCTGCGACATCCAGTTCTCCTTCTGTTGTTGACATCATCATAACAAAGGCTTCTAAGTAAAGCTAAATAATAATTGCACATGAAAGTATTTTACTAAATGCAATAATTCCGCCTTAAAATCGCTGTTGCTAGTTTTTAATGCAACTGTCATTTATAATATATATAGAGAATGTAAAGAACTGTCAAAAATAATTGAGACCCATTACTCGATTTTAAATCGATAATTGAAATATAATTTACATTATTTTGCAAGGTTTATCAACGCAAACTTGTTGTAATAAATCGTTCTCAAATTTTATTCATCTATACATATTAAGATACAAAATTAAGATGAACATAATACTCTATTCTGCTAGTTTCTTAAATTGTCAAAATATGTCAGAAAGTGTTTTGCACATAAAACGATTTTGTGTCAGGAAAATTAATAATGTATATATTTTTGAATATGTAAATTACACTATTATACACAAGTCTTCGAGAAATTTGATTATACCTTTTCATTTTCATTTAATACATTATTATTTACAAAATAATAATATCCTATTTTTAAATAATGAACAGCCAAAATATCACTCTACTATACTAGTCAAAATATAAAGCATTGTTATTTTATCTTATATTTATTACAGAGATTTTGTTTTTACATATTCTATTGAATAATTTTCAGGGCCGCATTCGAAGCAGTCAGCAGGATTGCTTTACCAACTGTAAATGAAGATGAAGTTATAGACGTACGATATGCAACGTTACCACCTGAGCGAGCTTTATTAAATGATTATAATCCAGCTGACCACCGAAACCCTGTAAATCCAATTAAGTAAATAATAAGGCATTTTCTTACTGTACTCATTTACAAAAAGTACATATTTATTTTCATTATTATATACTCCGCATAAAATAATTTCCTTAAATCTAAACTCAGACGTACATGTGAATCACTGGTAAACAATTAATTTTCCTATTTAGTCATATTTTTTAAATAAATTATTAGACCATTGTTATTTCAACTACAAAGTATTTTTTTCACCAACACAATATGTTACAGTTACGATTTTTTACGCACTTTGTTGGACATAGAAAGGTCATAGCTTTTATAAGTGTTCAATGTTCATTGTTGTTTAAAATTATGGATTTTGTTGTTGAAGAAAGTAAAATAACATATAAAGGTTTATTAATACATTATCACATTTTAAAGGTTATGGATGGCCCATTTTAATCTTTTAAGAACATTTTTTGGTGCTGGTATCCTCGGCCTACCGTTAGCAGTCAGTCAAGCTGGTATCATACTTGGCCCAATAATGACGATGTCTTTAGGATTTTTAATAATGCATATGCATGCCACATTGGTAATTAATATATTAAATTTTAATTCAGTTTCCTTCAAATTCACATTTACGAATTATTATCAAATTCGTCTATTTGAGCGTTAATATTAATATTTCCTAAACACAAACTGTAGATATTTCATTTTCCAGTTGTGGTGTCTCAATGATATTTGTCGTCAGTTAAAAATCCCCCACATATCATATAGATATGGATTTCGTATTGCACTACTTCATGGACCGAGTATTTGTCGCAAAATAGGCCGTTTTGGCCCGTAAGTCGTAATTTGTTTTTACACCTTTTATATTTAATATGTTTACAATTAATAAAAGAAAGAAATGATATTTAATGGAATCACCAAAATTGAATTTACTAATTATAATCATTATATTAATTTGTATTTTTAGTACTATTATAGCAATATTTATGTTGCTGAGCCAACTTGGAATATGTACTGTGTTTGTAATATTCACAACGGACAGCTTAAGAGATGTAAGTTTTGTATATTTGACTTCATTTATAACTTATTCTAAGTGTATGAGAAAATAAGTATGATTTTTTTTGTTTTTAGATAATGGACTGGCCGACGTCTAGACCGGCGATGGCTGTGTTATTTGTGCCTTATCTTTTTTTAGAACATTTTATGAAAACTTTATCAATCATCAGTTATATATCTATGATGGGTAATTTCTTAATGACGTAACTGTGAGAAATCTTATTTGTAGGTATTTAATTATTTGTTATTGTTTTTCCAGGAACCTTATTTAATTTTGTCGGATTGATTTTTGTATTATATCACATATTCCTTTGTCCTCACGGCGTTCTCATTTATGCGACGAAAGATTACTTGAATTTCTTCTTTGTTATTGGCACTTGCTTGTTTAACTTGAGCGCAGTGGGAGTGGTAATTCAGTGAAGTAATTTTATTATTGCTAAGCATTAGCTTTAACGATAAGTAAACATGTGCCCGAATACTGCGTTTGAACTGAAAATAAAACAGTCCAACTATGTGTTAGGCTTTAGATATAAAAGTAATTTCAATCGAATAGTAATAATTAGGCAAGTTTGATAACAAGAAAAGATAAAAAATTAAAGGTTGGATCAAACCATAGCGGTATTTTTATAAAATTTTGATCTTTACATTAGTACAAAAGACAAAATGTCTGATCATGATTTCAAACTAAGTAAGTAATTATGCTTTTTCAAGTGCTATTCGTAAAAAACACTAATGTAAATACCTACATGAGCTGTTTGTCTATCTGTGTTTAAGAGCCATTTTTAAAACGACTTAAAGGATTTCAAACGGGTCATTTACAAAATTCGAAATATATTTTAGCAACACTTAAATATTTGTGTTGTTATATACTTATTCAATTTCATCAGGTCCTGTCACTTGATAAAGCTTTAAAAGACCCGAGCGTTTTGACGAAAACTTTCGGAGTGATCAGATTCGAGATGGCCATCATAACGGTAATATTAACGATTTTTGGAGCTTTGGGCTACTGGTCTTTCGGTACTATGGAGGAGAACGTGCTGAGGTCTCTGCCGTTTGACGATGAGTAAGAATTTTATTACAAAATACAAATTTACTTAATAATAAATCTGGTATGAATTTTTAAGAACGACGTCAGCGAACGTCCATATAAAATCTATGTGGTATATTGCTTTTATACTTTAAAGGGTACCTCTAAAATCTAAATGATCACACTACATTAAATTTGTTTTCAGTACAGCAATGGTAGCAATAGGAATATATTTAGTGTCGATAGCATTCGCTTATCCCATACAATGCTATCCAGCGATTCAAATAGTAATTGAGATTATAAAGAACAGGGATGTTCCCGACCCTCCATCGAACACGACGTTGAAGAAAATTGAGTGTATAGCAAGACCAATTTTCGTCATAGCCACTTGTACGTGAATGCATTTAATATGTTTTCTGTTATATGACTGAAGCTTTTTCAAAAGTATACAATGCTTCGACATTTAATGTTATTCACTGTATTAATTTATCATTGATTCCAGCCTGGTATTTACTGTCCAAAGAGTCCTTTTACAGTTAGCAAAACTTATATATAGATCTAAAAACTTTGAATTCTTACTCTATAAGTGAAGAAAATTAATTTTAGTTTATTTTTTTCAGTTATCGTGTGTTATTTCATACCAATACAAGGTGCGTTCGTGGCTTTTGTGGGAAACCTCTGCACTACTTTAATAGCTTTAGTATTTCCGGCTCTTATGGAAGCTTGTATTTTATACCCGGATCAATTTGGAAAATATAACATATATTTAATAAAGGACATCATTATAATAATATTCGGCCTCACTGCATGGTTGTTGGGAGTTGCTTTGTGCGGTGATCTCATTTACGTTAGAATCCGTACTATGGATGCTATCAACAATTATTTGGAGTATTAGAAGCTTTACCTACTTGTTTTATATAAATAAAAGTTGAATCTTTAAGGCATATTTTGATTGTTTCATTAATTATGAATTATTCAATTATATTTCTTCATTCATACACCGTCAGTACTATAAAGATATTGTTTTTCGTAACAGCTAAAATTGCTGTTACTGTCTACAAGAAGTCGCTCTGAGTTCAAACGTCAAAGGGCTCAACCCTTTTCATTAAAGACGAGTCAATATAAATTATAAACCTTTTTTGAACATTGTTGCCAATACTAAAATATGTATATGACGTATGGATTAAAATAATTAATGTGTAATAAAATCACATGATCATTATTAACATTTTTGTGATTCAAATCAACACCTTCTACAAATGTACTATAACAACTATACTACACAACAACCTTTCCATTAACCGATTGATACTTAAAAAAAAACCGTTTAAAAAGAGAAATTACCTGCTGGTTTCCATCCACACTTATATCTCGTGAATGAAATGGTTAAATTTAAAAGTATTCAATAGAACTTAGAAGACTTAATAATTGCCAGACTCAAATGTTTCTCGAAAAATATTCAATATTCTTTCCAAATTAGATAATTTATTTAAATAATAGAAAAATATATACTTTGACTATTTTGTACATAGAAATTCTTTCAAAACCCCCTAGAAAGTAGTTTCCGTTGTCTTCTGACATAAAACTTTATTTTTTTACTGTCATGTTTATAGAAACGTTTTATTTATTATTATGAAATCATAAAAGTGACAACTATATAAAATAAATAGATTGTAATTCTAAACTATCCAGTTACTTTACTAAAGTAATTGTTTCAAATAGTGGCTAAATAAAATGTAAAAAATCTAAAATGATTCCAATAATAAACAAGAGAGATTTACTAAAACAAAGCAAACATGTACGTTCGTAGAGTAATTACTTTATTTACGATACAAGTAATATATTTAACTGTAGCACAACCCCCGTAAGTTAAATTACATCTGTCTTATACCTTATTAATAAAATAAATAAGAAAATTTGCAAGTAATTTTCATTTACAGGACGAAATTGCCATTATGGAGTTGGGACTGTGTCGATGATAAATGCGTTCCAGTCAAGGCATCCATGAACGGAAAACTGCAGTCATTAATGACCTGTAACATGCTATGTTCGTCCATGCAACTCTGGCCGCAGCCTACTGGTGCTGTAAGTTTAGCAACCACAGCTGTGCCAGTGAGAGCTGACCTCTTCAAACTTAAAATTACGTCATTCACATCAAAACCCGTAAGAGATTATATACGAAAGGCCTTTACACTTTTCCGTAAAGAGTTACGTACGAATGAAAGGAACATTCGCGCATTTGAAGATTGGAGATCAGTTATTGTACGTGTTGTAATTAATGAAAATGGAAGTGCTGATCCTCGCATGCTTATCAACACTGACGAGAGCTATCAGTTGAGGCTATACCCAAAAGTAGATTCAGCTGAGACTATTGTTGTTGATATATTTTCACACTCATTTTGTGGAGCTCGACATGCCATGGAAACATTATCGCAGCTTATATGGCTCGATCCCTACGCAGGTTCTTTGTTAATGATTGTAGCAGCAACAGTAGACGACGCTCCACGATTTCGCTATCGAGGACTTTTATTAGATACTGCCCGTAACTTTTTTCCCGTCAATGAAATAATAAAGACAATCGACGCTATGGCCGCTTCGAAGCTCAATACATTTCACTGGCATGCAACAGATTCCCAAGCTTTTTCTTTACTATTCGATAGTGTGCCTCAATTGGCTCAGTATGGTGCTTATGGCCACAGTACGATATATTCTCCTGCAGATGTGAGAGCAATTGTAAACCGCGCAAGATTACGCGGTATTCGTGTGCTTATAGAAGTAGATTTACCTGGACATGTTGGTAGTGCTTGGGATTGGGGCGAACAAATGGACGTTAAAGAGTTAGCTCATTGTATTCGGTCCGAGCCTTGGATCGCTTATTGTCAGGAACCTCCTTGTGGTCAGATAAATCCACGCAATGATCATGTTTACGACCTCATAGAACGAATTTACACTGAAATTATTAATCTTACAGGTGTTGATGATATATTTCACATCGGAGGTGACGACATTTCTGAACGATGTTGGCTCGACCATTTTGGTGATACTGATCCAATGGTCTTATGGGCTGATTTCACTCAAAACATATTAAAACGCCTGGAGGCCGTCAATGGACAGTTACCAAATTTAACCATAATGTGGTCATCGCAATTTTCAGATCGAATGAAAACAGATCTAAAATTTTTCGTTCATAAGTTAGGCCTCCAGGTGCGCAGCGTCGCTTGGTCTCCTAAGTACGTTTCTGGCATTCGGACTATCGTGTCTCATGAGGATGTGTGGGACTTGAACAATGGCTACGGTGCCTGGCATGGAGATACCGAAGGTCCACCCTATAACTCGTGGCAAAGAATATATGAACATCGGCCCTGGGCTAGAAAGCCTATTAGTTGTATGGAAGGAGGTGAAGCAACAGTTTGGTCCTCGACATTAAGCACAGGTTCTTTGGATTCACAAATATGGCCTCGGGCTGCTGCATTAGCAGAAAGATTATGGTCAGACCGCGCTGAAGCTGCCACAAGATTAGTTCACGCTAGACTGGATGTTCATCGGACACGTTTGGTCGAACGAGGTATACGTGCAGCTCCTATGTGGTCTATGTGGTGTACTCATAACATAAATACATGTTGAAAATTTGACATTATTATTTTGAAAGAGACAACCCTAAATAGAGGAAACGGCAATGACGTATGAATGTAATCTTGCGTTCAAGACGTATTTCCTGTATTGTGTAACATTCAAAATAATAAATCGATAGGATTGTAATTAAATTTCTAGAAGATATGAATCATTTAAATATGTTTTTATTATATTTTAAGTATATAAATTTCTTTTAAACTCTTATCATAATTATTCTTAAACGATAGTATAAATTATTGCTAGTGATAATGTTTACTATTCGATTCTTTTAAATATTTTATTTAAAATGTAAATAAAAATAGTTTGTGGTGTACATGCCCTTAAATAAAAATATAAAAGTTTTAAATTAAAGATTTGTGAATAGCTTGAAAATATTTCAAGTAAATAGATAGACATAAACTATTCTACTTTATTACCAACTGACGTATTCCATTTCTTCGTAATCTTACTATATATGGTGAATAAATCTCTTCTGAATTTTTAATGTGATATACTTGTTTTTAAGTGACAAAAGGCATTGAAAGGTGCATTACTATGGTTCATTGTTACTTCCGAAGTTCCGAATATAATGATGGCATACTAAGTCAAAAATATAGGTATAAAATGAATTAAGGATTCATACAACTACACTCTGGAGCGCATAATTAAATAACAAATTTAAAATACGATGAAGAACTTTATCTTAGGTTGGATTTAGCATTAATTGTGAAATATTTATTCAGTTATCAAAAGAATGGGGCACCAAATTACTCAATTTCATATCAAAAGCATTTGCATTTATAAAGATTTTATATTTCACTATAGTGTATGATATTTTTTTATACATATTTTACAATAGTTTATTGAAAAAAGCGGAAAATAAAATATATAGAAGGTTGAAAAGATCTTTAATTAAAAAATCTGTAATAAAAAAGATAGGTGCAGCAATAAACAAATAATAATCAGAAAAATCCATTTCATGTATCTATATAGTTTATAAATTACAAATGAGGTAAAATGACCATCTTGTTGATAGAAATAGACGTGGGTTAAGAGTCGTGAACATTAGAAGTATTCTAATTATCATGTTTTGTCACTAATGTTCTATTTAAGTTTACGTTCACTTTATAATATTGTTTATAATATATAATTTTTCTTACTATGCTTTGTACAACCCTAATAAAAAGGAAAAGGATGTGATGTCTTCAACTCTATTGTTTCTGGTCGTGCTCTCCAAAGTTGTATTGTATTTCTTATAATTCTAGGTGCAAACTTTGTAATATACTTCTGACATCGGTGGTTTTACATGCGGAATGTCCTTTTGAATACACTGATTATTGATATGTATATATTTCTGTGATTATTTATTTAAATAATAAACGGTTTACTACGGAGTGAAGGCGGGCACAGAGAAGCCAATGTGTTGTCTATGCCCAACCAATGTGGCGAATTGCAGGCTGACCAACAAGCGTCAAGTGATGGCGTTTTGTGATGAACATTTATAAATGGTTTAGACGTTTAAATAAATAACAGAGTGAAATTGTAACATAAATTTATCATGAGTAGATATTACGATTACGGTAACGCGATATCATGGTGAGTACTATTCAAAGTTTTGATTGACATCCATATTGTTTTAAATTTTGTGTACGTTTTATTCTTCTTTATTAATTAAGAATCAGTTTGGTACTCTAATAACTATTTAATAAAAAATATAATTGCTTAAACTCATCTAAGCCATTAACTGTAGAATATTTTTAATGTGCCGGTGACCCAACGTGTTCCTCAAATCATGGATATTCGGTTCAGTTTTTGTAAATAATTTTGATATATTTTTTAATGTTCCTGTATTATTGTTACATTTAACAATAATCGAGGAGATTGTGCTGTTATTTTTATTTATTATTATTTTTGCATAGTACGAAATTCATTGTTATTAAAATATGAAAGCGACTTTTGCGTCAACTTAACTGCAATATTTAATTTCCTGTATATTCATTTTGTTAAAACAATAATGGATCCTTAGACGTAGGTGTTGACTAGAAATAGAAGTAATTGATTATAAATAATAATCAAGTTGTAATACTAAGAAAGGATTTATCAAATTTGGGAATTTTAGTTTCAATAACCACCATTTCAAAATATTTCTTTGAAATTTAGGTAAATTATATAGCTTAGGCAACAGTTATAAATATGCTTTTTATAATTTCCATACAGTAGCAAATTTATATGTTATTATTAAAAATCTTTATCACATAGTTAAATCTTACATAGAGACCTTCTTTTATTTTTAGTATTAGAGTTGTGTAGTCAATTTTAATTTAATAATACATTTATAGAAACTAACCGTCTGACCATTGAATATTGATATATTTACATATTTTAGTTATTATATTGTCATTTAAAGATCATTTTCTGCTTCATAACATTAAAACCATTTAATGTTTGTAGTTCAGTATCTACCTTACAAAGTGGTGGTCCTACCCCGCAGTAAATGTTCTTTGATATGATAATAACTATATATTCAACATCTGGAAAATTTCCTTGACAGGATGTCCATCTTATTTCTCTTACTGCTCAGTTCCTGTCCTCCCAAAGCTCTCAGTATCTAAGAATCTTTAATATTTTTATTATACTTTTTCTCCCTAGCAATGCTTCACAGCTGCAGTGGAATAATTGATATATTAAAATAATGGGACCACCAGCCTTGTCTCAAGGTTTTCTTCGATTTGAAGGTTTGCCTAGTAGACTGCTGTAAGACATGTTTTAACCATTGTAGACCTAATGGGTAATTATTCAATTGCAGATGTTCTCTACCTCCCCCTGTCCCGTAAATTCCAGTTGTGGTAAGAGAAATAAGGATGTGAATCGGTTTCCCTTTAGCCATGAAATTTTCCAGAATCATCTTAATAGGTTGCTAGCAGTTTCATAGTTTGTTTCCGTCCATTCATGGACTCCTGAATTTCAGTTGACATGAAACAGTCGAACGTCAACAATGGTTAAAACACGTTCTTCAGCGAGGGTAGTGAATGCTGCCCAGGGCGAGGCCACCGCAAATGGAAACTCTACCGATCTTAGACAACGGCTAAAAGCCTGTGACAATAGACCACGTCAGCAAAAAAGCTACAGCTCTAGGCAAGTGTCACATACAGAATGTCCAGACTGGCTGCAGCTGTCAGCATGGCTATAGTCCATAAACAAGTCATCAAGCTAGGGTTGTTATCAGTACTATGACATTGTATTGATTCATTGACATGTATTAACAAGTTATACTAATGACTCAATAGAATGTTACAGTTTTATGTAAACCTTATTCAATGCGTGCATACTGAGAGACTTAGTCGAATTTATTAGCAAAAGTATAAGCTATTTAAAATTAGTCATGTGTCTGACGATTACTAATAAAAGTTTGTATTAAATATAAGAAAGATAGATGCATGCATCGCTTGTGGTGTGGGTCTGTGGGTTCGATGATTGTAATGCATGAGGATATGTCAATAAAGAACTGAGAAAGATTTAACATGGTATATGTAAAGGGTGTATTGTCTCAGGAACAGTCAAGCGTTGTCATCGGGCGGGCCCGGCAGCGCTCAGGGCAAGGATCCGTTGGCCCCGGCGATATCTGGCTCAAGAGCCATGTACCAACATCCGGCTGTCAGCGGATACAACCCACAAGACTCGCGCTCACAGAACATGCCCGGCACGGTGAGTCCTTCGGGCACCACACACTATCTACAAAACATACATTTATCATCATCAGCCTATCAGAGCCCACTGCTGAGCAAAGGCCTCTTTCTCACATGGAAAAGGTTTGAGCATTAATCACCATGCTTGCTCAGGACAGGTTGGTGATTTCAAGCTTATAATTGTGAAACTATAAGTCCAGGTTTCCTCACGATGTTTTCCTTCACCGTAGATTTATAAACATACATTTATAGACAACAATAAACGTTACTGTATGACATGTTACAAAGTCTATTGCACGTACATTGCTGTGTTAAACCGTAAGCACGGTGCAGGCGCGGCAGAACCCTTTGTACGCGAGCAGTATGTACCACTACAGCGGCTCGGGCGCCACGCTCGCCCCTATGCCGTCCCCGTCACCCACCGCGCCACTGCCGCCCTTCCCCGTGCATCCTGACGTCAAGTTTAAAAAGTATGTACTTATTATATATAACTAAATTTTGCATAAAAAAGGATAATTTATAATTAAGCCGACAATCTATGTTTATAAAGTCCATACTCAGTAAAAAGCTTTTAAGTACTGGTAGTGTAAAGAAAATATATTATTTTTTTAAGATTACCGTTCTACGACGTGTTGGCGGAACTGATGAAGCCGTCTACAATGATGCCGATGCAAGCTGGTCGCATGCAGGAGGGCACCTTCATCTTCCACCTCACGCCGCAGCAGGCCACTGAGATAGCATCAGGGAAAGACATCGTTGGAGCCAGCAATAAACTCGATTATGTTATACAAGTAAGTCTGTGTGAACATCCTTGTGTCATACTCATGAGAAAGGCTATGGCGACATTATGCGTAAAGATCCGTAGTATAATTTAGGTTTAAAAATATTAGCCTTGTACGAAAGCGAGTCTCACAGAGAATAATTGTAAATTTGTCATGATTCTGTAACTGGTAACAGTTCTGTTTATGTTGGATACCTAATACTGTCAAGTTATATGGAAAGGTAGAAAGAACATCTGGCTCCTTCTATCGATTCTTATTTTTTACATTATGACTTATATCATGACCTATATCATGATTTTTTATATTATGACTTATATCATGACCTCTCAAATATTGAAATATCTTATCGTATGTATTTGGAAGCGTGATTTCTTAAAATTTGACTATAGTGTGCATTTTTATTCCCGCAGGCGCAGTTGAGGTTCTGCCTTCTAGAAACTTCATGCGAACAAGAGGATTATTTCCCACCTAGTGTTAATGTTAAAGTTAATAATAAGATGTGTCCGTTACCAGTGAGTATTAAAATATTATTTATATAATGAATAACAAATAAATTATTAATTGATTTCAATATGAATTTATAGAACCCAGTACCTACTAATAAACCTACTCCGGAGCCAAAGCGGCCGCCGCGGCCTGTGAATATATCGTCTCTTGTGAAGTTGTCGCCGACAGTAGCTAACACTATACACGTGACGTGGGCAGCTGACTTTACTAGGGCGTACGTACTCAGCGTGTTCATGGTGAGGAAGTTAACGTCCGCGGAACTGCTGCAGAGACTCAAGAACAAGGGAACCAAGAACCCTGACTACACGAGATCGTTGAGTGAGTTGATTCTTCTTCTACCTAGCAATTTCCTAGCTTTAGCCAGTGTCTGCCTATCAACTTGATTATCAACATATATATATTCGTATATCATGAATGATACATGCCATATAGTAGGTATGAACTGAATTAACCACAGATGAAAATTGTATTGGATTAAAATATAAAATGTATATATATCAAACCTGGTGGTTAAAAACTAATTTTGCCAACCTTATAACCCTTGCAGGACAAATTTTAATATTGTTTTTACTTATATTTGATATTTGTATAAATGTAATCAAACAAAAAAGTATTCAAGGAATGAACGACCCTAGTGATTGCATCATTATTTATATTATACATACATAAGGTAGCTCCAGCCAAGCTTATAGAATTCACGAAAACGTTTCTTTATTATGTAATACATATATGTTTTAAACATATTTCGTTTAACCCACAGTTAAGGAGAAATTATCAGAGGACTATGACAGTGAGATAGCAACCACATCTCTACGCGTGTCTTTAATGTGTCCTCTCGGGAAGATGCGTATGTCGTGTCCGTGTCGACCTGCCAACTGTCCACACTTGCAATGCTTCGACGCATCACTCTTTCTTCAGATGAACGAGCGGAAACCCACCTGGCTGTGTCCCGTCTGTGACCGACCAGCGCCTTATGACTCACTAGTCGTTGATGGGTAGGAAATAAATATGTACTGTCCAATAATGTTACTTAGAGATATTGACCATAAGACAATCAGCTTAGATAATACTTTTGTTTTTATGATATTTATAAAAAAGATCGAAAAAACATCATGCATCGATTGTCATTTAATGAGTGTATTGAGTAATTATAATTAAAAAGAGTAGCTTTAATTTGAAAAATAGTTGATAGTCTTACGTTCTTATATGAAGCTTTAATTTTACATCAAAACATTAAATAAATGAATATATAACTATAAAATTAATAAAAAGACTGTAAAACACTAGTTCATATGAATATCTTTTTCTCTTACTGTTCAGGTACTTCCAAGAGGTTCTAACATCTCCTCGCCTGGCCAGCGAGTGTAACGAGATCCAGCTCCACGCGGACGGCAGCTGGTCTGCGCACGCGCCGCCGCCCCGCGCCCCGCCACCCGCCGCGCCCGCCGCCGAGCCCGTCACACTTATATCAGACGACCTTGGTTAGAACTAGACATAAACAATCATTACTATTATGTAATAATCATCAGCCTATCAGAGCCCACTGCTGAGAAAAAGCCTCTTCTCACATGGAGAAGGTTTGAGCATTAACCACCATGCTTGCTCAAGACGGGTTGGTGATTTCAAACTTATAATTGTGAAACTTTAAGTCCAGGTTTCCTTCACCGTATGTCAGCGGTGTCTAAATACTCTCAGAAAGTACATATGACTCCGAAATATCACATTGGTACTTGCCAGGTTTGATCCCGCGCCCTCGGCAACGAGAGGTGGGCCCTTTAACCACTAGACCACCACTGACTTATGTACTATATTGAATAGTAATTAAAATTAAAAATAATAATATTAGTCCTTTACTCAAGAGGAATTTGTAATGCTACTTCCATCAAGATAGCGTTAAACGTTTAACTGAGAGGTTATCGTTGAATAGAACCAGTGATCTTTCTGCGACCGCTGATTCTTATAGAATTAATGTGGCAGATAAAGAATATTGTTATTGAAATTGTTGATGAAATCAGACGATGAATACCAGATAGAGTATAGTATCTAGCCCGTCAAAAGGTCAAACTTTACAATGATTCAAAGTAATTGATTAGCTAGCTGTAATTCCATGAATTTTGACGGTAGGATTTACTACCACTCTTCAATCACTTGTAGTAAAACATCTAAAATCTGTTGGGACATACGCAAAAGACTGCTGGGTCATCTATTTATCCACAACGACAGCTGGCTCCTTGAAGAGCAGTGGTATTGGTTTAGGAAAACCAACAAGGAAGAAAATAGCCTCAGGCTATCAGCGACATTATGGAACAAGGACAAAGCTCGATGAGAATCTACGAGGGCCGAAAAAACCAACAACGGTTTAATAGAGATTGTTACCGGAATATTGGTTACGAAAATACAAGGAAAAATTCGCAAATACCATGTACGTAATAGGAATACTACAACCATAGGCATAAGAAAACTCGTAACTGGTAACGACAACAATATTGGTTAAAAAAGATTTGAGAAGGCTCTATTCAGTTATTGGTCAAGAAATTCTGAACAGAATGTTACCAAATGTTTCCAAAGTATCTAATTCTGTGCAACATGTTTTCAGTTAGTTTAACATAACGAAGTAGCAGGTTAAGCAATTTATAATGGTTTCAAAAATATTAAAAGTACAAAAATTTCACCACCATTAAACATTTCATGAGGAAATTTAGTCACACCTTATCAAATGAAAACGATTGAAAGGGTACAATATATGTCTCCTATTTTGACAAATTAGTTAACACGCTAATGACTCTCCTACAAAACAAAGGCCCTATGGCCTTTGGGAAAATATAAAGTGATAGATTTTTAAAGGAATCGAATTTTAACATCGTGGAAGTCCACACGCTCATATTTTACTCTGCTTGAAATGTCAAGAAGTCTATTAGGCGATGACGAAGAAGATAGATCGATTGATGGCTTAATCTCAATATTAATCACACAAGTTTCAGGTAACATTAAGCTACAGACACATAAATACACGTTTATGTGTTATAAGAAGGATCGGGTAATTAGCCACAGAGACGTCGATTCGAAGTACCTCTCTTAGCTTTACGATCTATGCAAATATGGATAAATAACCAAGAAAGAAAGAAAAACCACCCATTAAAACGTGAACCATCAGAGAAGTGGTATAATCCATACCCAATATGTTGAAATTGGACATGATTTTGCAGTTTATATTGGGCAATTATTCGTGTATAATGTACGTAATAAACTACGTCAATAAATCAGACCGCAATTTGCAGATACCTGAATTACCTGATTTGCAGATATCTTGAGATACCTGAAAATTATCTTGATTTGTTGTGGTTGAAATCACGATAAAAATGTTCGTGGAGTTATTGCATTCTTTGAAAATTTGTGGCCAAGAAGCAGCTGGATAAATCGATGTCAGATGCATCGAGTTCGATAAACCTATTCTGTCATCATGGCCTGTCGATCAATAAAAAGTGGAAAAAGTATGCACGGAATTGGCAGACAAAATAAAATAAACAAAACTTGTAAAAGGCTAGATGTAAATGTAATTGAAAAGAATAATTAATAAAAATGTTGAAAAAACTATACAAAAGCAGTATAAACCGGTTCCAACATAGAAAAGCACGCACAAATTTTACATCACGTCTACGCTATCCGTGTGCATTTACACAAATGTAAAGCCCAGCTTATGCCTAGCGCAGTACACGATCTCTTATAATCGCTAATAATCTCAATCCTTTTGGTGTCCGGATCAGTCGACAAAATGCTACAAATTATCTTAATAGACAAAAGAAGTATCTCAGTTAAGAGATTTCACTTTCCACTCGGACCAGTCTGTGGATTGAGGATTTATAGGTCACAAGGGAAACTATTAGTGAGGTGGTTTGTTTTTATGAAAAATATCAATCCCAACAGTTGGTGTACGTTACCATGTCGAGAGAGGATTCAATTGAAGGCTTGTTTATTATCTCAGTCGACAAACAAAAGAAATTTTATCACGAGAACTAGAGAAACGACCGCTCATGTTTCGCTTTAAACTGTTAATCTAGTTTATATTAAAGAAACGATATGAGCTCACTAAAAACCAATTTCTACCCTTCCTATTTCCATTTCCACTTTACGAAGTTTCACTTCTTCCTGTCGGAGGCACTTAGGCCTTAGTGCCCTACATTGTTTCCCAAAAAAATCTTATTCCGTCTTATTATTATTATTGATTGACATTATATTATTTGTAAGTGGGACCAATCTAAGGACGAATAATGATTCGCAAATAGCTATTGTATAGTTAATGAGATAATGTAGATCAGCATGTAAACATGTCTATTGAGTAATCTTTTAAAGTTAGTTACCTTAAACAAGGAATACTGATCTGCCATAATATAAAATGTATCAATTTAGTTATAAAAACAGTTTTATCATGTAATAGGATGCTTAATATTAGTTGCTGACTATATATAATTTAAATTATTATGTTATTTATTTCTTTTATACTATGTGTCATATTTCTGATGACAGAAGTCATACCCGTGGATGGGAACAATTCAGCCAAACGGGCGGCTGTAGGCGACACTCGTACACCAAAAACTGCTGAAGTATTGGTCGATCTGACTTCAGACTCAGAAGATGAACTGCCACTGAAGAGGAAAGTACCACAACCTAAGAGCACACCGCCAGCCTTAGACAATATTAAAACAGATGACAACTACACTACATCTAGCGGTAAGATTGATTATATTTAATAAAATTGTTATAAAAAATATATAATATTTACCCTATAATTGACAAAAAACACCACATTTACATGTTTTATGAAGAATTGACGATTATTACCATATGATCGTCCCTTAACAAACCAAAATAGAGTGCATATTATTTTTATCCTTGGGATATGAATGTCGTTTTACAAACTAAGCTGGTTGCTTTATATCTCAAATATGGATAATATTTTGAATGTTTGTAGCGGAGGCGGTAACAAGTAGCGGCTACCGTTCCCCGGGCGGCGGCGCGGTCATCTCTCTAGACAGCCCTTCCCCGCCGGCCCCGGCCTCGCCTCACACACACACACATACACACGCGACACACACTACATTAGACGCGGTGTCGCCTAGATCGCTCTCTAGCGATATATGTGAGTGTTTGTACCAACAAATACTATTATTGCTAGCTTAATACAAGCTTAAGAACTTTCCATTCATCTTAGTAGCAGTAATGTTATTTTTTCATTTTGTTGTCTAAGAAATTTTTAAATTGTTTCGTGATTAATTACATTGTAACTAAATAAAAGAATTATTAAATTTTAACACATATTTAGAAAATTATTAATAAAATAAGATTTTATCCATATTCAGTTTTATTCTCTAACAGTATGCATATTAATCTTTGTCATGTGTGCAGGTACAAGTAACAACATTGAACGCGAGGAAAACGATTCCGCACCAACACACTGGGCGCCGTATGCAGATGCAGAGAGAGAAACACATGACACATATAGAAGGTACACAATACATACAAAGATTTAATACATAAAAATATGAGATTTTATATAGATTGGAATTCAAGATACTTGTAATAAATTATTCAATTTACTCTAGCAGCTGAGGAAATTGGTTTACAATAAGATTAATTCACTCTACTGAGATATGAGCTATAGACTTAGTTGTTTTATTTATTTGATGCTATAACTAAGGGTCTTGATATAGAATAAAATCATTTTGTCTTTTTTAGGTACTGACTGAGGGAGAAGAGTGGCCGCCCTTACTACGCCAGCGGCCATTCTTCTGATGAGGAACAGGATCATTACACTGAAGTGCCCCTGATGCAGGCTTAAGCTTGGACCATAATGTACAAAAGTTGAACTCTTTTGCACAATTCTGTTCTAAAGTGACTAATTGGACAGAATCATGAATTGTGTTAATTAATCTCTTTAAATCTAAAAAGACTTTGTGGTACCGGTTGGGTGTTAATAAACATTTTATTGCAGTATCCTGCAATGATGAAAACATTAGCGTTATGATAAGATGGTGTTTTTTTTTTATTTTATACAATGAAAGTTGTTTTGGATATTGACTATTTAAAGACAAACTTCAATTGTAAAAATCTTTGAAAAATATATTATGATGTGTTTGTGTTTTGACCTGAAAGATGACTGTATATTAAATTTCTTGAATCAAGTGAGTTTGGACTGAAAAGATAATGTTTATAATGTGCACTTATTTGCTTTGAGATATGTTTGTATTCAGTGTGGAAAGGAGTCGTTGCTTTAGTTTTCAAGATTTCAATTTTCTCATCAAATATAAAAGTTATTCTAATTTATTTATTCTTAAGTAATAGCATAATTCTATTAGCATAACTGAGAGGTCTTCAATAAGATCACATTTCCAAAATGTAGCACTAAAGAATAAGATAATGTAGAATAACAATAAATGTAAATATGAATTCTCTCCTAAAGTTGTTTTTTTTTAAATCATAAAATGAAAAATAATTTCACTGATAGTGAAATTGTGAATAATATGAGGAAATATATAAATATTAAATCAGATATCAATAAATAAAAAACAACACTATTTTTTTTTTATTTTAGACAATAAAACAACTGTTCTCAAAGAAACTGAACTTCAACCTCGAATAGTAGGTTAAATTTGTGACTCGAATCATTCCTTGAAAAATCTTCCTTCTACACTACATCTTATCATATTTGTGTTTATTTCAAGCTTTATTCACACAATATCTAAAAAAGTCAACATTTTCTTTTCTAAAATACACAAAATTTCACGTACGTTTGGCAAAAGTTATTATTTATCACACAATAAAGAAATAGTACTGAGAATTAACCGTTTTTAAAAACTGTAATTTATTATCTGTTGTTTTTTAGTGTCAAGATTAGAAATAATGAAGTGTTACTTTATTACCTGACGTACAAACAACACAAGTTTTCCTTGTCAAAAGTCGCTATAACATTTTCATAAATTATTTTATCACTAAATATATCAACATACCTAAACGTATGAAAATTTGACGAATTATTACTAAAGATATGAGAAACACGAGGTGTGGTAAGATTTATATATCATGATTTATGTGACGGTCTTAACGGCGATAAGTGACTGCCGATTTAAAAAAGAATAAAAAAGTTGCGTGCCTTTAGTTTTGACATGCCCCCTTTTATAAGCGATCACTCTGTCAAGCTTAAAAGTCCGTATTTTTAAAAAATGTTTCGGAAATTGTAGTTGTATTTTCTGTTAAACTGGTTGGAAAAACAACGAAATGAATTAAAGATTCCACTTTTGATATGTGAAGGTAATATTATTCTAAGAGCATCCGTACGTACATACAAAAATATCAGATGTTTTTTATATTTCATACAGTTAATTTATACCGGCGTGTATTTTTTTGTTACTACCAAATAAATACAACCTCTTCGAAAAACAACTATAAATAAACGTAAATATAATTAGTACCATCCATGCGATAATATTTTATGTATTCATATAAAGTAAACAAAAATTTGCTATGTAATTAATTTTAAAGATTATAATATATTTTGTACAAAGAACTGAGGTCAACAACCCTTGTCCAGATGTAATTCTTGGAAATGAATGAACGCTTTACTAATACCACATGGTAATACTATCACTACTATATCATTATCAATGTTCTTGGGTAAATAAGCGAAGGCAATAAATACGACAGGCGATGCCGCTGTTCTAATCAGTATGCGCCCTTCTAACATTTTTATGCCGATCGTAACATCTCTCCCATCCCTGTCTAATAACAGGCTCCTATTATACTGCATCTCTTTCTCTCTCGTGGCGAGCAGACCTCGCGACCAGGGGACACGTAGCGTTCCTCGCTTTGAGCAAGTTCCGCGGTCGTCCGCCGACTCGTTGCGGCGCTGACGTGCGATACGCTGAACTAGTGTTTCCACCGTGAAATTGCCAGTGTTATTTGTTTATACCTACTATGGATTTGATTACATGACCTCAAGGATTGACTATCGATAGTGAGGTGTACTGTATACATGTTTATGATTTGAAACTGCAAATATTGTAAAACGGGTCGGCCGTGTTCGTTTTTGTGCTGAATGGTGATTAAAAGTAATTTACTTTGCTTTTACGGTATAGAGGGTCGGTGCGTATCGATCGCATATTGAAACAAAGCCGTGGATTGTTTTGGCGGCGAAGGGAAACCTGGAGCAGTTTTAGGTGAGCTTTCTTTGTATTTTGTTGCAGTGAATTCATTCAATTCAGAGGAATCGTGCAAACGTCGCACGCAACCGGTGCATGTGGGTTCCGGGGAGGGCGGGGAGGCATTCTCCAAAAGCTTCTACGTAAATTATTTCAAACTTCAGTAGTTTCAATTAGTGTTATATATATATTCCTATAATCGTAGAGCTGTTATTAGTGTGCACTGAAATAGCAATGTGCAGCGCTCTGTGAGTATCTACTGGGGCTAATAGCTTCACATTGAGAGTGAGTAATGCCTTCCCTAATGGGATAATGGCTCTGCTGGCCGGTTCGAAATACTTATAAAGCGGCCGAATCGCTCCGTGTCAACAAGCGGTGGCCTGTTTGCCTTCCCATTTAGACAACATTTGACAAGGAAACCGATAAGGCAAGATTCAAGGGCTAACACTGAATGCCTTTCTTTAATTCTTAATTGCTTGGTTTTTTCGTGTTGTCAAATAACTATTTCACATTTACATTCTTGCTCACGAAATAAATACTCCACTAAACTTGTTTTATTTTTTAACATAACATACAAATTTATATATCACAAGCCGATGAATAGAATATTTTAAAGTCTGAGAGCAAATCAAAGAAAATAAAAGGCTAATAAATAATAAAATTCTCCTTTATCATAAATACAATCAGTATAATTTAATAACACGACACTTACTATGCTCAGTACCGCGCTGTAACAGATACCCTATTAATTTTACGAGCGAGTTTGAATAATCATTAGCGTGATGAACGCACCACTTCTCATTTGTACAATACAAACTTACAAAGAAATATAATCAAATTATAACATTCTCTTCTAATGAAATACTATTATTTTATTACAAGACGTTATCTCCAAATGACGTTCAAATTAAATTTGATTTATGACATAATAATTTTATATATACATTGTATTGTATTGTTATCGTTTGTCCTGCATAGTCAAGGAATGACTAACTGATTTGAATTTGACTTCCATTTAACTTTTAAGGAATTCGGAGAGCAACATTTAAAGAACAATTAACGTAAATTTTAAAGGCAGGGTCGTTTAAGGGGTAGTTTTTTTTGTCATACTTTAGTTTTTGTAACACCAAATAGGTATATTAAATGTATCTTCAAAGTAGCTATATTTATATTATCACTTCGAGATTAAAAAAAACCCAATAGTCATTCGTAAAAATAGAAACATATCTTAAACAAAAGATTACAAATCTAAAGTAGAATATTTTGAAAGCAGCTATCACTCTTGAAAGTGATAAAATATTTATTTTTATAAGCTTTTCAATATATATAAAGACCGTGATCTTTATCTTATTGAACTTGGTACTGTCATTGATAATGTTATCGAAACTAGTTTTAGAATGATTCTACGATAACGATAGCCTCTGATAGAATATTTTAAAAGTCCTTAAAATACAGGTTAGATGTTCCGTACAAAAGAACATAAAGATATTATCAGCATATGTTAAAAATATTTCATATACTTCGTTTCTCAATAGTCCATCAAACAGAAGCTTAGTTTTAAATACAGTTTTATTATTAAGACACTAAGTTTAATGTATTTTATAACAACAGTAAACAGTTAAATTATTGATCTATAAATAGGTTTAATGATCTTACTTGTAAAAGAACCTTAAACTTTAAAGCCTTTATATAAATAAAACGATTGAACGACGCCAATATGTCGTTAAAAACAGCTTCTAATAGCTACAGTATGTTAAAATACACGAATATAATATAGAAGATATTAAATATAATAAACTTGTCTTTTGTTAGAAAATTAAATCAGATACGTCTCTTATACAAACTTTTTAATTATTCGGAATGTATAATTTTTTAAATAATGTATAATTTATTAGATACTTTTCGTTTGAGAACGTGACTTTGATATTACTCTAATTTCACCTAAAGTGGTAATATAAATATATAAGTAAGTGACAACTGATCCCGCGGGAACTACACGGTAATGCTCGATAAATTATAGCTTATGTCTTATTCTGATGTCTGAGCGGCATGTTTCATAGTAATCTGTTGTTTTGTATGAAAAAACAACAAACTCCCATACATTTAAACGTACAGATGTATAATAGTTGAAGAATTCAAACCTGTATAAAAACTACAACGATTCCGTCGGTGATAAACAAATTTTTATACATTTACATTTAATAGCATCTATTATAAATTTTTAAAATTTTTAATATTTGCTCCGACGAAAATATGAAAAATAAATTGAGATGCAAAAGCAAGCGAGAAAGTAATTCCGGTTTAAAGCAAAGAAAACATTGCAAAGAATCTTGCTGTCAAGGTTGCGACTTGGGTTTTAAACATCACTTCTTTAGAAATTCTCTTTCAATTTATATTTCACACAGAGGGATGGGTTTTGAGTTCAATTCCTTCGCTTTGTTATCCAAGTCACCTCTAATACTATGAAAGGAATAACAAATGCAATTAATGTCGAAAGATGATTTATAAAAGATATTTTCAAATCACAGTCCGATATAAAACTTGTAAAGATAAAGTATTTTTATATATTGAAATATATTCGTATATTTTGCGAACTATTTAATGTATGGGTTAAATTATGATGTTATTACAGATAGCGTCAATAGTCTTACATAAATGAGCTCAATTATGGTCTTGGGTAACTTTATTTGAGAAGTCAGATGCTTAGTGTGGTCGAAATGGCTTCTAATTGTCGTTTATCTAATGTTTTAATTGGTATTGATTTTATGCAACCGCGATTTGACTTAGTCTATAATTGAAGTCGTAACTTTGATAATGTATGTACAGTTCGCCTTCTAAGTTTTAATTGCCTCTAAATAAAGACGTTACAAAAAAGCGCTCGGGCTACTTGAGTTCACAATTTTTCAATTAATAATTACACTCCGCCGAAATGAAAGCTTAATATTTGAAATTTAAATTCAGCCATCAATTAAGTTGTACGATAGGATCAAACGGATGTAATTAATTACGCGGTCATTAATGTTATATATCTGGTTAGTTAGGTGGCTCGTTGTACAGTGTTTGATAATTTTAATATTTTATTACAATTATAATGATGAATATATTAAAATCGTTCCACGCCACGGTTGCGTAACCATCAATTGAATGTATCAATTACATTTCATAACAGACATGCTATTATTAAAAGTGTAAATACGTCGAGCGATGACACTAGCGACTCGTGAGCTCCCTCCCCCTCCCCGCGCCCCTCGCCCCTCGCCCCCAGCCACCGCCACGTCGTATTTGTTAAAGTTTTAGGGCGCTGCGAAGCCGCAGGGGGCTCCGCGGGCGGTCGCGAAACCGATACACTGGCTTTGTGAACAAAACGATCGCTATTCCCTTCGTGGAATCGGCTATAGACGTCGCACTGCACTTATTACCGCCGCCTGATCCTTGTTGCTTATTATGTTACATTTACACTGACCGCTATTGACTTGTCATGTTTTGTATCAACGATCGGATCGTATTAATGTTAATGACTTCAACTTAATGATATCGTGTTAGAAATCGATGACTTCAAATTCAAGACGCTTTTATCTTCGTTAAAGATTTAAGCGAAATTTGTAACGTCTTGTACCGATATTATCTGTTCTCGTGACGGCGCTCGGGCCCGCGCTTGCTTCATCAGCGGCACTCTATTAAAATCACACTTGATTAGATCTCGGCGCGGTCTAATTGTATACTCCTCGGTGAGTATGCTCGCCTGGTACTCGTGACACAAACCGCCGGCTCCTCTCAGAGCACCATCTGTGTTTTTTTCATCTCCCTCTCTTTGAATTATTTCTTTTGTTGGACTTTTCATATCCTTATATTTTCCGCGCGGATTAATTTTAATTTAGATTGTTTTTCGTCGTCTTTTTGTATCTCTGTGTTCGTTTTTTCTTTTGTTTAGTCGACATTGAGATGTTATCTGTTCAAGTGCTATGGAGTATTATTTATCCGAGGGGTCGCGGGATCACATCTCACCGCCCACTCTCAATTTGCCGTCTGCCGTCTGCCAGCGACCAAGACGTGTTCTCGAACTAAACGCTATGCTAATTTAATGGGGCTCCATTTAATCACGACCCACGGGTAACTTCAAATTTTCAATAAGGCGTCGACATTATTATGGTATCACTAACGCTTACGCTGTCAATATTAACGATCCATATTAAAATGTGAATAATTTGTGAGCTTTTAAAATGTTATCGCGAATGGTTGTTTAAAACGGTTTTATTGTTTTATTTCATGTATTCCAGGATATTATGTTTGTACCGAAATGGTTATACGGGTTTCACGAAACATTTTAACGGTTATAGTTATAATGACATCAGTATCTTAATTGGAATTTCAAACGGATGAGTCTATCCGTCTCTGTTCCGTGTTTACCTGACAATATTCGCAATAAATTTCGCAGAAGGACAACCCTAATTTAGCGGATTACGAATTCCATTTTTTTTGTCGATACAATTGTTTATAAGTCGTCGATGTATATATGAATCGTTTCGTGTTGGGTGATCACTATTTATGGTCCGTGCCTTGTATTTCGTTAACTCCTGTCCGTGTATGCGCTCCTGGTGCCGGTCGACTGTTAAACACTCAATTCACGTCGTGGCTGGTTTGTCTTTTCGCTCCAAGGAACCGGTCGGTCGGTCGGTCTGTACTCACAGTATCTGGTGAGCATGTGTAGCACAGACTCCTAAATCACTGCTCGCGGTAATGCGTAGATAAGAGCTCTCGCATTTGTTTCCCTATCTCTCTAACTTTCTCAGGCGCATTAGCGTTGACGTAACACTGTTTAAAGACGAAAAATACAAAAAAGTATCTAGGAATCAGTATTATTTTTAAAACTCATTGTTAGAAATTTTGAAAGAAGCTTATGACCGGATTACAGGGTGGCTGATAAGATAAGTAAAAAAAATACAGACACATATTTTTCGTGTATTCATTATTGCCGTTTCTAATATGTCATATGTAAATTACTTTTGTTTTCTTACATATATTAACAAAGATTGATGGAGGAACAGAATAACATATCGGCAGTCTCCATCTCAAGAAAGCGTCAGATGTATGTCGGTTTTGTGAACAACGTTAAAATTGATGAGTAACTTGTGAAACTGGCCCTAAGGCTGCAAACCATTATTAACCTAAGTACCTTATTTGGTTTACGCTAGTTTTTCTATAATACTCAATCATCGCGTAGCACTAATAGCATGCATCTGCCAAACAGTAATTATAGTGAATAAATCGTTTGCGATTAATGAACCCATCTTAATCCTACGCAACGCGATGATTAATGACGATGTATGGAAATAACAATTCCTTACACTTATTTATTAATAAGATTTAATATTAAAATAATTGAACGTGAAACGCGATTTATAAACGGCTTTGAGCTAAAATATAAGCAAGAAGTTTATTTATTGCAGTAATAAAGATTATAAGTAGTTTAATAAAAACGTCTAACCCTGGGGATCACGCCATTTCACTGATTAAGGCCAATTGCTTCGAGAAAATTACTTGCACAGGCAGCGCTGTAGTCATTGTAGGCCTTTCTTGAAGAATATAGAAATATTAGTTATAAATTACGTCGTATAAGGTAAATACCGGTAGCATTATGCAGTTCATAATGTTTAAACATAATAGTGACACTAAAAAGTTAAAAGTTAAGATATTTTCCTTTAGAATATGATGGCATTGAAGCGCCATGTCTAAAGTAACTATCGTTTTAAAGGATCGACGTACAAAAGTATATATTACGTACAATAGGCGGCACAAGAATCCCTTTGAAGCTGGCACGGCAAGGGCTTAGGGCCAGATCGGTTAGATAATACGCCCACTTATCGCAGACAATGCGGATATAAATCGTATGAGATACGATTATTTTTATACCGATATAGAAAATGCGAATAATATAGAAATATTACAGCATAAATATTATGTACTAACAAATTTTATTAAAATATAAAAGTCGCTTTTTAAATATAAATTCTAGTTTATGATGAGTATCAAAGCATTCCATTACGACGCGGACTACACTTTTAATGCAATAATATTTATGGATGAGCCGTTAAAATAAAATTATATAAAAACAAGATGTGCTCGTTAACCGATTCGTGTAAATCGAAACTCCGTCATGATGGTTTTATTTTGACTTTTAAATATAAGTCTATCGGCGGGAACGACACGTATTCGATAAAATTTCACGCTTTATAAAAAAATAACTGACAACGAGCCTCGGCTCATCGAACATTAGACATTCCGATCGTAAAGAAATCAATCGAAGGTGGCGATCAGAAGTACCAGGGCGGCATGAGTGTGTGGAAGGGAGACGGTGCGAAGGTCGGTGGAACCAGTTTGGCGGGACGGCGCAAGGTGCCGCCGGTCAGGTTAAGTTCACTGTATTACCATCGTCGCCCACCCTTTAGTGTTTGCTTATCTCCTGGTCTAGGCGTTTTAAACGAGCCCATTCAATTGTCCAAGCTCGAGGCGTCTCTGTTAGGAATAATAAAAACAAGTCTAAGCCGAAACAAGCTAAATTTTCTTATAGAATCTGCACGATTTTGTTTATTGCTTAATTTGAAATTAAATAAAAAAAAATGACAAAAAACTTGAAAAAGATACATAAAAACTGTATTCTTAATAAACTATAAGGTAAAATTCCGCTTATTAAATAATTGATAAAGACTTAAAAAAACACGATAAAACATAATAATGTCGCGACTTGCGAGTTGGCAAGTCACTAACATTTAAACGGTACTTTGTTTCATTTAACAAGATAATAACGGATATTTGAGATACAACATTGAAAGACGCCAGCGACGATAAATTGTCATGTACGAGTTAACTTTACGAGTATTGAACCAGCTTTATGTTTTTGTATACGTCGGAAATTAATATTATCCTTTGTTTTAACTTTAACGGCAGAAGGCTGGGTTATTAATGTATGGAAGATAATAAATAGTATTCAGAATAATATTACGTACTTAATTTATCTCGAAGAGAAGACTCATTTAGATTTTTACGACGTTGTTCTGTGTTGGAATCCAATAACGCGATGTATTTGAATATATGAATATTTTGAATGACATTAACAATATTAATGGTCTAACAATTATTACACATACATACTCAGATCGCTTTTTCTGCAACATTTGTATGTGTGCAAAAATAAACAGTTAAAAATAAAGTATTAACTGAATTTACTAAAATTAATCCTTTTGAAGATTTTTCTGGTAATTTCTTAAGATAGTTGTATTAGTGGTCGGTCACTTCGTCTTATTAAATACGTCTTTCTGTTTGACCTCAAATAGTCGATAAGTAAAATTGTTTTCATAATATAAATAAATTATTGTAATTTAAAATACATGAAACTTAATAAATATAAGATATAGTATCTGTAATGATGTCAAAAGGAGAAATTAAATAAAGACATTTATAGCGTGAATATTGTTTAATAATAATATAAATATTTCGTCGTTTCGTATTGTTTCCACGAGCGTGCCTTGACCATTATTCTAATTGAATCGTGGTCAATTCTGTCTGTAGTCCTAGTACAGATAGTGCGATTACAATATCGTTTGATTTATGCTAACTATTCTGATCCGACCGCAATATTAACTATATCATTTGGGGAACTGTAAATCTGGCAACTAATCAGTTGTTTAATATGCAATCCGGATACAATAGCCGGTTTAATACGAGCAAAGCTGCTCACTGAACCACGCAGCCAAAGGAGCGTAGCGTGGGCCTTTGTGTCCTAAATTTCCCGCTACGCATACATCATACTGCGACACAGCTGTCTCTATCATCTTTTAACGTAACTAATTGTAGTATGAGACGTACGATTGTTCCTCACTATTAATCATGATCCGCGGGTCTTAATCTTATCTCATTGTTATGTTATCGGATATCCGAAAACAATTGTCACCCGAGCGGTAACCGCAGAGTCGGACGGAACGAGATCCTTTGTTTAATTTACTGGGACGAAATCTGGAAGCGAGGGTAGCTAGGGTTTCCATAACAACACGCGCCCGGTGGTACTTCGGTCCCCGCTCCCCGGGCCCCCCTGCCGTGCCCCTCCCCCCGGCCCCCTCCGTCTCTGTATCGATCGCGTCCCTCTTCCCGCGCCACTCCAAATCAAATTACACGAGCCGAGCAAGCGGCTGCCGACCGCGTCCCGCACCCCTCGCAACCTCCGCACCCCTCGCACCCCTCGCACCCCTCGCACCCCTCACCGACTCAATCAACTTTGTATTGGCGTAATAGTATTTTAATTCTATTGCCGCTTTTGACTGCAGCCCCTAATAGCTTGTTTGCAAATTAGTTACACGTAACAATATTGCTGTTTGAATTCTACGTTTGCATAGTTGGCTCTGTGTTAAACCTAATTACTGACATAATTTGCATTGAATTAAATCGATGTTGACATAAACAATTACAATGTGCTTTTAAAAACTTACCTTTCACTTTTTCCATTATAAAAATTTCTTTGTTCTTTTTTTGCGTTTTCATAATTTATTTATAACTTCTTTACGAAAATATAAGCTCGAAGGAAATTAAAATAAATAAATTTAGATTGTATTGTTTGATGAAAGATATTAAGATTTTTTTAAGAAACATTTTAAAGCACAATATGAGTATAAAGTGATTTACGCGACATGTTGCAGTGATAATATAAAATTATTGAAGCGTCTTGAAAACCCGATATTTTTATCATGAATGCGGTGGATTTAAAGCAAATTTTCTCGGTACATTGTGTAGGGTTGACTCTCAACCGCTTTATTATTATAGGAGTACATTAAACCGACGCTCGAACTACGGATAATGTCTCGGTCTAACAATGACCATATCATTATCAGGATACGTGTCTTAATTGTTATATATATAGTCTTAATTCGCGCTACCAGTTATTAATATCATATACAAAGTTTATTAATTACAGTTATAAATAATCGTAGAATATTTATCGTGAGACAGTCGCTCGTGATGCCAATGAATGTCAGATGTTATTAATACATGTGTGTGTATGTCTATTACGTCGTGTTGTACACAGTGATTGACTCGTGTCGAGGAATGTCAGCCATTAGTGTAACAGACGCGTTTCCGTTTTAGTTTATGGCGATCGGCTAATAAAATCGATTATATCATCATTCGCATCAAAACACTCAACAGTTTCGAGGGGACATTTTAACGAGCGAACCCCGTGATCCGGGCTACATGTCACCCTCGTTATAACGGAAACCCGACGAAATGGTTATTTATCAAAGTTGTTTGTTGAATCGTTTTCATTTTAATCCGACTCCGCCGACTCCGCCGAAACCGAGCGACCGTTTCGCTAAACGCGTGAAAACGTTCGGAAACATATTGGCATCGGATACGTTTTCGCACAATTGCCCTGATTGAGATAATATATTGATATGGAATTTGTCATATGAATGTTTGCGTTACCTTATCGATATCGAGAATGCCTTGGAGTGACGCCAATGCTGTTTAGACAGGTGGGCGAGCTTTTGAAATATATTTTTGTTTTTGTACTTAACGTATTTATAAATTATATATAGACAAAATGTTAGGTCGGAGTTGTAAAACTTTAGAGTCACTTTATTCGGCGAAGCGGCTATAGTAAACCACAATGTAAGTTTTGGATATCCGCCAAATGCCAGTTCGTGTTCGGCGGAGTCGGTTCGCTTGCGAAATACTCTGACATGTAAAACTCCGCAGAACATTAAAACTGATTAATTAATTAGCGGCCATCAGAGAGGTAGGGGACGGGTAAAGGGTAGTGGGTAGCTGAGAGAATTCGTGATTAGAGAAGAGTAGCCCACTGACCTCGAGGGGTCTCGAGTGGTGTAATGGCCGGGCTGTCCTATAGCTGTACGGTCTACATCAACAAACTAACAACTATCGTTGTTAATAAACACCTAGGACGCTACGCACGTACGAAGCCACTTCGTGCGGACACAAATTGCTTTTGTTCGTGAGTCGAATGTTCTCTGATAAAGCTGGCTGCAATTATTTTCTTCTTATTGCGGCTGACGTGTGATGGGCTCACAATACTTTACCGACTTTAATAACTACACGGAAAACAACACACACACACACATACAACTATCATAATCACTTAGATTACGTTAATGACAAGAGAATTTTTAAATATAATAGAGCATCCATAAAAAGATTTAATACAAGCGTATTATGTGTAACATAAATCTTAAGCGCGTAATAGAGGATTGAATTAACAAGCAGTTTACAAAGTAATCCCCCTACAATGTCCTATGATAAATATCCCGACGCTTCCCAACTCCTAATGTCCGATAAGTAACATGAACCATTTGTTAAACTCCTAATCTCATAAAATACTACAACATGAAGCTAAACTAACTCAACTTACTTTATATATTGAAAAAGAAAAAATATATTTTAATGTTATGTATGCGCCGACATCGCCGCTATTAGTTCGGTACCAGGCGAACATAAAAGCAAAGAAAATTACTTGGTAAGATAATTTTTGTCCGTTGCGTGGGTGCAGCGGATACCAAGTACACTTTTTATATCGAATGATCTCCGACGATTAGATGATTTTGGTACTTTGATTTATATTTACATCCCACTGAAACAAATGTTTCTTCTTTTTAAGTCTAACTGTATGGTGTATTAAGAATTGTTACCGGTCGTGAACAAGTGAAAAGAGCCAGTAAGTAATGTACATAGTATTAATTGAATTGCTAGCCATTTGTCATACATTTATATGTCGATATTTATTTATGAACTTGGCGTTAACACAACACGAGGGCTGCGAGCGTTAAAATAAACACACCTTAGTGTAATTACAGAAAAAGAGAAAATTTTGTTCAACATAACATTTGTTTATTCCGAAACCGAACGTTACAAAAATTCTTTTCGTGACATAAAAATAAATTAATTTCGAATTTGTCATCACATTATTGAAATGTTTTTATCGTTTTTTTGTTATTATGATCGTTATATTTAAACCGGCATACATCACATTGTTTCTGTAAGTTGAAAAAGATGAATTTTTCACTCAATTGCGCTTTAACGCGAAAACATTTCACATCAAACGAAAGATCAAAAGTAATATCGCGAAATGTTTCAAAGGTATTTCTGAGTTTTCATAACCTCATCGATGGATGTTTGTTATGAGCAAAAAAATATTAATTTATAAAACGAGTACGGTGGAGAATTTTATTTTTATTTCTAGGAGAAAGGAGCTAGCTCCGCTGTGAAAATGAATAGGAATTTCGAAATACAATAAGAAAGTACGCGGATAGCAGAAGACGTGAAGAATGTTAATTTTAATTTGTATTCACCGTATAACATCAGCGTAATAACTGTAGCAGAGTAATTCCCGAGCGAGGGGAAAATGGGGCGAAACAAACATGCGACAGGTGACACTTCATAATAGAAGCTAATTATTATTTTTCGAACGACCGTCCGCTTTGTTCGGTACAAGCTCGTTAACTGACTTTTAAGTACGGTTATTAAATATCGGACCTTTTAATATGCAAATTGTCAGAAACTTATGCTTAAGTAAGTCGATTATTATTTTTGCTTCGTAAATATTTATTCAAAGCGTCATATGCATGGGTTTAGGCGCGCGGGGCCGGGGTTCTCAGAGTGCTGTTCATTCTATTGTCGAAATTATTTCGGGCGTTAATAATTCTTCACACGGCCGAGTCGACGCTAACTGTTACTTCCAACACAATAGTGTTCAAATGAAGCCGAGAGGCCGTACAGATCCATCGTCGAGGGTTACATTAATGACATAAATTATTATAATTCGTTACCAATATTGTATTATATCATTCGTTTCGTTCGCGACCTTCACGCAACAAATCTTTGCATTTAATATCGTGTAATATTTGATGTCTTTATATTGTTATAATGTAATAGTCCATATAATAATGTTTAGTCTATAGTCTATACTGTTATCTATGGACTATGCCGTATAGTCCGCGGCCATGTGACCGTCGTGTCATCGATAACACGTTACTGACACCTCACTATCAATCACTTTAGACTCGTTCGTGTTGTGGTCATTGGCTACAAATTGCTGTCCCATATATTAACAACCCAAATCCATCTATAAAATCAAACCTAACTTTCATAATAAAAATTGTTAGAGAATTATTCTAGCGTCCGTTTATATTATCGTTGTGTTAAAATTGAAATCGTTCCATGATATTCTATACATTTTCTTAATCAAAGCTTTATTTGTAAAGCACAACAAAGATACGACCGCGGCGTCCGTAACAAAAGAATGTAAGAATCCACCCCGCAATATGAATCGAATCGAGAGTTCGGATAAATCAGAGAATATTCTTTGCTCCTCAAATATCTGAGTGCTATAGTTAAATCTCTTTCGTGTTTTATCAAAGGGAATGGCAAATAGATTTCACCGTATACAGTAAATTGCTTGTTTACGACGATCAAGCGTTATATTATAACGATATATATTGCAATCTCTATTAGGTATACATGTACATTTATATTATAACTTTGGTATTACCATTTGATATACATTAATATTACTTAAATGTTTTTACTAAATCACTTTGTTTTATGTTACAAGATTTTACTGTAGGTAATAGCTATTTTATCGATATAAAAGTCATTTATTTTTTATTTTTAAAGCTTAATTAAGGTTTATGTTAAATGTAACGTTATTCAATCTCACCGTCTGTCAGCCAACGTCATTTGTTATTATCAACAATGTATAAGTTATGCATAAAAATTAACAAAACTAACTTTTTCGGCCACACTAACACAATGCAGTGAACAGTGTATCGCAACGAACCATTCGTATGCGTGCCGCACGCGGTCTCAACATCACACTAATTGTATATAATGTGTTATAATTATCAATCAGACTGTTAAATGTGGCTATGAATAAATCTGCTTCAATCAGTACGGTATAACAGCGGTAACATTTTGTTATCCCTTCATGCATAAATGTTTGTGTAATAATTTCGGGTGCCGTGTCCCCCTCCCCCCGTCCCCCTGTGCTCCCCCCCTGCCCCTCGTCCGCTCCACGCCATGTTGCACACGCTTCACACAGTATCTTGCATCTCTGTCTTTCGCCGCGACCGCTCGCTCCTGGCCCAGTTCATTGCATTTATGTTAATTATTAATTCTCATAAGTCAGCTGAAAACATCTCGCCGACCGCGACCGGCGACATCCCAAGCATAATTGATCGATTGCTCGTCTTTTTCGTCATCTCGTGACAGTTTTAAACTCGATTCAA